GTTGAGAGCAATCTATCGCGAAAGATTCTCATTGGATTTCTTGATTCCTTCCAATGTTGTTTATTAATCTCATAAAGTACTCTGGTATGTTGGATGGATATGAATTAGTTCGTCATTAGAATGATCATTTTGCATTATTCAGCAAGAATTTCACGAACGCACAGTGTGAGAGCTCTTTCTAGCCAAAGTTATGTATGTACGGACATATATATGTTCTCGAGATAACCAAGAATATTATACACAATGCCTATGGAGTAAAATTTTGTCGTAATCAGCCATAATCATAGAGCCAAAATCGCAGAATCACTATCAAGTCACAGCAATAATATTATTTATTGGCTGCTCGACCTGATAACTTCCAAATGACCTTCTGATGCGTGATTTTGATTACCAAATAATCAACCCGTTCCACCTTCCTGCTAACACGGTTTGTGGGACCCAGAAAATACTGTGGAAAGAGAGTGATTGCAAAAATTACGCACGTAGAAATGGTGATAAAGTAGAGGAGCCGCAATTGAGTAACACTTTAATCAGTTTGACGATTTTCCACGGGACGGAGGAAAATTGCCCGATAACACTTATCTCACGCAATTCCCTGATAATACACTAATTGAAGTGGCCTTTCTGTGTCAGTTGTGATTGGCTTACGCACCCACAAGATAGATTTAAACAGAAATTGAATAATTCTACAGCCCACGAGGGTGTTTCTTCCATGAGTAATGACCAGAAGACACTTCCACTTGACCCAAAAGGATCCGAGAAATTAGGAATGATAAGAAATAAATTGATGAACAGAACGCGGAAGTAAATTGAGTGCTCTTTTATCAATTAAGTGTCCATCGACAACATCAATCATCACTTGTCGTAAATGCCAATTTCCCATTTTCCAGGAAACTTCACGGAACACTCTTTCTTCCCTCTCGCACAGAATTGAATATTGATTGAATAAGTATCACAAGGGGTGATAATTAATTTTAGGAAAATTGAACAACACTCGAAACAGGGACTCAAACAAGGGGATTTGACGAAGAAAAGTGCTGGAAAAAGCGTAAAATGAGGAAGTATCGCTAAAGTCTGCCTAATCTTCATGTCTAAAACATCATCCCTTTCGGGAGAATTTTCCACCCAAAAGGACTCTGTGTTTGAATTTTCGATTAATTCGGGCACAAATCACAGGACTCTCCACCGCTCTCAGTCCCTGCCAGAACCTCACATTGTCATCCCTTTTTGTTTCCTAATCCACCATCCCCCGAAAGACCCTCCACAGTGTCCGGCTCTATCGATTCCGCAAACGCTTTTCTGCACAGCAACAAATTCTAATCCTCAGAGATGATCCACTTTCGGAGAGGAGCGTGAAATTAGAAATTCTCACCACCTCCCCATGTTTTTTCTCTACTTGCTAGTCATCGTGTGTCTGTGGACTCATGGTTGAGATCCACCCGCTCACGTATTGACGCAAATATCAAGCTCAAGAGTCACGAACATTCACACCGTTGCTTTTATGGCAGTCACGTTCAACCACGACTCTCCATCTTCGCCATCCCCCTTTGAGCCCTCGAGGGGGATTTTTTGGCCAGAGTCGAGCATAAAAGCGGAGGAAATGGGATCACTTTGGGTGGCAGTGTGTATGCAATTGGAGGGAAAAGGCAAATGAATTTTCGTCGATACACGAATGGAGGGAAAATCAAGGAGCTATTTGGCAGTCTCTCAGCTATATTGCTTTCACAACACATTCATTTGGCACGTCGATCCTGGATACAAGTAGAGTCATTCCCGGAGATGAGGTTGTGAATAGAGAGAGCAAGGGAAGGGGAAGAAAACTACTGAATTCGTTGAATGATTACAATTTTTTCTGTAACTCCTCAAAACGAGTCCATGAATGAGAGATAAGGCTTTTTTACCAGTTGATCGGGCTTTCACTCTAAGCAGTAGGATTTGATTGGAGTTCAACTGCGTGGATTAGGCGCAGGAATTGGTAAATAGAGTGGCAAAGACTATATATTGTGAGAGATATCTTGAAGGAATTTCTCTAAGACGAATGGAAATCTCAATTTCGAGGATGAAAGTTGTGAGTAAAACTTCCACTGAGCATTACTTCACTTCTTCGAGTGCCTCTGCTGCGGCACAAATGCAATATCAGAGAGAAAATTTGCACGAATTGGCGATGATGAGGAGAAAGAAGAAGAGGAGGGTTGGTCCCATTCGCGCACACAGAGGAGCTCAGGAGAGAAAACATGAAACCTTGAGCGGTTTTCAGTCACGAAATAATGTGAAACATTTATCGAATAGTGCGATTTTGCCAATGGCTATAGCGACAGAAGATGTGCTTTGAGGACGATCGAGAGCGCAGAAGAGAATGCCGTAAAAAATATACGGAGGGAGGGGAAATTGGAAGTTGAAGCAGCTGAAGCATTTTGCTCAGGAATTGGAACACGAAGATTGATGTGTTCCCCTTTGTAGAGTCACAACCCCGGGAGTCGTGTCAAGAGGGAGATCCTCATCAGTGTTCCAATTGTGTGCGCAAGGACGATGCAGACAAGAGCCAAGTGATTTTTCTGGATTTCCCACCAGGAAGCGTCAGCCGAGAGATCCCAAATCTTATCAATTTACATCCAGAGGAAATCCTCGCGAGATTCTGCAGACTTGCGGAAGGGAGAGAGAGAGAGAGAATTCCAGCAATTTGAAATTCCGATGAGAATCCCAAGAGACGCGCCATCAAAATTATTTTAATCACGTCTCACGGATTCACCGCCGCACTCCGGACACTCCTCGCAGTCGCACGGCTCCGACTCTTATGCACCCACGACACGTTCCACGGCGTTCACTTGCTTAATCATTCCGGCAGTGTTCGCAAGACATTGGCCACCTCATCTTGAGGCCTTGATGCAATTTATGCCCTGTCTCGTGCGCGCCATCCTCAGTCTGGGCTGATTTGGTCCACCGAGGAATTCACCAGATGGGCTCAGGAGGAATGCCACGAATTGTTCCCATTCAATGGCAACCACTAAATTGCCGTTGGGATTTCTGTGGAAATTGTGGGGAGACAATTTTTTGCGCGCGCTGTGCTTTGAGTTGTCATACTTCAATTTGGGTGTGCAGAAATTGTAGTGTTAGAACATAACGTATATATAGAACTTTCTCATTAGTTGCCAAGGGATTTCATCCCAATCAACCTCATTAAATCCTCCGAAACGGTGTTCTGTGGCGGTAATTAAAATAATCTGTAGATTGTAAAGTGGAGCCGTGGATTCTCAATGAGTCTCCCAAGCAGAAGTCAATCAATTTGAGCACTAAACGGTCCTCATTAGTTTCTGCCGAGACGTTGACATGCGAATCTCACTTTTCCCCGTGATTTTCCTCGAGTCTCTTTTGAAATGTGAGTATTACGGGAGGAAAATATTTGCTCAAATCCGCCAAATTGCTGGCGGGAAAGTATGCTGAGGCACTCAGAGATGCTTGGCGGATGCGGAGGAAGGCGCTGTGGATTGGGAAAGTGGGATGAAAGTGTGAGAAAGAGGCTCTCAGCCATCGTCAACGACGACTGTCGAGAATGAGAGTGATGTGCAGAGTGTAGAGAATGGAGGCTGCGATGGAACACATCTCTGTGGGATTCTTGGCCACTCGAGGAGACGCGCCTCGTTGAGAAGACACTCGTGAGGCAAATTGCAGAATGTCGTCACAGTGGAATGATGGAGAGCGTCGAATTGTGGCTAAATTTACTCATTTGCCAGCAGAAATGGCTCAGAATGACTGTCTTCGTGACGCGTGTGGGAATCTTCGCATCTGCAAGTGGACGATTCTTGGGCTGGGCAGAAGCATCTGCTCGCGTGCACGTTGCCCAGGGCCCAGTCGACGGCGGAAGGGGGACGATCCGCTCTGAGACTGTGTTTGGGAAGCTGAAGCGCGGAAAAATGTGGGTTCTGTGTGTAAACAAATGATTTAAAAATAGTAGAGGAAGGAGGCGATAAAACCGAGATGTTCTAAATAATAAATATAGTAGAAAAGACAGACTAGAAGCTAAGAGTTTTGAGCAAGATTTTTCATTCTTTGCTGTGGTCACAGGCGAGACAATAAAACTTTCGATACTTACTTATGAAATTGTGAAAAACCATTGGATCTTGGCGTCCGTTCTTGCTCAAACTCATGCTCAGTTCAGGGTTAAGAACGTTTCTCCTTCCTTGTATAGTTTCACAGCTTTTGCGCTGTATTTGGGCGCACAATTGCTTTGGAAATCAAACAGACAATAGAATCATTGAAAAAAGAAAGTGCGCAATATTTCCTGTTCAGGACAATCTATCTGAACTGCGCGAGCAACAGATGAGAACATGATATTGAGGAGAAGGAAGTAACGAGCCCTTCTTGGTTGTGCATCAACCGGTAGCTCGATTATTTGTCTGAATGCGGAGTTCTTTGTCTGCCGTGCTTGCGTGAGGCCCTCAAGAGACTTCCCAACAGCTGTCCTCGTGCCTCCATGGCGAGCCACATTAGCCCGCTGATGAGTGTCTTCCCTCAGTCCTCGGCACTCTTCACCCTTCTTCCGGCCCCGACACCCTTCGTCTACGTTGGCACACAGAGCGCAAACAGAAAACATATGCTCACCTGGCGACTCTCCTGTGTTTGTTGCTCATGCTTCAGCGGAATTGCACCTTTCCCACCGCTGGAATATTTACACACTTACTTTATCACTATTCTCAGGAATACCGCCATCGCGCACTGCACACTATAGTCAGAAATTACGCATTGAAGCGGAATTTTGCCAAAAACGACGAAACATTTCTGTTTTTTTGCGCTCTTTCAGCCGCGGGGCTTGAAGACATTTGCGCGGGAGTTTTGCCGAGAAGTAGGCAATATGAAGAATTTCGCAGAGTGTCCACTTGGTGCGCACCGGAATGGCGTGAAAAAACGTAAACAAAACAAAGCATTCCGCTTCACGACGACGAATTCCTTCGCGAAAGCGCGAAAACCTCGTAAATCTCCCTTTCTGGCGCTCTTCCCGAGGATCGATAAGCTTCACCTTAAGGGGAGAAGCATGTGTGAAGTGCTTCTATCGATTAATACGTGACTTGCATTCAATCGCTGCCATGGATGCCGAGGTGAGGCAAAAGAATTTGCGCAAAAAGCTGGATCTTCTGGGCTTCCGGCAGCCGCTGCCAGTATCTGGAGTTGGTCTAGCGTCTGCCCTACTCGAGGACCTCCTCAAGACCACAGAGAGTCTGAAGCTGGCCAAGGAGGAGATAAATCAACTACTTCAGGTATGCCATGAACATTTGCTTTCGACGGCTGTTTTGTTTCACCGAATGTCTCTCTCTGTGCAGGAGAAAAGTGCCTGGGAGCTGGGAGTGGAGCCCTACAAGTGTGACAATTCCAAATTGCTAGCGGAGTGCAACAAACTCAATTTGGACATCATTCGACAGCGCGACAACTACGAAGTGAAGAAAGCGGAGCTGATCCGGAGAGTCCGGTCGCTGGAGCTGGACAAGAGGTATCTGGAGGAGCAGTGCAGCGAGCTAGCAGGCCGCGTCAGGGAGCTGGAAGTGAAATTTGTCTCCAAGTCAGACGTGAAGTTCCAAAAAGATGGCTTCAACATGAGCAGAAAGCCGTTCATTTCCACGGTGCGCTCCGGTAGCCTCCTGCCCAGTGGCGGAGAGGGTCATGTGTGCGAAAAGGGTCCCTACAAAGTGTGCAGCGTTTGTCCCAATAGCCGCCCTTGTGGGGAGAATCGCTTCGAGGCGGAAAAGCTGCAGAATGACGTTCAAAATCGCGAAGAGATCATCGAAGCGCTGAAGAGGCAGATCGAGACGAGAGACAGGGAGATTGAGCGATTGAGCAGTCTTCTGAGTGGCGGACGACCTGTGACATCTCTGGCCAGGGATTGCTGCTTCCGTGGCGTGGGATCGATGGCTGAGGATGTGGAGCTTCTGCAGAAGCAGAAGTGCGACTTGAGGAGGGAGATTAACGAGGCCATCTCGGCTCAGCACGAGGCCATGCAGAGAGCAATGCGTTTGGCGGAGAGGAATGCCAGTGTGGAGGAGGAGTACAAGGAGCTGGAGAAAACTGCCCTGGAGCAGGAAATGAAAGCCAACAGGACATTGAATGAGAAGGTGAAGGAAAATGCGGAGCTCAAGAGCCGCATCAGCGATCTCCTGGATACGATAAAGGGACTAAGGAGTGATGTGGACAGACTTCAAGTGGGCGAAGTGACGGATTCTGTCCGGGAGAAGCTTGTTCACGCGCTGAAGAAGGAGAAAACCCTTCAGATGACAATTGAGAAGCTGCAGAAGAAAATTTCTAAACTTAAAACCAAGGTTTCAGACACTAAATCGACGGACACGAGCAGAGATGATACAATGGAGAGGGAATTGAATCTCACAAAGCTTGAGTTGGAAACTCTCAGACGCGAATTCGCGTCTCTCCAGGACAAAGCGAGGAGTAACAGTGAGGCGAGAGATCTGCAGATTAAGCTGAATGAGAAGGAAATAGAGATTAGGAATCTCTACCATGAACTCAGTCAATTGCGGCATGAGAAAATGTCGAATCTGGGAGAGATTTGCTCAGCAAGATCTATTGGTCAGTCCTCGGCTGTGCTGCGCCAGGATCGGGAGAGAGATGTGATGCGCTGTGATCTGGAGAAGGTGAAGATTGAGCGAGATGCTCTTCGGGATCGTCTGAAGATGGCGACGGAGGCACAATTGGAGGAGCAGAGAAGATATGAGGGTCTCTTGGAGGACATCAATGGACGGATTGGGCGATTGGAGGCAGAGAAGACGGAGCTGTTGAGTGCTCAGGGACCCACTCAGATCACAGTGACGCTGCTCAAGGAGGAGCTGAAGGAGCTGAGAGGACGCCTGAAGGATCTCCAGGCTGAGAATGGCGCGCTGAGGAGCTCCAATAATCATTTGAAGATTCTCAATGAGCAGACAGAGAAAGTTCTGGTGCAAAATCACAGCAAACTCGTTCACTCAGAGGCTCAATTGGGAGAGACATCGTCGAAACTGAGCTCTTTGGACGCTACACGAGAGCAATTGAGGCAGGAATTGGAACTGCTGAAGCCACAGATAAATCAACTGCGTTCCAGCGAAATTCAGCTGCAGAACGAGAAGGACAATATTGTGTCTGAGTTGGACCAGAAGACGGAGAAGGTGTACAATCTGGAGCAGGAGATGAAACGCCTCAGGGTTGATAAGAGGGAATTGGAGACGCTGGTGGATCAACTCAGAAGACGTCTGGATGAGCTAAGGAACGAGGGTGAGCATCGCGATAAGCAGTATCACGATGTGGCGTGTGAAACGGGAACGCTGAGGAATCAAGTTGCCACGCTGAAGAGGAACGCCGACACGGCCAGGAGTGAAAACGGGCGTCTCGTTGGGGAGCTCACGGACGCATCTGCAGAGCTGAAAGTGACCAGGCAGAAGCTGAAGGAGACGCAAAAGGAAGTGGATGGATTGAAGATGCAGCTGAAACAATACGTCCAGGAAGTTCAGAGGGCGGAGAATCTTCTGGCCAAGAAGGAGTTCGAGCGCGAGGAGATGCTGGATCACTTCAAGTCCCTTTCGCAGGACACTATTGTGCTGGAGGGCAACAATCAGGCGTTGGAAATGATGACGGCGGAAACAAAGTGAGTGATTTTTATCCTTCTCTGCAACTTTTGGGGGAAATCTCTAAGGATATCTTCTCAATTCTTACAGATTCTATCACACTTATTAATTCTGTTTTGTTTATTTTATTTTCATTTCATGTTGTTTTTTTTTCTTTCTTTCCAATTTGTTTTGTGGCACACAGGAAAGCATTGACAGAGTCCGAAGATCGCGTTTCCACGTTGTTGGAGCAGATGAAGCTCCGTGAATCGGAAATCCGGGACTATGAGAAGCAAGTCACCGTGCTGTCCTCACAAGTGGCGTCCTTGGAGACTGATTTGGAGGAGTGTCAGGAGGACAAGAAGAAACTCCAAGCGGATCTGGACGCAATGCGAGATTTGTGCGAGAAGTTGGATGACCAGAAGGACAAATTCAACGAGGAGGTCAATGAGCTCACGTCGATTCGCACTGATCTGGAGAAGGACTTGGAGCGCCTTCGCAGTGAGGCTGGCAAGAAGATTATCGAGGCAGAGGACACAGCGACGAGGCATCCGCTGGAGAGAGATTTCGAGCAGCAGAAGTTGCTGATTGCCAATCTGAATCAGGAGTTGTCGCACTTGCGCGGCAAAGTGGCTCAGCTGGAGATGGAGCTGAAGGAAGAGCATCGCGTGAGTATAAAAAATGAACATCTCGCCCAGGAATACCATGTTCAGCTCCAGGAGGCGCGACAGAGTCTCACGAACGAGCGCTACGAGCGGGCGAAGCTGCAGGAGGACACGGAATCGGTCAGGTATCCAACTCTTTAGTTTCTTAAGCTTCCACTACTTATGCTAATGATGTTTTCCTCACACTGTAAAAACAAGGAAAGCAAGAAAAGACAAGTGCTTAAGGTTTCATTTCATGGTGCGGGGGAAGAATTACTGGATAAGACATTCGAGGACGTCTTTAACGAAGAAGTCTCCGGATAAGTCTTCCTCAGCATCTTCTCAATCTATTCTGGAGGGATATTCAGGAGCGTGCGGTGAAATTTCTGAAATTGAAGTCTCCCAGAAGATTTCCATGAATCTAAAATCAAATTCATAGACAAATCAACGTCACGAAATTCCCTTGGTGGCCGCAAAAGGGCAAAATTTATGCGAAAACTACTGATTTCTACTCATTTTCCTCATGTATTTTTATCTGTCTTTCACTGTGTTACAAAAAAGAAAGAAAAACAATTTGTTGTGTCTCTCTAATGGACCATGAAAACACGTCACAGGACGTTATTTTGACGAACAGCGTCTCAGGGATGGAAGAATAGTTGCCTAATTGGGAGGATGTCTGGCCATTTCTATGGATGGTCTCGCCTTTTGTAGTTATTAACCATTTTTCATACAATCTTACTGTAGTTTTTTTTTTTAATTTAAGGCACAATTACATTAACGTCACAATCTGTCGCTCTATGTCATAAATATTTTTCTGTATTACTACTCAAAAATGTAATTTTGTAAAGCAATGAGACGGTGCAGTTTTATCATTTTATCGGCAGGACTGAGTGATTAAATGTTCATTTCGAAAATATTTACTGCCTTTCTTCCTCTCTAAGAGAGATTTAATTGCCAAAGAAATACTGAAAGTGGTAATTTTCACTGGTTTTAAGGCTAAAGAATTTATCCAATTCGCATAATTAACAATACTCAAGAATATTCTAGTGCAGTCCTGCCAATTCAGTGTTTCTCACAATCGTTTTTCTTCCTAATTTCGGGCTCTTTCTCACTTGTTTTCTTACAAAATATTGCACTTAGTATGTATATGCATTTTACTTCTTTAAAACCTTTGATGTGGTGATGCAACGCAAGAGTCTACAATTATTATTGTTTTTTAGTATTTATCTCTAAAATTGAAGAAATTTTGGAGGTGCACAAAAATGACTAACAATTTTCCTTAGCAATACCTTAACTTTCTTAACATATTTGATTACCACCGGAAAAGTTGTATTCACTACGGACCTTAGATTCACTTCATTAGAAGATCAGGAAAAAAAAAAGGAAAACAATTAGATTGATTGGAGCGGAAAGAGAAGTTAAAAGACAGTGTCCTCAAAAACACATTCGACTATACAAATAAAATTATATTAATTAAAATTAGATAATAAAAATTATTTAATAATTAGAGTATATAAAGTAAAGGGATTAAAAAGGATTTTTATCGTATTTTTTCTTCTCGTTATTTGTTATCAATGTCTTATCTACAATTCACAGCTGCAATGATCAACGAAAATCATTCACTTTCACCTCCTTTATTCCACCCTCCCCAACTACAAACGTGTCCAGTTGTGGTAAAATCATACAAAAAAAAATTTCTAATAGCAAATTGTCCTCTCCGTCGTCATAATAACCCTTAATAAATTACAATAAGCACTTTGTTTCATATTATGTTTCCCTCTTGTCGTTGTGTGCCTCTGACGAGGCACTTCTTATGCATCATCTCAACTAATAAAATAGGTGCATTTGCTCTCTTTCTCTCTACGGCTCATTGTTTTATCCCCAACACTCCTTCTTCTTGCTCTGCTTCCTTCTCCCCGCCAACAAACACACTCACACACACACACTAAATATCGTGACGCCTCGAGAGGATTCCTCTGGCCCTAAAAGAAATTGACACTGTCCCCAGAGATCTGTTGCGTCCTCTCTCTCTCTACATGTGAATCGTTGCAGCCGTGTAGCGCGCTTCTCCCCTTCTCCATGACCACTGACTCGGACGGTACTGCAAGAGAAGCAAGAACACATGACAAATTAGCCAAGCGAAGGTTGTCATTTTCGCGCAAATTGCAATGGAAGGTCAGGGTGAAACCAAAAGCACATAAGGAGAAACTGAATATGAATGAGAAGTGGTTCAATTTGAGATTGATCGAGTAACCTTGTATCCTCTTAGCTGCATTTTTCGGTTGAGCAGAGACAAAGAGGAAGAAAGAGAGAGAGAGAAAAAAGTCGATCAGACATTACTAGGTCATACATAAGCATCAATTTAGCATGAATGGAAATTATAATGACTCGGAAAGTGTCTTCAAAATTCACTGTTTGCACTCTTTAACCCCACCCAAGGCGACGCGAGTGCCAATGAAAGTGAAAGAGATGTGAGCTTGCTTCACTGCCATTTATACACACATCATGTTTTCACTGGATATTTCTGCAAAATAAGCATCACACATCTTGTTTTCCCACACCTCAAGCGAAACCACCGCTCTCTTGAGACTCGCCAATGTGCCTGAGCATACAATATTCCTCAGGCAAACACATTGCATCCTACTGTTCAAGGAATTATTCATTACAGATCAATACCTAGAATTTTGTTCGTATCTAATCTCACAATGTTATCAATAAACAGGAAAAAGAAACCACCAGTTTGAATCAACATAACAATTTCTTAGAAAATGTCATACGATTAGCAAAAGCGATGGAAAAAACAACCAATGCACTTTGACCCAATGAAGCATTTATGGGAAACACGAGTAATTTTCCCCATTGCGCTTATGCCTGGCCATAAAAACAGCGGCATTTCAGTGGAAAACCGATGGAAAAGCTCCGACTATTGACCCCAATGACACACTCACGAGCGATTTATTACAAATTCAACAAGTGAATCCAATTACGGCGTTTGTACACAGTATTATGTGAAATGTGTGCATATATTAGAACACCGATTTTCCTCACAGGCATTTTCCGAGTCATTTTTTCTCGCACATTATACATATTTTTTGGGGGGACTTGAGAGTCACTCACCTGTATCAAAAATTGTCCACTCTTGGTGTGTGGATTGCGATAAGCGTAGAATACCCAGAGAACGCCAGACAGAACGAGGATGATGGGAATGAGAAAGCCAAGAACCGTTCCCACGCCAGCACTGTGACCCGCTCCACTGTCCGCCATGTCGCTGGTGATGAGCTCCTTGGACACTTTGGACACACTGTTCACATCTCGACTCTCGTCACTCGCGCCGGCACCAGATCTGTGGCCACTGTCGCCATCCGAAGCCCCCGAATGATTGTCCCAAGACTTGTCTCCACTCTCTGAGCTGTCAGACGCACTTCCCGCATTGTTGCCCTTGTCTCCGATCATCGGACACTTGTTCTCATCCACAATCTGCACCTTCTCGCATCCCTTCTGCACCCAATCATGTCGCTGCCGATCCGTGCCTGTGGAGCATCGATTAACGGTGGGACACCAATTGCACTGCAAGACAGGAATTGACAACTTTTATTAATGGCATTGATCTGTATAAATTCCATGTCATTGTTTTATGATTGCTAAATGATCTTCAATTTTCATTATCGCATTTACATTTCTTGAAAATCAGTCTAATGAGTGCGCGATGAAAAGGCCTCGTTAATGACCTACGCTTTTTTTCTTAGCGCTATCAACACTCAACGATTTCTGATGAACCATCCGATGACGAGTTATCAATTTGTGTTATGCTCATATATATATTTTTTTGACTAGCATGTTTTGTTAACCAGAAATGAAAACTTTCTGTGGCATTTCCTCATTAATTCACAACAATACTTCGTCTATGATAGAGCGCAACACAATTTGCTCATCAATCTCTTCAGATATCAAATGATTTCGTCTAATAATAGAATATTTATGAGACAGTATTTGAACTCGAGTTGAACTCATCAAGCGAATGAGAGCGGCTCATCTCAACATCGCCAACATTATAGTCATTATGGCATTATTATATCCAAATTGCCGATAGACTCACCTTGAATGAAGTTAGCTTCTTCAGACACGAAACACAATCGGTGAGCGAGAGACAAGTTGGTTGTGCACTGAGAAAGATAACCGTGCCATTTCTGATATCATTGCTTTCGAAAGTCACTCGGTGATACTCATAAATTGTCTTTCTCCTTGCAACTGAAACGAGAATCGTACGAGACAGAGAAATTAGAGACGGATAGTGTGTGACGAGACAAATAATCAAGTGCCACTCACAGAATATCGTCTTGTCACTGATGTATGCATCTGAGAGGCCCACTTTGACGGGATGCTTCTCATCGCGGATCCCCTCAATTGGCACCGGCACAGAGTAGTAGGCGAACACGACGTCTCCAGTCTTGTGGAGTGTGGCACTGAAGGTGAATGGCTTCTCTGTTTCGTGATCCTGCAGGTACAGATTCTCCCACAACACAGTGAATGCCGTTCCTGCCATAGATGGATAAATAAATTAAAGGAAATCCAATTATATCCCCGAAACTCAACGACAATCCCCTTTCCACTCTGCCCGCAGATATGTTATCACTTGAGCTAATAATTGAATTATCATCCCGGAAGAGTGTTCACGAGACTCTCATGACACCATTTCGCAATTGACTAGAAGAAGAACAAACACACGCATTCAGGGCGATGCAGTATTTGCTAAAATATCTCACCGTTATCCAAATATTTCACAAAAGAGTTATTCGAGATGCGGGAGTCAAAGTTAGCCATCAGTGGCGCAATATATTGCGTAGCCGCCAACCAGGAATGCACATATTCTCCAGTGTAGAGAAATCCTCCGGTGGCTATTGTGATGTTCCTCAAGGGATTGCCATAGAACGGGAAGTCAAATTTCAGTTGAATCGTCTGCAAAATAACACACACAAAAAATTATGAGAAATTCACTTTTCTCTCCTCCTGAATGGTCTTGCTATAAATTGACCATCAAATATTCTTCCACCATGAAACTGTTGCTCATTTATTGGACAAACATTCCAAAGACGCAACACAAATATTTATACCCTCTTCAGAAATTCGATTTTGACTCACACAAGAACCATTTCGCACGAAAAGGCATAATGGAAATATGTAGACGTAAATTTTATGTAAACACACAACCAAAGACAGAAAGCCAGGATTTATATTATTCTCAGAAAGAAATAACCTTCGTTTTTGCAACATTATAAGTTGTTCAAACTGTGCTAAAGAACGAAAAAAAAACTACAAGAAGCTGTGTAAATCGTGATAGACAGCAGGTTTCTTCTATTTCTGACACTATTCTAATTGTTCAAATAAAATTTGAATCAAACACTCACCATTGCTCTTCTGTGGGACCTTGACAGCAACTGTGAGACTGTGAGATTTCCAAATGAAGCCTTCATCCTATTGGCCATGTCCGGATCCTCGATTACAGTGCTGTTGTAGTACGAATGGAATTCCTCCTTGAACTGCGTGATGTTGTGCTCCAGCAGCGTCTTATTCATGTTCACACTGAACTTGTCAATATCATCCACGCTAATCTCATCCTCTCCGCTGATCTCCTGGCCCAGGAACTTTCCCAGGCTCTGATTGCTTGAAGCATTGGAGTCTTGCGGCGTGTTGATGTTGATGGGATCGGAAACTTTAGTGGGAAGCGGCGTGGTGGGATACACTGCGGAGAAACATGGCATATGAAAAATACAGTCTCCTCGTGCAGGTGCACACAGTCTGACATACCCTTCCTCTGGCCCGTGCCATTGACACCCAGATTGTGCATGCTGGAGTCCTTGAGGACAGGATCCAGCGTGACTGTGGCTTCCGTGGAGGTGGCATTCGATGTCTCAGCACTTGTGGCATTTGCAGTGGCTTTCGTTGTTGCCGCTTCAGCTGACGAAGTCTTTGGATCTGGCGTTGCTTGTCTCTTGGCGCGCTCGAGCGTCACATCACTCAGATGGGGTAAAAGCGACTCACTCGTCTCATACTTGTGATAAATGGTAAGATCTACATGGCGAGAGAGAAAGAGAGAAAAATCAATTTTTTGCGCCTCATTCCCGCCAACCTTTGGGTGTCACCGAACTCAGAAGAAAAAAAAAAACCGTGACTCCACCTGTTTAATGGCAACACAGGAGACACACTTCCCTCCCTCCCGCCGCCAGAGCACACTTAGGTGGTGAGAGATCAGCAGTCCAAGTAGAAAGTCACACTGGAAAGCGTCTCTAATGCCCCTGGAATTTCCATCAGTCACTCCCGGAATTGATTTTCATTGTCAGGTGAAAAATTCCCACACAGGGTGCACACGTTTAGGTATCATTAGAAACCCCCTCGCGGAGACAACAACTATAAATTCAAATTGTTGGCTTCCCCACAGTGTGACATGTGTGATGATGTTCAAAATTCAATTTCATGCCTCATAATATGATGACGAAATACACATCAAATAATTGTCTGAGCAACACAACAACTGTGTGTAAATCATTGATGTGTAGTGAAAAAGAGCAAAAACACACGTCAATTCCAATCAATGGTCAATTGGCTGAGGAAGCCCCACACTTTGTGGTGCCAAAGCCAACCAATAAAATTGCCATTCACATCGTGTCAAATAAAATAATTAAAAATAGATAAAATCAATTGCGAAAAAATAACAAACATCACACGTCTCACAGGGGAGACAAAGAGACCAAAATTGCTGGTAAAAATAAAATTGTCTCTGCTATAGTCTTAGTTGTTGAGGCGCCAGCGCACGTTCCCGGTTGAATTTATCTCCAAGAAATATATAAACCACTTTTTACGCCATGCCTTCACTTCATCCATGACTTCATACTTAATGCTCGTTTGTATAAAAATTGAAAATACTCCATTTCATTATTCATATCATCAGATGGTTCTCATTAATAAAACATCGTTCCAATTAGTGAACATCACACGGAGGAGCGTCGCCGAAAGGGAAAAACTTGAGTGAAATGGACAACAAAGTGCACAAATTGCATTGCTATCAATTCACACCAAGCTTCATTCCACATCTATCCCAATTATTCTGATAACATCACATCCAGGATTCGGTTACTTTTCCCAGAATATGAGAATTTTCACGCGTCTGACGATTCATCATTTGCCTCTCCTTTCGCAGTCTTGCGTGTGATTCACTCCAGTCTCTCAATTTATTTTATATGTAGAATAATTTCAATTGCTCATTTTACCTGTCCGTGAATTTTAAATGAGTTCAGTTTTCCTCTCTTTTGCTCATCGACCAACACTGACGCATTAAGATGAAATTTCATAATATTTCACTATAACTTTCTGCAATATTACATTAAAATCTCACTTCTTGCCGTCTGTCTTCTGACCATTCTAGACTCGGGGAAATTCGTTTCATTCGACACTGAGCAATTAAACTAATTAAATTATATCTTCAAGCTTTTAGTGACAACACACTTTGTTGAGAAGAAATGAAAACATCATTATTGTTATGACCTCCAAAAACACATTCTCTCATCATCGGCACAGAAACTATGTTCTTCTTCGTGTGTCACCTTCTTATGACGCGAAAAATAAAATACATTTTTCAATATATGTGACATCGATCTTAATAAATAATGGCAATAATTCAAATTTTTACTGCTGTACTCAATGAAGACCGAAATACGATCGACAAGATACACTGTGTCGATGACTCGAGTAAACTTCCCTCCTGACCTAAATTAATCAGGCGGACTTAATTTTTGCCAAAATGTACGCATCAGCAAAATTGGACACTGTAACTGCTTCATTTTACTGTATAAATGGCCATTTGCATAATTCAATCAATTAACAGTACCCGAGCCAATGTCTCCATAAACTCCCAAGCGTTTCCAACTTCAGCCACTGCGAGCGCTAGCAAAGACACCTGCTGTATTTAAGAACTGCAACCCTACTTAATAGTTTACTTAATGGAGTAAATATTGATCATATCATGTTCTACAGTTGAGAGCAAAACTATTTGTATGAAAAAACTCTGAAGAAGTGCATGTTATATGCAGGGAAAACACGAGGGAAAAGTTCACTTTGACAGTTGCTGCCATGGAGCTTTTTCTATACCACAACTAGTAACCTAAAACCCATTTTTACACTGTTGATTTTTTCAACAAGATACACTTTGCGAACTACACAACAAATCGAATACGTCTATAAATATTTCCTGACATGCCACATATAAAGCTTGCGCATTCCACCTGACTACAACAAAGAGTCAATTTAAATTTCTCAATTTCCAAGCCACTCTTCCCACAATATGAATTTATGTAGGAGAGAATAGGTCATTATATTTTCTAGAAGTCAATACTACAAAAAAAATGCATAAATTTTCAATTTAAGAGAATGACGTGAAGGCCTTTTCTCCGATCTGGCAAAGAAATGCAATTCGCGTGAAAGTGAAAATGGGGATGAAAGTAAATTGATACAAGAGCGTGATTCCGGCGAAAATTTCATCACGAATCATTAAGAGTTCGCTGGTAGTAATAACACGTTCTTTCACCAACTGTGTGGGTAAAATTTGTGCGCGAAAAAGAAGTGTATACAGTTTTAGGACACTTCCATGATGTGCGAATGATACTGAGCTGCGATTTTTCCATCTCCTCACACTCCAAATCAAACAGAATGTGACGATAGAGCGTGCTTTCATTACGAGGGACACACACACAACATGATAATGAGACTGACTTCTGTGAAAAGTCGTGCACAGAGAGTGCTCAAAGTGGGATTGCATTTGATGATCTCTCGCATTGTGACGAGAAATCAAACTCAATATTGAGTCTATAAGAAATTTACGCATCTTTCTCCACTCTGCGATGATTCAGCCTTATCAATTGATTTATTCTCCAACATTTCCAATCTCTCTCACGCACACGTTCGACCTCTTCACCACTGGACATGTGGGCAGAGTGGATTGTCCTCAAAATTTGACCTATTAACCCCGCCAAAATTGATTTAATTGTTTTCACCACCGTACAATGTCTCTCGCTCTCCTTGTCCAAATCGCGTCTCAAGGCATTTTCACCGCGCTTTTCACCCGTTCCCACAGAAAGATGACCCAACAAGAGTAGCCAGAGCTTCTAGAGAAGCTCGAGAGTGTTTCACATCACTTAAACATCAGTAAAATGGCAATAAAGCCGTCTCCACATTAAGAAGCCTTTGTGTCAATGTAATATTTCATATTCAGATCACTTCCAGAGTATCGATTCAGAATACATCGTCAATTTATCTGTGATTCATTCGCTTTTGGCTCTCATTGCATTTCCCAACCCCAAACGAGGGCCCCGCGATTCGTGCAGGATAGTTAGGAAAGATCAATTTCTGGAAAACATCAACTCTGCTTGGTCAATTCTTTGAGATTAAGACTGGCTTTCTCACCCATTTAGACGCACGATCGAAGCCTGTGTTAAAACCTTGGAGTTTCTTATCACAATCAATTGGACAAACTGGACAAACAACCTACTCAATGAAGCGTTGAGGTGTCTATCCATCAAATTCCATCCTCTTTTGATTGATTTGATTGCACGAACTGCACGCTGTTCACTTTACCAGCGAAGATCTTTCAATTTGAGACAATTCTGCTCATGTGACATCCACTTACTAAGTCACTTGTTCCGTAATTTATGGAGCAATCTAGTGGCAGAAAGTGCAGAAGATAAATGAAGAATTAAGTGATATTAACTCGAGAGAGTCTTGCTCGCCGCTTCTTGCAGTTCGCCTTGAGAAGTCTCTTCATTTGTGTGCGATCAGGTGGAGATGTGGCATTTTTGCCAATATAGGCGCTTCTCTGCGTGTTCTATAAAACAGTCGCTGACTCTTGACTCTCAGGGGATTTCCAGAGCCGCGAGTGTCTGTATCGTCTTCCCACTCTGCGATGCTCTCCTCTATTCCACACTGGCTCGTTTGAGACAGCATCTTTCGAGGCATCTTTGGACATTGGCCGCGATCGTGTCTTCATAGTTTCCGAGTGTGTTTTGTTGAATAACACTATTGACACTCGAGGACAATGTTTACACTTGGACACTCTCTAGAGTTGTGAATTTCTCCGGTGGCACGCGCGCCTCCTCAGAGCCCCCGCATTCACTCATCGCGGGGCGCCGCAAGAGGAGCAATTCCGGGAAGATGTTGCGTTTAATTATAGGTTCTATTTCTATGGCCAGACGCTTCTCTCACTCTAGCCCTCGCGTCTCAATATAGCTCTCCAATCTCACGAGATCTGCCTTCTCGCGTCTTGTGTGCGTTTTATGTCGCCTCGGACGTTTTTTCTCCTCACCGCGCGCGATGATGATCAAAAACCACTCACAAATTGCACAATCGTCAGGCCGACCAGTTGTCGGATTTCTCTGCTAAATTGCGTGCTTTTCCCACCGTGTGCGCCTATATGTGAAAAACCTCCCGCCATTCGACACTTTTCCAGAGTTCCGCCGTGTGCGGAGGCCAAACAAAAATACGGAAAAGCCACAGAGCGACGGAAAGAGGCAAAAATTGCCACGGAATTGCATGAACCCTGTTTCCCCAGCGACTGTGTGCGATTTTGTCGGGAAATTGCACAATTCAACAGCACATAGCGCCCCAAACCACACTACCGAGGCCATCCTCAAGCGGTAAATTACCTCTATCGATGTGCCCAAAGGGGGCAATTGGCGAGAAAAGCACACAAAAAAGGAATATTTGTAGAAAATCCATTTTGATGTCGCACTATCTGAAATTCACACGTAAAACTGACACAGCTCCTCTGACGTTTCCTCGGCGACTGCGACCGCACTGCCCTCTTGCCTTGTCCGGAGGGCAGCTCGCCGCTTCGATCAATACTCCGGAAACCCAACGAAAAGGGGAGCTTTGAATTCAAATAAATGGGGAGCCAGCTGACTTTTCGATAGGTTTATATGCTCTTCCAAAAAGACACATCATTTTCACCACACAAAGGGCGCTTTCTCGCGCAGGATTCTCAGCCCGTGCTTGCGCCACTCCTGGGCAGTGATCCACAGCTCAGAGGCGCTCTCGAGGCACGATAGGACGGACGCTCCCTTCCACGCAGTCATGGCGGGGTCCATGTCCTTCGGGCTGGTGACGATGTCCAGTTGCTCAGAGCGATAGAGGTAGGGAATTTGGAGAGCCACGCGATTCTGGAGCCACTTGCCGATTCCTTGGAATTTCATACCGCCGCCCACGACGAGAATGCAGCCGTACATCTTCCTCTTGAGCTCCTCATTGGGACACCTCTCGATGCTCTGCAGCACAGCCTGATCCAACCCAATGATTTGACCTCCTGGCACCACAAATTCCCTCTCCACCTGCTTGCTGTTGTCCTTCTCCTCGTCCACCACGATCTCCTCATCAGGATTCTCAGTGTGCAGGAATTCCGGGGCGGATTGCTCGAGCTGCTCTTTGGCTCCGCGTCGGCTCGTTTCCTTCAAGTACTCAGCATCGAAGCAATCTTCCGGATCAGACTGCTTAGTCCAGGGAATTTGCGTTCTGGCCAACTTCGTGGGTCCCGTGAGATTCAGGAGTTCAGTGTGGAAGAGACTCAGCGGCGCCACAATCGCCTCATCGCCCACCTGAAGTGTAAATCTCTGTCCTGCGTGCTTCCCAGGCTGAATCACGTCAAAGTGCTTCTCCTCCGAACCGCAAATGTCCAGGTTCACGTGACAAAATTCTTCCTTCAGTCTCTTCAGCAGTACAGCATCCTGGGGCAGAGTGTCCTTGCAGGTCTTGTAGGGAAAGGCGCACTTCTGCAGCAGCCAGAAGAATGTCTGAGTCACGTCTCCGCCTCCATATTCCAGACGAACACGCGTATTGGGATGAGATATTGCGTCCTCGACGCAGGACACCGAAGTCTTCTGGTCACCAACGTCCACGACGCACGCATATCCCAAGCCGGCCCCAAAAGTGGCCGCCACGTGATCCTGGACGAGGAAGCAGCTTCCGAAGCCCATTCGACAGAGCAGTAGAGTCACGAGCTCGCGCAAGTAGGCTCTGTTGTAGATGTCCGGGATGACTAGGACAGCTCTGTAGGCCGACAAGTCGGCCAGCTTGATCTCCATGGTGGCGGAGAGTACGTGCTCCCAGATGGCCTGGAGATCAGTCATGACGGAAGACAGAGAGCCACCGAGACCACTGTGGACGTTCAACTCGCCGCGTTTCATGGGGAAGTGCAGGTTGAAGTTACCACTGGGATCGAGATTGAGCACATTGTCGCCGAATATGGTGTCCCAGAGAGGCTCATGCCAGGATGGCGGCGTTTCCGACAGACTCTCCGGCGCAGAGCGTCGATTGAAGGCGGAAATTTGTTGCGGTGGTGTTGCATATCTCCTTCTGCCGTCGGACTGGAGACAAGATTGAAGTGTGTGGGACACGGCGAGTCGACAATCTTCTAGCTCCTGGAGTAGTTCCTTGGTCTGGAAACAGACAATTTCCATGAAGAGAAGCGAAAAGAAATGCTACTAATTTTTCACCTTTGGCACGGTCTTCGGGAGGATAGGATCATGATGACTCGTTCCTCCTGACTTCCTCTTCCTCGCCACAGCATGAAGAGTCCGGTGGGGATTTAGATCCGACGCTCTGCCCATCCGCAAGTTGAGTGACCCCGGATGAATGACGATAATCATCTGAGCTTGGTTTTGCTGTAAGATTCCAATAGTTTGCATTTACTCTTCCTTTATTCTCACCCATAATTACTTCTGAACTCTCCATTGTGTCCCTGTTCATCCGCAAGACCGGGTTTTCACGGGAAATCAAGTAATTTTTCAGGAAAACCCGGCAAAACAAACAAAATATAACCGCACAAGTTTGACAAGTTCGCTTGGCATTCATAACCTCAAAGTGGTGCAAAGAGAAAAACAAAGAGATTTTTCGTGAAAAACTCGCACAAATTTGCAGGAAAAATCTCTGTGGGGGGCGAAATGGATCTTTTGGGATCTATTTTGGCTGGCATGGACCAACCTCCGTCCGTGAGCAACAAGGATAAGGAGATGCTGAAGAGTGAGTGTGCGCTTTGGGGCGCTTTTGGGATGGCAAAGTAAAATTTGTGGGGCACTTTCAGAGCAAAAGGAGCAGGAGGAGAAACTGATGACTCAGAACAAGAATGAGCTGAACAAATTCCGCACATATGTGGAGCAGCGCGTGGAGAGATTCATGAAGGACAACCGCAAGCACATCCAGTTCCCTCCGGCCGACAAGGTGTACCGGAGTGTCGTGTGAGTGCATAATTGATGGGGGCGCATGGGCACATGCTAATGGGTTTGTTTGCTATTTGTAGGCACGATGTGGCCGACATCGCCGGGCTGATTGGCATGAGCTTCGGCCAGGAGGGCGTGGATCGATACATAGTCGTGTACAAGAAAGAGTACTCACCGACAGAGGATGAGATTGCGGCGCGCCGGAATGGCGAGGAGTGGAACACGCAGGTGGAAGAAGAGTACAAGAAGCGCCGGGAGGACGAGGAGAAGGCAGAGGAGGAACGAGCCAAGCTTCCCGGCGAGGATCCCACACCAAAGTCCAACTACAAGGAAAAGTACGTCCACTTGATTGGCGAGAAGGCGGCTCTGGAGGCCGCCAAGAAGACAGAGACAAACAAGTCTTATGGCTTCGTGCCCAGCGAGAACAAGAAGGATCAACGCTCCATCGAGCAAACTTTGTCGGACATCCAGGCAAAGAAAAGACTGAAGACCAGCCACCAGCCGTCCGGGGAGGCGGACAAGTAGAGCCATAGCGGGAGAGATGGCGAGGAGTCTTACTAATTAATGATTTATTTAAAATAATGAAAGTAATGCGTGTGAAAATCCAAATATTTTCTCGATTAACTATATAATTCCGTCGTCGTCCCAGGAGTGAAGTTGTCCTCGCTGCGGAGAAGTGTGGCCAGGGCGCGACTTTCTTGTACAACTGGCTTTGTAGGTAAAAGAAGAAAAAGAGGTTTCCAAAAATCCAGGGTGAGGGAGAAGCATTGCGGGCTGAGCGGGGTGTCGTCCCGGATTATATACATCTTCGAGGGATGGCCAGCGTCCTCGCCTCTTGTTATAACACCACCGTCACCTGCTCCACGCACGAATTCTTCAAGCTCACGTCGTCCACAATCTGCAGCAGTGTCTGGATGTCTGCGGCCGTAGTGAGACTCTCGGGCGCCCCCACGAGCGTCACCTCGTTTCCCTCGATCTCGATGATGAGTTCCGTCGCCTTGAAGTTTACCGAGCGATCCCTCTTGGCCGCCTCTGCAGTCGATCGCCGCTGGAAGGCGATGCTCGTGGGCGTCTCGGAGCCCTTCTGCGTGGTGACGCTGTGACTCCACGTCTCCGATGGCAGCCGAATGTCCTCCACCTGCTCCGCCAGCTCCTTCAGTGTGATGCCCAGGCTCACCTTCGCCGCCACATCCGGCGGCTGCTCTGCCGGCAGCTGCACCACATGCCACGTCTCGAAGCACGTAATCTCGCGCTTCTGCCGCATTCCTGGCATAGCCACAGGCTTTAGCGGCGGCTTTGGGATGCCCTTGAGCAACATCTGCGTCTTCGCCCCTCCCGCCAGCGCGGGCCTCTGCACGCCGGGTAGCGGACGCAGCGGCACCAGTCCTGCAGGACGCACCGGCGGCTTCCGGGCGGGAGAGGAGGCCATCAGAGCGTCCTTGAGCGCTCTCTTGGGCTTGTCTGCTTCCAACTGCCGCGTCAGGTCGATCACCGGGCACCTGGACGCCAGCGGGGGCATCTTCTTGGCTTCCGGGAAGCGCGGCACACTGTTGATCTTGCCATTGTTGTTGAGCTGGCGATTAATCGGCGACACCTTGGGTGCAACTTTCGACCCCACTGGCGACAGCTTGGGCGCCACCTTGGCCGGCTGACTCAGGATCTTGGAACTGTAGAGCGGCCGAGCGCCCTTGGGCATTTCTGGCGGGCACTTGCGAACTCGCTTGGGTTCATCCAGCACCACGTCGTGCTTCTTATTGAGAATCTCCGACACATCCACTATTTTCACGTTCTCTCGCGTCCCGGCCACGTCCACGATCTCTGCCTTGGCCGACGTCACTGCCTTAGTGGCCGCGGCTGGTCTCTTCTCCGCCGAGCGGATCGGCTGCTGCGGCTTGGCCGGCGTCGTGGGAATATTCAGCTTCTCCACGAGCGCCTTGATACGCTTCTTCGCAAAATTATCCACCTTCGTCACTACCGGATGCTCTGGCTCCTCCTCGCGCTTCCTCTTCGGTGGTCCAGCTGAGTCTGGCGTCTGCTGCTTGGTCGCCCGCTCCGGGAGACGGCGCTGCGGTGTCTCCTTCTTCTCCTGCGGTTTGCTCTGCGGTGTGCTCCTCTTGGTGGGCTCCGGAGTCTGCACAGCGGGCTTCTTGGGACGCCCGCGTTTCCTGGTGCCCATCTTCGGCGTCTCTTCCTCATCCTCCTCGGAGAGCGGAACGAGCTCCTCGCTTGTCTCAGACTTGGCTGGTGTGGTTGAACGACTGCTGTCTCCAGTCACGACCCTGGACGACGAGAAGGGCACGATGACGTCGTTGGAGTACTTCGGGTTCGGCTTGGGCGTCCTCCGTGATCGCGTCAGTGTGAGCGATAGATTTTCACTCTCCTCCTCGGGCTCCTTCGCCTTCGATTTGGGAGTGTCTTTCGTCTGGGTGACGGCACTTTTCCGTGGTCGACCCATTTCGCTGTCCTCCAATCGCAACTGATGCCTCACTCAAATTGTCCCAGAAAAGCTTCAACAGAAGGCTATTTTTGCCCGTGTCTCGCTGCCTGCTTCCCAGTGTCTATGCTCGTCCCCACGCACAATGGGACACCATCGCAAGCCTCTTTAACGCGATTCACACCTGAAAAGGAGCATTCGTGAGAGGAAAAGTCAGCATTTGGCACTATTCATGATGCTGCGGGCAAAGGGGTCGCAGAAGTATTTTCGCCACTACGTGAAAGTTCCCGCGCAGAATTTACCTTGTCCAGCAATCACTCTGCTCTCAGCGAAAACTCAGCAACACACTGACAAAACACCTTCTCGCGATGATGGGGCACTTTTCCAATGTCCTTTTTAGTTTTTTCACGTAGAATTCACCACGTATTTGTGAGAAAAATACAATTGAACCAACGCTAGCAACTATCAAAATAGTAAAATGGCGTCAATCGTTTGACAATGCAGTTGGCAACACGGGCGGCCATGTTTTCAGAAACCCGTTCCGGAGCGTCGCTTCGGCTCACAACATTCCATGAGCAGTGGGATACCACAGAAAATCGTGAAATCACTGAGAATAGATCAAATTTCCGAGATTTTCGATAAAGCACTGTTATTTTGCTGAAAAGTGATGAAATTCCGAGTTAAATAAAAAATGTGAATCCGAGACGCACACCTTTTCCGGATTGTGTGTTTCGGAGTTGCTCAATTTGCCCAGTGGTAAGGTTGGCATCCCTGGCATAGGTTGTCATTTCATCTGGTGTTCGCTTTTGTTATTCTCGGTATTTCCTGTGAAAATGCCCTTTCAATTGCACAAGGAGCTGAAGGAAGAGTGGCAGAAGCCTGCAAAGAACTTGAAGAAGATCGGAGGTCTGCTGGACCAGCTGAAAGTGAGTGTTTTGATAAAAGTGCACATCATCCAACCCGAACATAACCTCAAGGAAGATGACTTGTTCTACTGAATTGTTTTGCTTTTCCAGTTGGCACTGACCAAATTGGTTTTCCTGCCGACCAGCAATAACAGTGCCTCTCAGAATGAATTGCTCGTGGCGCGAGAGATTCTGGAAATTGGGGCGGAGTACAGTGTCGCCGTGAAGGACATTGTGGCGTTTGAGCGCTACATGTCGCAACTGAAGTGCTACTATTATGACTACAAGTGAGAATCCTGGCCGCAATTGCTTCTTGATAGTCGTACTAAGATGATGGGTTTATCCTTGCAGGAATCTCATCGCGGATTCGCCCAATAAATACCAGCTGCTGGGACTCAATCTCCTATTTCTGCTCTCGCAAAATCGCGTGGCGGAGTTCCACACAGAATTGGAGCTCCTGCCGGCTGACATAATCCACTCGAACAAGTTCATCCGCCATCCGCTGGCTCTGGAGCAGTACTTCATGGAGGGCAGCTACAATAAAATCTTCCAGGCAAAGGGCAACGTTCCCGCGGAGAGCTACAACTTCTTCATGGACATCTTGCTGGACACCGTGCGGGATGAGATCGGGTCGTGTCTGGAGCAGGCGTATGAGAAAATCTCCCTCACAGAGGCGTCGAAGAGACTCAACCTGAAGACAAAGGAGCAGGTGAAAACGTTCGGCGGTAAGAAGGGATGGAAGCTGGGCGGAGACAATTTCTACCACTTCGCCAACGAAGCGCCCAAGCCCAAGGAGCCAATTCCATCCGTCGAACTGGCCGAGCAGGCCATCATCTATGCCAAGGAGCTGGAAATGATTGTCTAGTTGAGTGAATCCATAAATCATTTATTTGATAATATAATTCTCTTATCCTCCACAAAGTCAGAGATTTAATACATATAGAAAAAAGCCAGTGATTCTGCCCTTTGTTCCATTGGAGACAATCCAAAAATACCTGTGATTTTGTGTGTGTGGCGCAAAGGAGAGAGCAAGGAGGGTTAAATTGTGGTGCTTCTTGGTTCGTCCATCAAATACAGACATCAATATACTTTTTTTTCGTGAATACACTTCTAGACAGTTAAATTCACTCACAACTCCCAGAAAAAAAACATCATCCCTTGGACATGAATATTTCTTTTGATTACTTCTTTCCTCACTCGTTATCTTAAGCTCTTCTTAATAATAACTTCAATCTTCTGTCTTAAATTCATTATGCTGTTTATGCCATAACTTCATCAATTCTGCTGTGACGCAAAGTGGCAAAATTTAGCTGCTAAATCTAAACTATGCCTAACTGGGCATTTCTATCTGGCTGTGGTGCTTCTATGTAGGAAAAGGAATATCAGCAAAGTTAATGTCTAGTGTAATCTTTTTTTCTTTCAATTGAAAATGACCTCTCTTTGGTAGTCATCTTCGAGGAACTCTAACACAAATTACCGTTCTTCAGTTAAAATGCAAGATCATTCCGCAGGAAAAGTTAAATTGCTCGGAATGTTCCACTGGATAGAGGAAATATGACTATCGGAATTGAGGAAAACTGCCCTCACTTGTTGTCTACCGGGTCGTAGAGAAGATGAGGAAGAGGTTTCTGTCTAACTAAAAACCGAAAATCACATGAGACTAGAAGTTTTCTACAGGATGAAAAATAATTTAGTCGCTAATTGAAGAAATTGTGACTTGTCACAGATTCTATGTCACTATCCTCACTGCCTGTCGTCTCCGTGGGCTCCCCAATTGCAACACGCGCGTACTCATCGGAGTCTATGCTCTTGCAGAAGTGAATAGCATACTTCAGTTTCTCCTGCAGCACAGCCTGGAAGAAATAGCATCGAGAGTTAGCAGTAATCCCGCATAAACGCACTGCATTCACTCACTTTGCATGTGTATCGGGGCATTTTCAGAAGGAAGAAACACGTGTAGCTCTCGGGGAGGAAGTGATCAGGTGGATTGTACTTGTCCAGCACCTGGAGAACAAAGTCCCTGCCACGGAAGTCAGCAATTGTCCGCGGCAGACGTGTTCTGCCCCACACGAAGCGCAGGAAGAGGGAGCGCTCCTGATTGCTGAACTCCTCCATTACTTCCCAGAACCACGTGACGAGATTCGAAGTGGGCTCCACACCCTTGTAAGATGCCACAGACTTCAGGAGACCCAGCGGGATGTCGGGACTACCGCAGACCATGGCTTGGAGTTCAGAGGCAGAGAAGAGAGAGAGCAGTGGCACGGGAATCACCTTGGACATGCCGTCGCGAACTGCCTTGACTTGCTCATCAAACTCATGGAGACGATAATTCAGTGCCAATTTGATGTACTCATGACGATTCTGAGGAGTTATCTTGGTGAATCTGCAAAAGGTATTGGATTAGAATAGATTTAGATTCAGAAGATGGATCAGCAACTCAAACCTCGTGGAGAGAGAAATCTCATGACCCTTCGCCGAAGGTGTGCCAAATGGAAGTTCAAGTGTGTCAAAGACTTTGGGATCATCATCCATGTCGCGAATGCACAGCAATCCAGCCACATAGTCTCTATCGATCTCCGTCAAGTCCGCCGGCCGGAGGATCTCTCCTGAGAGTTGCCTCCAAACTGGCTCTGCCAGATTCAGACTCAGTGGCGAACCAGTTCTCACGGCGATCCCCATGAGCACACCGAGGAAGCGGAACATGTTCATCTGCAGCACCGTCGCCAGGGTGGGATCAAGGAGGAAACAGTCACGATTGGCACCAGCTTCACCGCGACCATTGGGTGTTTGGATGAGAAGAGGCACGCTGCCATTCTGCAACTCATCGCACATCTCAGCAATGGATTCGCTGTATCCACCGCCACAATCATCCACACTCTCTCCGACGAATTTCACCTGAAAAGGTACATTCAGCTTAATCACAGACATTCAAATGCGAGTTAAATTGATTCTCACCTTCCACACTCGATGAGGCAGTGACAGGGCTTCTTGCGTCAGAAGCGGCAGTTTGTGCACCATCTGACCAAAGACACTCTTCATGCCATCCACGCCAGCTAATCCGCCGCCACACTTCATGCGCGATCTCTTCACCTGAATCCGATTCAGCTCTATCACTGGACCGTGCTGCTTGTCCCTGACCATCGTGGTCTGTATAACTTTCCTGAACGCTGCTTCTTTGATGCTGTACACCAGGAGATCCTTGAGGCTGCTCAGCGACAGTTCTCCACTGATTGGCAACATGGCCAGACAAGGACAGATCAGCTCTGAGAAGTGATGCAGCAGCACGAGTCGCGCATGGAGGGCGTCTGGCGGGAGATCGCGACAGAGATCATACTCTAGCGGTGGCAGTGGAGGCGGACGACAGCCCTCGTTAAGTTGTGATGTCGACAGAGCCAGTGTGTGGGCAGATCCGCAAGTCACCTTCACAATGTGCTTTCCCTGGAGCGCCGTCACGAGTCTCGGCCGTGGAATTGCACTCACAGTTCCATCGCCCAGCTGTCCCTCATCATTGTCACCCCACGTGAACACCTCGCCTTGATCACTGCAGGCGACACAGTGCAGCGATCCCGTGGCTATTGAGATGATCTTCTTACCCTGCAAAGTGGCGATCTTCTTCGGTCTCCTCACGTGATCCACCGAGCCATGGCCCAGCCGATGGTAGTCACCCTTTCCCCAAGTGTACACCGCTCCAGATCGCGTCAGAGCCACCGAGAACTGGGATCCGCACTCCACCTTGATCACTCCCAATCCAGCGAGAACCTCAATCTTCGTTGGAACCTTGCATCCATCACTGCCGCCACGACCCAGCTTTCCATAATCTCCATCACCCCAGCTCCACACGTTGTCATCATCCGTGATGCAGAGCGTCTGGGCATCTCCGGAGCCACAGGCAATGTCAATGGCTCGATAGCCCAGCAAAGCCTCAACCATCTTTGGCCGGGTCTGATCTTCAGAGTCACCCAATCCTAGACGTCCATAGCGTCCTTTTCCCCACGTCAGCACGAGTCCCTGGGAAGTGATGCAAGCCGAGTGAGCACTTCCACACGCAATATCCACCACTCCAACACCAGACAGTGCCTCAATGAGCTTCGGGCGATCGTAGCTCAAGCGATTGCCATGGCCCAGCTTGCCATCCTCGCCCTCTCCCCAGGAGTACACCTCGCCATCAGACGTGAGCGCGAGGCAGTGTTTCCCACCAGAATTCACAGCCACTTTCTTCACGAACACATGCTGCAGAGACTCCACAAGAGTGGGAGTCGATACAGATTCCGATCCACCGATGCCCAGACGTCCACCAGCTCCGTATCCCGTCGCGAAGAGCTTCCCATCTGCCGTCACAGCGTACAGCGTCTGCTCGCCTCCCGCCAATTGGACGGGGCGTAGAAGACTCAGGGCCTCACACGGAGTGGGTGTCTTTATCCTGCCGCCCTCAAGTCCACCCAATTGACCACGGTGATTGTGACCCCATCCGTAGATCGTGCTGGCACCACCCCAAGACAATGCCCAGTCCTCAGGCCGTCGGTTAAGCCACTGCAGCAGTTGACTGTCATGCTGCGGCTTGAACACACTATGATCCTCATGCAGATACTGTTCGGCCCCCATCGAGAGACTCTTCTCTATCTCTAGCGGCACACACGGTGGCGTAGGCGACACCGAATCGATGTACTGTATATTGACGCTGCCCGAGAGGCTGCTTGCAGAGCTGACCGAGAGCAGAGATGTTGACGTTCCACTGGGCGGATTGGGATTCATCTCAGCCAGCTTCTTCCTAATTTCCAGGCAGAATTGCTGCGGCAGTACAGTGCGACGAATGAGCGCTTGAGCCACTCGAACAGCTGTACAATAGCGTCTGAACCATGACCACTTGTGCGAGTCTCCCTGCGGCAGATTGCAATCCAATTGCATGTCGCACGCTAGCTCCGCCAGGGTCTTAAAGTACTCAGAGTGCATCAGGTGGATTCCTCCCCTCACTTGTGGCTCCTCATACTCGTACTGACGCAACAAGCCAGGTATGAGTGGTGTCAAGATGCCACTTATGGTGGCATCGTAGTACGACTTTGGAGCCGACTTGGAAGTTAGTACTTCGTGAAGTTTCTTTAGCGCCCAGATGCGCTGGACACACGTGAGAGTACTCAGCTGAGCACAGGACGCCAAAGCTGCTGTCAATCTCAGGAATACCCCAGAGATTTGCACACACAACCGTGAATCAAGAAGTGCCATCACGAGATCCATTGAGGGCTGTGAGAGAACAGCGCGATCTGAGCACAGTTCTTGCAGAAAAGACGATGGCATGATGGCGTGCACCCAGAATCTCCATCCCCATCCATTCACTGAACTGTCGCTGATGAACTTCCATCGCATCTCATCGCCTGGAATGCGAATCTCTGGCGCCCACTGAGGATACTCTCGACCCGATCGCGTGGCCACCACTCGACAGAAGCCATCCATGATCACCAGAGGATCATTTCTCTTCTCCGTGGAGCACTGGCTATCGAACTCAATCCTGAGAGCTTCAGCTCCAGGAATTTTTACGTGTCCGACAAGAGTGACATCGTCGATATAAGGGTGGCATGTCTCCTGGACAACGGGTTTTGGAATCTTCCCTAGGCAGTGGCGCGAAGTGCAGAGATCCTCAAGTTCTGTGATACACGTCTCCAGGAGCATTGATCCAATGACTGGACTGTTGGCGCCAAGAGTGATAAGAGTACTTGCGATAGTTTCCGACGTGTTGGCACTGCCACATCGACCGGCGACACTCAGCTTAAGCAACTCCACCAGGCTCTTGGCTTCCGGCTCCCCAAGAAGGCATGTTATATCATCCAACTCGAGTGTATTAGCCTCGTGAACCATCTGCAAACATACTCAAGTTAGTCAATGTGTGATTATTGTAGAATGTTGGGATCTTACTTCATCTTGATGAGTCATTGTTGCTGCCATCACGGACATAGCGCTCGCTGACATCTTTGAATGCTTCTGCGTGGCATTACAGCTAGAGATGGATCCAGACTGAGACATTGATCCTGTGAGAGTCTGAAAAGCACTCAATGGACCACTTTGGAGATTCACATTCGCCAGAACGAGATCGTTATCAGGTGAGACATCAGGCGCCTGAAAATATTCACATTCAATTAATTCTACCTACAAGAATCACACAACAAGAGAACTCACGTTAACCAGTTCAGCAGGAGCTTCACCTCCTCCATGTGCTATTGTCTCTTGCTCTATGATGCTCTCCTGAATAGTTGTCTGCACTGCTGGTGACTCCACAATCTCCTTCGGTGCTTCCTCGCAGCTTTCCACCAGAGACTTCTCCGTGTTCACCATAATTGTTTGACTGTGGCTCGTGAGAGCGGCAATGATGGCCTGCCTGGCCTGAAGAATACTCATTGAGTTCAGGATGTAATTGAGAGCCATTTGCCGGGCGCCAAGACTTTCAATGGAAAGGACAATCTCTGAGAGGGATTTTCTTGATTGTGACTTGGATGTCGTTGAATTAGTCAGCTGCGCCTCAGAGTCGTAAATGCCCAAACTATTGCTGCCTAGAGGATCCTTGTTCACCCCGAATGCAATGGGTTCCTTTTTGTCCTCTTCAGCTGGACTTTGGGGCAGACACCAGGCCACTGAGTGTGAACTCCCGCAAGCAACTCGATTCACAAACACTCCCTCCAGTCCAACCACTGAATATGGCTTCTTATTCACCGTTGTGTTTCCTGATCCTTGCTGTCCATGATCATTGTCACCCCAAGCAAACACTTGCCCGGTTTCCGTCACAGCGAGACAGTGAAGAGCACCAACAGCCACATGGATGACTTTCTTCCCACGCAGACCCTGAATTGGAGTCGGCTTTCGCACATGCTGATCTGATCCGTGGCCTAAGCGGAAGTAGTCGCCCTTGCCCCAGGTCCACACTTCACCATTGGACGTGAGGGCGAGACTAAACTGAGCTCCACACTCAATCTGGACCACTCCTACGCCATTGAGACGTTCAATTTGCTGTGGCAGCGAACAACCTTCCGATCCACCGCGTCCTAGTTTCCCAAAGTCACCATCACCCCAGGAAAACACTAGTCCTTCCTCAGTCAGAGCCAGAGTCTGGGCATCCCGACTGCCGCAAGCCACCTGCACGACTCGATGGCCCAAGAGAGCAATCACTTGTTTGGGCTTCAATTGAGTGCTGTTGTCACCATGTCCCAGGCGTCCATATTCGCCCAATCCCCAAGTGTAGAGCTCTCCTGAACTGGTGATGGCGGCACTATGACTCGATCCGCATGCCACATCTCGGATTCTTTTGGATCGCAGAGCCTCAATTAGCTTAGGTTTATCCAGAGTCATTCGATTTCCATGTCCTAGTTTGCCATCTTCACCTTCGCCAAAGGAGAATATCTTGCCATCCAGAGTCAAAGCTAAGGCGTGCTTTCCACCCGAATGCACTGCGACCTTCTTCACGACATACTGACTGAGGACGGGAATTTGTCGTGGTGTGGATACATTGCAATTGTGACCCAATCCAAGGCGTCCGTTCGTGCCTTCGCCACAAGCATACACCTTTCCATCTTGTGACACAACGAAGAGGGATTTTGATCCGCCAGAAATGTGAATGGGATTGAGTTGACTGAGAGCCGGTGAAAACGTGGGCACCTTCACTTTGGATCCCTTGAGTCCACCCAACTGCTCCTTGTCGTTCAGACCCCAAACAAGTGCTTTGCACTGAAACTGATCACGACAATTGTTGTCTTCAGGTGGGCTTGTATAGGAATTTGAACTATTATCACTGGTCCCAATGTCGTACTCCGACGCTAGGAAGGATGCATTGAGGAGCATCAAGTCCAAATCAGTCTGCTGCTTCTGTCCGATGATGTTGATGGAGTGAACTTTGCATTGGATCCCATTGTTGCGGCACTGCTTGATGACGATCTCAACAAAAGCATAGAATTGCTTGACTCCAGTCAGAAGAGGTACAACGGTGTCCGTCACTTTCACGCTCACCCAACTCAGATCTTTCAGTCCGGCCACAGTGTCGCCCACGCGAACCACCACGAGTGAGGGCATGTGAGAGTGATCGGCGGAACTCACCGTGATCGATAGTGAGTGTATCAGCATCTTATCGTGCATTTCCAAACGGATCCAGTGTTTCCCACCTTGCGCTCCTGTGCTCTGCCAGCAGTTCGATGACTTGTCCAGCAGATGCTTCGCCGTGGACTCATTGGACGATACTGTTAGAGATTTTATGCATTTGCTCCAGTCATCGGTGAGTTCATCTTCATTTCCGCCCAAGAAGTTATGCTGACTCGGTTCAGCCTGAGTTATCTCCAAGTCACTCACCAGCCCAGTCCACTGGAAATTACCGGGAAACTCTACACTCACTTCACGTCCATTCACTGCCCACACAGTGCCCACCGTTCCCTTGGGCAACACCTTACTCTTAGTCCTCGCGAAGGGCACCGAGATGGCTCTCTTGAGGCACACATTGGTGCCAATGGTGATCTGCTGAGGAGTTGATGGTGTTCCCTGAGCTGGAGTTGGAGTTTCCTTTGGTGGTGGCGGAGCCATAAGCTCCAAATGAAGAAATGCCACCCAATAAGTGCATCCGTGCATCATCCAGTCCACCTGAACATTGAGATCGTGAAGACCTTCCGCATCTACCTTCAACACAGTCCCAATGTCTCCCACTCTGATCTCCTCGAAATCCTTAACACATCTCACAGTCATGCCTGGACAGACATGTCCTCGCACATAAATAGCGTACTGATCAGCTGTCTTGAAGTCCTCTCTCAAGGCATACCTCACAGGAGCATCTTGAGTTGTCGAAGACCAATCTTGAGTGTCCGAAACTGCACTCTCTGTATCCGATTCATTGTTCACCGCCAGATAGTCCATCGATGCTGCTCCCTCAGTTGCTACATTGCTGCTCGCGGAGTCATGTTCAAAAAGCCAAAGAACCACTTGATCGGCTGTTGGTGGAACATCGGATTTTGCAGTAAGTTGGCTAATGGCAAACTCTATAGCTCGCCTTGACAGTCCCATCTCCATTATCTGCTGCACCAGAGCTGATGGAGGATTTCTTCGGGCGATGGAGTTATCCTCATTAGCGGCATCATTGTACAGAGGCACGCCGTGGATGAGAGTTGTCTGGACAGGAGGTGGAAAATTCCTCAAGACACTTGATCCCGTCATTTGCGCATGGAGATTGCTGGCCAGCATTTGGGATATACTGAGGGCAGCCAGATAGAGTTCGTTGTAACTGTAGCAGGCCTTCAAAGGACTCGGTTGAGTGGCTCTCATGAGAATATTCTGAATTAGAAGTTCATCTTCAGGTTTCTCCTCCGTCTCCAATGGTTCCCCACTCGAATTCTGATCATTCCCGTCATCACTCAGACTGTCATCGGATGAGCAACGACTCAATCCACAGGTTCTTTGCTTCAGAATCTTCCTCAGTGTGCACTGATTCTTGAACAGTACGTTTGTGGCACAGAGACTGGCCAATTGAACTTGCTGGGATCTCAGAAGGCAGATGTCTATCTTTCCGCTGGCAGTGTATCGTCTCTCTCCAGGACCGTAGATTAGCATTGCCCAAGAATTCACGAGCATCTCATTTGTTGGCAAACGAGATAGATTAAACATCGGCACTTCCAGAGAATCCTTCACACTCGACAAGGAGAGTTTCTTGATATCTCCACTGACATGAAGAGAAATCACTGCCTTGCCTTTGCTGGTAAATCGCGTTATTGTTCCCAAACTCCCTTCAATATTGATATGAGAACCCAGTCTTGGCCGAGGATCGTATCCTCCAATTAAACTGAGAGCGCCCACAATATGAATTTTCTCATCATCAATGTCCTCTTCTGTATTATCTTGTGTGAACAAATCCGCTGCGATGCACAGCTTCTCAGAGAGAAACTCATTTATAGTTCCATTCCATGCGGGAACCGTGTGAATTCTCCTTAATAAGAGAATGATCTCTTCAGCAATTGTTCCCGAGTACGACGAAGAGACAAGAACTCGTGACTTCAAATCAGCCGGATTCTGAATCAGTGAACTGTCGTTGGAGCACAGGACAATTGTCTTTCCAAGACAACTGAAGAGTTTCTCAATCAGTGGCATCATTCGATCTTGATTTAATGTGGTCCAATTCACCAAAGTCGCCTGAAGCAGTCGCAGACTTTGAATTTTTCTGTAAATGTCTGTTTCCTTGTCATTTGGCGAATCAAGAATATCAATGTGAAGATTAAGCCATGGCTCTGAAGTCAGATACTGTGTCAATTCCTTCGATGATGAAATAGCTCTGAGGAATCCCAAGGTGGTCCAGTGCTCAAAGCCGAGATTCTGAAAGCCCGTCTTTGCTGACAACACTGCTCTGAACATCGAAGCCAGCCCAAAGACTGCACTCCTCTGCATCCTATCACCGTGCTGACCAACGCCCACAGAGAAGATCTGAAGCATTTTCAGGCAGCTGTGGCGCAGGAGTTTTGTGGGATGAGAATCTCCGCTCAGAATAATTTCATTCAGAAGATCTTCCTTCTCAGAATCAGAGTCCGGAGACACAATATTCGACAGGCTGTCGGCTAGTCGCAAATCATACTGACCTTCCTTTCCCATTCTGTACGAATTTGTGGCGCCTGTGTCCCATTCCACCCTCACCCAGCCATCTTCTCCCAGTTCACTGATAATTCTTCCCTCGCCAGGCGTTGGACCATCTTGATCGCCCCACTTCCAGTCAGATCCACGGACGATTCTCGTGCCAATCTTCATGAGTTTCGCCATCTCTGGTCCCGTGAGATTGGCTCTGGAGGTCTTTTGCTTCAATATAGTGTCCTCATACACGACACTCAGCTCAGTTCCACTCCTGATGGTTGTTACATCGCCACCCATTTGGCGCAGGAGTCCCAAAATACAGCCCAGAATGCCAGAATTGATGAGGAAACTCAATTCATTGGCTCCCAAGTCTTTCGCCATTATTCCAAAGACACTCAGAAGAAATCTCGCTCTAGAGAGTTTCTTGAGGAAGACATAAGTGCCGAGATTTGAATTGTCCTTCTCTCCATGATGCTTCTGCTTTCCATAGATTTGTTCCTGACTCACAAACTTCTGAATCTCTCCAATTGCCCATTCCATGATTTTCGCATGAGTGAGAATCAGGTCAGCTTTCTGATACGCCGTAATCAAGTTGAGGTCATCGAGAACATTGCCAAAGAACACTTGTTCCGGCTTCCCGAGAAACAGACCCAGAAATCCATTCAGCATATTGTACTGCACAGCATCGAGGAGTTCAGTGTGCTTGAGGATCTCACTGAACATCTCAAGGCCTTGCTTCCTCATTTGATATCGTTGCACTTGACAGAACATTGCCCTCCTCAGGGTCTCCACATCACAAATGTCTTGTGTGACAAACTCCACAATCTGACTCACCACATTCTCACTGGCGGGATTCGCTTTGGCATTCTGAATGCTCTTCTCACTCAACTTCGCTATCACATTACTGATAAACTGCTCAGCCGACTCGCAGTCTTCCTTGCGCCTCATGAAGTTGCTGTTATTCTCATTCGTGGGCGTCTTGGCCTCATCCACATTCGATGTCTTCTTCTCTGATCGCAGATCTTCCGTCACATCCACGAGATTCTCATGGGAAACATTTCTATTTTCCGGTGTGAGTATCGCATCGAGATTCTCAGAACTTCCCTTTTCCACATTCTCCGGCGTACTGATCTTAATGGCCGTATGTTGACTCTGGATAGTAACATTGAGAATATCTTCCGGTTTTGCACATTCAAGTTGCTTCTTGGCAATCCGCATTTCATTAATTATCCGATGAACAACACTCTTGAATCGTGGTTGCTTGTGAAGGATGCACAAACGATTAAGAGCTGATTGTTCTGTGCTTACGGCTGGCCGCACTTCATACAGAAGAAACCGGCATTTGTCCAGAATTGGTGCACACACTTCCTTGTAGCTTCTATTGAGTTGCTGTCGAGTTCTTATCAATGCCCACTTTGTCTGGTTGACAATCTTTATGATTTCAGCAACAGGCTTTGGCGGTTTACCCGTCAAAGTCACACCACTCAATTCACAGTCAACCACAGCAAGGACCAAGGGTCCTAGACTTTGATGACGGAAGAGTACGGCAGTGAGAAGTCGCTCAAATTCCTGAATAGGATGCTCTGGTGGATAATCTTGGTGCCAAATGAGATTGTTCTCCTTGCAGTACCTCTCGGAAATGGTAATCCAAGCTGATACCAGTGGATCAGTCATGCGAGATTCTCCCAGACCAGTCAGGAGTGAGTCAACTCTCTGGTTAATTCGTGACAGAGGCCAGCAGTTGAGCTCTGGCATCTCCTGCAGTGGAATCTGATTGGAGGATTCTGTTGGAGTGCTTCCAGCTGTCGAAGCACTACTCCTTGCTTCGCCCTTCTCCTCATCGAAGGGATTTGCTGGCTGCAGCACTTGAAGACCTCCACTCAGAATCGCACTATTGAGCAAGGACTTGCAGTGTGTCTCAGCCGGTTGCTGAGCAATTCCCAGCTGCAGTAGTCCACTTCGCAGCCCCAGTAGATACGCCAACGTGCGCTGGGTATTAAAGTGTGTCACGTAAGGGACACGATTTTGTGGCACTTTCTCATCACAATCACTTAAGCCATACTTGCCCACCCTCAGGTGAGTCGTGATGTGTTCCAAGGCACTCCTGTGCTGTACTAAATTCATCTCATTACTCACATCTTTGCCCACGCCCTGTCTCAAAAAATCGCTTGTGCTCGGATTCTCATTCCTGTAAGAAATTTCATGTAAGACATGGACGTCTGATAGGGAACATCAACAATACTCACTCATATCCCTCAATGTTGCAAACAAATCCATTCATTACAAGCCATTGACCTCCAGAGAGATTGTGATTCTCAAGATCTGTCTTGCGAATCACTGGAGACTCCTCAGGTGCAGGAACTGAGGGTTGTTTCTGAGCACCTCGACAAAGAATTGCTGGCCAACCCATGTCATCAGCATCCTGAATTTCATTCTCGCATATTACGCGATTCAAATTGTCCAGGGCAGTGAGGAGAGGTGTGAAGACTTTTATCCACTCAAATGACGTGAGAATCAGAGAGCAATCTTTATGAATTAGCACCAAACCGATGATGAGCTCATACAGAAGTGTATCTGTAAAATTAATAAGTGAGATAAGCATCAAATATTGGCAAAGTTATTACAAAAAAAGACTCACCGGAGATGTCAGCCTTCAATACATCTGCCACTCCTTCGGACTTCTGTAGAGACACCTCATAAGCCTTGTGGATGGTAGCTAAGGAGAACTTCACTACGTTGTAAATGTACTTTGCAAGAAGTCCCTCAGCTCCCTGAATATCCTCCAGCTTAGACCGGTGAATTCTCGAAAGGAGAAGCCTTTGGAAGCGATGCAGCAAATCCAAACTAGGTGACGGATGTTCTGTGAAGGAGATAGGATTCTCTTCTGCAGACTTTGAATACTGTCCTGATAACAGTTGATTCAATCTCGCTTGCGTGAGTGCCGAATTGTTCCTCAGTAGCTGCTTGATGAGATGCAACAGTGGCAGATTGTGGCTATTCGATGTGTCCTCAGGTTCACAATTGATCACTTGATTAAGAGCCGTCTGGAGACCACCCTCGGCCATGAGGGAGCCCACGAGAAGGTCTGTCATAAAGCGATGTCCCGCTGTAGAAATATTGTTGTCCACACCACTCGGCAACAGGGCAGACAGCGTCTGAGCTCGTTCCGACGCCGTTGGCAGCAGAACACTCCATCCAATTTGCAGGGTTGATTGAGCTGTATCTTGGATAGTCTTGAGAATCACAGGACCGCCAGCGAGGCTCAGTATGCGCGTCTTCAGACTGCTCAACAGACGAGAACCTTCACCGAGACCGACACTCTTGGGCAACACATTGTTCACAATCACAGCATTCAACTGAAGTCGCAAGAGATTGAGACATGCCACAGCGATGCACTCAGACTCCTGATTCGGTGGGTAGCGAAGCTCACTGGATGTTGCAGCGCCCATAACGATGCCCAACAACTGATCCAAGAGACGGAAGGTGTGCTCAGCCAGATCTACCACGAACGGGATCCGCATAGGAAGTCCCAGCATTGAGGAGTGACAGAAGACAATGCTGTACGCTGCTCCACAGGCCATACCCGAGAGTCTCATGGTGGCAGGTGTGGTGAGAATAGGGGTGGCAATTATGGGGTCTCGGCATATTGAAGAGGGACAAACTTGCTGATAATCATTCCTTCCCCATCCGAAGAGTTCTCCAGAAGCCGCCAGTGCGAGACAGTGCGCCGATCCCACGGCAATATCTACAATTCCGCGTCCCTGAAGACCCTCCACTAGTCGCGGAATGTTGCTGTGATTGGCTCCAGGTCCATGGCCAAGCCTTCCACCATTCCCATTCCCCCAAGTGTACACTGAGCCATCTTCAGTCAGAGCAACACTGAACTGGGCGCCCGAAAACACTCGAACAACCTTCGAGAGGGACTCCACAAGCGTAGGAGTGTGACAGTCATTGCTGGATCCCGTTCCGAGTTTTCCGTAGTCTCCATCACCCCAGGCATAGACGGATCCCATGTCAGTGACACACAGAGTGTGCGCATCTCCTGTTCCCAGAGCCACATCTCTCACTCTCTGGCCAATCAGACAAGTAACCAGGGTGGGCATCAACTTGTCCTCCGACGTGTCATGTCCGAGACGTCGATATGTGCCTCTGCCCCAAGTATACAGCTCTCCACTAGCTGAAATTGCTGCACTGTAAGTTGTGCCACAGTGAATGCTAACAACGGGCTTGTCCGTGAAGTAGGAAATCCTCGTGGGATTCTCTCTCGGTTGACTGTCACCATGTCCCAGGCGACCTCCTTCGCCACTGCCCCACGAATACACTTGCTGTTCTGCATTCAGTGCCAAGTAGTGGCATCCCTCGCAGTGAGATGCCACTTTCATCACTGGCACCGTGCCAAAGCCGTCAACAAGTTGCGGATTGACCGTCTCACTGGCCGAGGTGGCATTTATCGCGAACACCTCACCTTTCGTGGTGAGAATGTGAATTGTGCCCTCACTGCACACGATCTGGGCTATAGATAAATCCATGGGGAGATCGAGGATGGTGGCTGAGTACTGCTGACCCATGACACACGTGCCCTGATTCACACACAAGTCCCGCGAGTATCCATAGTTGTCACAGTTAAGCGACAGCCAACCGAGCGTAAACACTTGCTGAGTTTGAGTCGATGACGAGGCTAATGAAGTGCAGGACTTCGTCATGAAGTTTCCAGTCACGAGATGAGGCTTAGCCAAGCGATCCAGATGACTGATAATCACCACGGCGGCCTGCTTCAGATCAATCAAATCAGAATCCGACTCTGGCAGGGTCAAGAAACGCAGGAAGGACTCTGTTGGATTAGTTGAGTTGTTCTCTCCTGGAAAAAACATCAAAAGAAAGCAATATTAGTATGATTGATATTCTAAAAAATTAATTAATGTAACATTAATGAATAGCATGCTTCCCGTCGCATTCTTGTATTTGAAACCAATTCAGAAATTTCCTCCAAAACCAAATTCAATGGTGCATCAAATTGTGTCGATTTCAGGAAATTCCAGCGAAATGTGGGGCAAAGAGAAGACATAAACAGCAATTTCCTGTTCATTTTTCTGCATTTAACCGCACACAAAGCAATGCGCTGAGGAAAACACTTCAGGCCATTTGAACTTGTTTGGTTTCAGAGATCGTCCAGCCATTATGGTTATAAATAGAGTCACATGCTGTGCCATTGGCTGAAGATTCAGAGCGAAAGGGGTTCTCCATCAATCAATATGTATTAGGCAAAGGAATACTCACCAAGATGAGAGGATCCGTAATTTTGGTTGATCTTCTCGAATCTCTTAAGGATGGCTACGAGAGGAGCTCCATGGTTCTTTGGTAGTGCTCGATTGTCCTCGGTGTCCTTGTCTTTCTCCCAGAGATTGAGCAGAAGGAGCACGCCTTCAAGGGCTGAGCCGAGATTTCCCTTCTGAATGCCCAATTCCAGGAGCAAATTGAGGGCTGTGTGTCTATCCTCACGCGGGACGTTGCATCGTGTTCCCATGATGTCGCCCAGAACCACCTGGCGCAGGAATTTGATGGATCTCTCGAGAACCTCAATCCACAGCGGAGATATCTCGCCACTGTTGAAGAGAGACGCCTCAGGCAGGCCATGAAGCGACTCCAGAGCCTCAGTCAGAAGCTCACTGCACAGCTCAGTGTCCTCTCCGGAGCGCCAGGCACGCCGGAGAAAGGCGAAAGAGAAGTTGAGGGCTGCTCTGGTGCCCACTCGTGCCAGGCCGAGTCCCAGAACTGTCCGGTCAATCTCCAGACGGTTCGTCGTGTCCACACTGGCAAACTTCTGCAGCTTCAATTCGGCATTCTTTGGTGTGGCGCTGTCATTCTTCAGAGGCGGCTTCGTTCTGGCCAAGGCAATGAAGTAGCGATGGTAGATGAGAAGTCTCTGCCTCAGGTGGATGGCTGACAGGCAGCTCCCCGCCGCCTGCAAGGAGATCTCCCTCTGCTCATTCAGCAGCGACTTCCGGGCTGTGCACTTGCGCTCCTTGCTGGGAATCGAGTCCCAAAGCCAGGACTCAATGAGATTCTCTGAAGTGAATTGTCCGGAAAGTTGGTTGTCGGAGCAGAACTTCTTGGCCGCTGCCCCCGCGGCGTCAGCACTCAATCTCTGACAGGAATTGCATCCACAGGTGTTGGCCAGACAGAAGCCGGGGCAGCAGGAGCAGGACGTCTTCTCGACGCCGCAGAAAAACTTTCCCACGTCACTGACGTAAGCCATGTTTCCGGCGTCATTTTCCACACCCTTAAATGCTGTCTGACTGAGCTCATTGTCCTGCAGAAGGTGGTTGTAGAGCACCGCTGTGTCCTCTGTGCTTCGCAGGGCGCCAATGAGATCCACATTCAGCCACTTGGCGTCCAGACAAGGGAGCGCCCATAAATTACCACGAAAGCTCATTTTCAGTGCCACCCCCTCAAAGTCGCCATCTATTATGTGACGAAATCACCCCAAAAAACCCCGTTTCTCACTCAACTTCAGCATTCCCCCTGCCCTAAAGCACTCTTCTTGAGATTCGACACTGGTTTAACCCAATTGGAACACCTTTTCTCCCAATTTTCAGTCTTTAGAAAAGGACACGCACTTTTTCACGACAATTTTCACGCAGACACTTGGAATACACTGACGTTTTTACATGCAAATGCATTTCGAGCACACTTTTGAAAATCCCGTTTGTACACGGTCAATGCGAGGCACAGCTTTCAATTTTCCTGAAACTCTTCAATTGAAAGCCATGGAGAAAAGGTTTTCTACTGATATTTAGCATGTAAGATCATAAATATTGAACTGTCATACTTAATTAGCGATTTTCAGCAAAGTAAAGTTTTTTTCTGAGAAAAAGTGAACATCGCAAATTATTGCTAATTTCTTCTTCATTTCATCTTTGTTCCAAATTATTGAGATTCTCAAGTTTTTTTTCTGGCTCGGAGGGGAAATAAGTTCTAATCCTTCTGATTTTTCTCTGTGTGATGCATTTTCGGACACCGCTGAGGCGATTCGAACTCTCGTCCGAATCAGCTGATCGCGGCGCGGCTGGTACTTCGCGCTGCCGCTGGATTCTAGTACCTCCTGGTCGCTCGGAGTTGGTGTGAAAAAACTCCGTCTTGGCATTGTGTGTCATGAATCTTCAAAATAGAAGCAGTTCGCTCTCGACCGCTCGGCTTATTTCCCGTTTATGCTAATAGACTTGGTGCGAGGTGCAAGTGGTGCAGGAGTGCACGCGAAGGAAGTGCGAGCACAGTGAAATAATCCTCTTGACGTGAAAACGGACACAAAGAGTGTGCGGAAAGTGGACCGAAAGGCGCAGGAGAGGGAAAGGAAAAATCCCTCGAGTCATTGTTTGGTGTGGTGTAAAAATATGGCGTCGTCCGTGATTTGTTCTATTCTTGTGGCTCTCGTGCTGTGTGCGGGGGCCCACGGAGGGCTCCGGCACGGCTCCAGGCCCGAGTTTCTGCACGTAAACATGGAGGAGGAGGCGCTCGGAAGCCCCAGGTGGGGCTCCGTAACGGCGCAACACGAGCAAGTGCGTCACAGGCGGAGCGCTCCTGCCTCGGCCCCCATCGAGGATCAACTCATCAGGGGAAAGGTAAGAGAGGCTGGGCGAACATTCCCTGCTCTGCTACGCACTTTCTGGCCATTGCGGGGGCACAGCGGCGAGCTGAAAAACTCAAGCCGACTCGGAGTTTGTCTCGCTAATTGAATCAGGAAATGTTTTATTGAATACAATTCCTCAACAATTCCTACAAATAAATCACAAGCCCACTCTCTTCTCCGCGTGTGGAATCTTCTCGCAGCTCCCTTGGTCTGTAGTCAGTGCGATACGGGCATTTTTCCATGCAGGATTTTCCCAGAAAAGCCCCGATAAGGGTGAACAAACAAGGCAGAATCGCTCGTGATAAGTGAATTATCGTAGATAACCGGGCACTCAAGGGAGAGGCAAAATATTCTCTTTCATTGATTACGACGAAGCTCCGGAAAGAGGGAATCCGCATAATGCGAGGCACTGAAGCCCTGCATAGGGATTAAATCCGTCTGTAGCGGCGGCAGTACAGTTCACGAAGGCTTTCCATTTTCCGAGCTCTATTGATTCGGTGAGGATTCCGAATCCATTTTCCCTTTATCTTAGAATTGAATTGCGTATTGCCAAAATGCATGAGAGATAATCAATCCAATCAGATGTGTTAAAAACAGTTAAATCTATAAGAAGTCACCAAGCCAAAATCTTTTGCGTCCATTTACCCCAATTGGCCTTCAAATCGACCAAACTGAAATCAATTTATTCCAAATCGGACAAAGAACTTGACTTGATTATCGTCATTTTGAGAAAGAACAATGGTCTTAAACATGTTTGGGGATTAGATAAAGGCTTCTGACTTACCTAGGATTTAGATACAGTTCTGATAAAATATCCGAGGAGTCTGATTTCCAAAAATAACTACGCTAAAATTTCATTAACCCTTATTTTCCATTTGTTTACTTACAACTTAAAATTTCTTTTAGGGAAAATGTACAGTTTTACAGCACATTTTACTGTAATTATCTTTATGATGACGAGATGAAACGAAAAAAAACCGTGGTTCTTTCCCTTTGTTATACCCACTAAAGTTTTTATTGATATTTTGAAAATGTGTGACTCATATTTGCGCAATTTCATGCAGAAGTTTTGCCAGCAAAAAGTTAGCTTTACTTTTTCTACTATCTCTATTCGTAATTTATTCCGATGTTCTTTTCAAAAAGCTGAATAGATAAAAGGGGAAATGCTGAGTGTAAACACAAGTTTCAACTTTATTATTAAAGTATTCGTGTGCACTTTTTACGGATTTTCTTTCCCACTAATGAATGTTTAAAAATAAATCACGCGGGAATTCCCTCGAAGGGAAACATCGACCTCTAAATACTTGTTCCCCATCTCTCCGTTCTAATAATTCTCCTCTAGTATTGCGAAGGAGGAATTCAAGAGCGGGCAAATGAGTTTGGTGACTTATCTATTTCTATCTCTGATTGTTTTTCACGCAAAGGTTTAGTTTAGAAGACTATTTTGAGATGCTCAATGGGAGTCACGCACAACATTGTGTTTATTTCGTTGGGCAATGATGTTTTCTTCAACATTATTTACAAACATTTAGGTGTGTTTTTTAATTGGAAAACAAAGTGTGTAAGCGAAAAGTTAGTAAAGAATCTAATCTTGCAAGTTGTGAATATTGTGACTTCTCTGTCCGTGGGTTTTCTAAATGTTTTTTTTTTTTTAATAACCTATTGTATATCACGTGTATGAGTTTTTTTTGGATAAGTATTGGATTGAGTTGCTTTTTATAGTTTCCCCATGAAAGTGTCATGTTGGCAAATATTTGGGATAAATCAATAAAGTGAAAAATGTGAAACTGTTTCAGTCAGTGACTAACATTCCTGCTTTTGTCCATACGGACGAATTCCAGCCATGATGACTACCCGTAAAACACAAGTAGGACAATAAGCGCAATTACACGAGAGCAATTATTAATCTATTTCCTCACTTGATGTAAGCCCGCTTGGTACAGTAAATGCAGAGAAACGGGGGATGATGAGGGTTTCCATGGGAAAGTCATCTCGGGAGCCATCATTTTTCTCCCACACTCCCGCATTTTCCGCACCAATGAGAGAGATAGATGGTGAAAGAGAGTGAATAAGTTTGAAATGGGAGCTGGAAACATATTTTTACAGTCACTCTAATTGAATTAATAAAATGTGAATAATTGTGGAAATCCGATATTATTGATGAAACTCGCCAACTTTGCTCAAAATGTGCCTGGATAGGTTGAAAAATATGTACATTGTTATCAAATACTCGAGTTTAGTGTGTTATTGAGGTAAATGTAGGGTGGGAAAAAATGGTTTCAATTGCAATTGACTTTCCTTATCTATTTTCACGGTTGTGTCCAACAAAAAAAGAACTTCACCATGAAAATTGCGTTTCTTGTTGAAATCATGAGAGAGCGGAAGGCGTTTTTTCAGTTAATCATTCATGTAATTTTTATTGTGTGTTGAAATTGATTGTAATGATATTTTTGGTTGTCTCCTATTATGAAATTTAATACAATTATAACTGATTTTTGTCTTTTAACGCACTTTCTTTGTCACAATATACATATTTTTTGAGTCATTGGATGGTCAAGTCCATTCCGACTAATGTTCTTTTCAGGGATATATTTGTATTTTCTCATTTCCAAGGAGAGTAGAAAGAGCAATAATATTCTTTGTTGGTAAATCTAAGAATATTCACATCCAGTTGCTATTAATACCTTCTTTGCACGCTTTCCTTTGCGGGCTTTCTTGAGTGTGAAAAATAAAATGCGCTCTATATTTTTGCTTGTGTCAAAAAGTGTCTTATCATGTGATTTGGCAAAGATTCGAATGTCTGGCACTGATAATTGATAAATGAAATGGCAAAAATAAGCGTCACTTTCGATTGGGCTTCAGTGAAATGGGGAAAAAAGAGAATTGTGTGTTTGTAATGTGTCTGTGGAAATTTTCAGACAAACTTTTTCATTAGCATTTCTATGGTAGTCTCCACTTGAACAAATAGCATGAGCTATGAGTCTCAGTTATATCTTTCTTTACTGTTGATAAAATTCAATGAGTTGGCAAAGTTCTTTTTCCAGCCTTTCTCACAGAATATTTAATTTTGGGAACTTTGTAGGGCTTTCCCAGGGCAAACTTTGTGACTCAAAGGTACTTCATTATTTTATTAATGAAAGGAAATTCCACGTGGCTGTGGAGGGAATTCTTAGAGTTTGATTAAATATCTTAGTATGTTGTTCAACTATTACTTCAACTATTCATTTCACTTTGACAAAATTTCAGTACGCTTCAGTTCTGTCGTGAATTGTGGTGGTTTCACTATGGCTTGGCATCAAAGTAATGAGCAAAATGTGCCCTATTCATGCGTGAAGTTAATACGACGAGCATTTTAATGATGTGGGGAGGTGTTACATTTCAATTAACTTTTGATGAGGAGCAAATTGTGGCCAGTCCAAAGTGGTATTAATTAGCTCTGGCTGGCGCGTACTTGAACTCACTGAGCCAGTAATAAAATTTCAAGTTCAAATACATCATTTAAATGTGCATCAATGCTTAATTGTATGCAAATATGCGTAAACTTTCATAACAATCCATCCATTGCAGATGACTGCAACTAAGGGTGTTTTTCCAATTAGTTTTGGTAACTACAATTGCAGAATTATGATGGAGTGCATCTTGCGGCGACTTTGTAGAATTTGTGATAATATTATAATTTTATCTCTGGTATGCCGCCGTGTGAATTTCCGTCTTCTTGATTCATCATAATGCTTTATTTCCCACTCGCATTTCTCTGCTTTGCAGTTGTAGTACATAAAGGAGAACCTTGGTAATGAAATAATGGGTTGCATTTAGAGTTTTCTGCACTTTTGAGAGGAAATGTAGCAACGATAACGGATCTGTCTGGGGAAAAGCGAATCTTCCGCTATGTGTGATGTTGGAATGTTGTTGAATTTCCCCGATAAAATCGGCAATGAATTGTGAACGAGCGGCAATTGAATTATTGATGGGTGGTGGAATTTGGTGGAATGCCTCTGGCGCTAATCCGTTTATTTCAAATGTGTTAATCTGCTTTCAGGTGAATGCTCTCAATGACAGTCATGCTCAGCTGATGGTGCACTGGCTGGGCGAGGGCACCGACGTGATGATCTGCCTGGCGCGTGAACCGCCCCTCGGTCCCATGGAGGATGCAAAGATGACTGAGACGCCGTCTCCGTCGGCTGTCTTCATCTCCTACGACTACGGGGATACGTTCCAAGATAAGACGGACATGTTCAAAGTGTCGGTGAATGGAAGTGAGGGAAACTCGACACTGGATCAATTCATCACACATCCAAAATTCAATACGGTGATTATATTTTATTATCTCCACACTTGCTGTTCCTCTCTTTTCACTAGCTCAATATTTAATTGAGTTATGAACCAGTTTCTATGTAGGTGTTTTGTTCCACTTTGGCGAATTCTCTTGGTGCGGCGTTTTTATTTAAATTCATTTAAATCAAAAGTATGTATCTGTGGAGGGAAACACCGACACAGATCAATGACCCTGTATTCCTACAATATTATGTGATGATACGGAGGATGAGTGTTTGTGCAGCACTTACTGAATCAACGGACATTGATACGATGCGGAGATTCTCAATTCACTTCTAACAATCTTCTTAGAGATAATTTAGTAATAGATTGGAGTGCTTTGATAAGGGGTCACATGATGGCAGTGGTGTCATCTGTAAACAGCGCAGTATCATTCGAGCCACTGCGTTACACAATGTCCCGTGTCACGGTGTTAATTATGCAGCTTTCCATCAATCCACTTTAGCCTGTTTTTCGTAGTTGTGCGATTGTTATTTACGCCTAGCTAGAATGGAAAAGAGTTGACTAATAATCTAATGAACTTTCACAATATAAACACTCTATGAGTCAGTAATGATGAATGTAAATTAGGCGTGCTGACAGAGTTATTTCTGCACTTGCAGATTGTCTTCACTGATCCGAGGCATAAGACGATTTTTACTAGTCTTGATCATGGAAAAACTGTGCAGCGAAATACACTGGACTTTTCTCCATCAGACATTTCTTTCTACGATCTGGATCGCAAGACCTTCTTGGCACTCGACAAGGAGGATCCGGAGAGGAAGTTGTACTACACAAATGACTTTGGCCAGAGCTTCACTCTTATCCAGAGTTTTGTCAAGTCCTATGTGTGGTCTTCGGGCGAGGGAATGCCTGTCCATCTGTATGTGGAGCGCAAGGAGGCTAACAATGCATCAGCTGTGATCTTCATGAACGCGTCGGAGCTGGTGAAAGAACGCGCCAAGATTAAGTTCAACCTGTTGATTGAAAATGTGCAGGACTTTCATGTGAAGAAGGACTTTATGTTTGCCACTCGGAAGGTGATGAATGACACACAGTTGCTGATCTCCTACAAGCGAGGGCGATTCGTGAAGGCAGAATTCCAGTCAAACCTCCCAATTCGGGGTCTTCATATTGCTGACGTCGAAGGCAAGAGGATCTTTGTCTCTGTCGTCCACAGTGAAATTGTGTGCCATCTGTATGTCTCCGAGGTGGACGAGAAGGTGACTCATGTATTCTTTGTGCCCAGCTTGGAGAATGTGTTTACATTCGTCCCGGAACTAACGTGGAGATCCAGCTGGCTCATTCAGACGTCCGACGAGGCATTTACAGATCTCTACAAAGTGGAGGGATTACGTGGAATTTACATTGCGAGTCGCGTCTCTCGCCAGCCGTCGTGGGGCTTGAAGGTTGTGGGGATCGTTGGGCCTGAGCATCTCGTCTCGGTCATCACGTTCGATCATGGTGCATCGTGGCGTCCAATCACCGCGCCCACAGTCGACGATGAGGGGCAATTTATCAATTGCACCAAAGATTGCAGTCTCCACTTATCGCAGAAATTCAGTCAACTCTACCCAGTGACGCGATCACCCACAATAATGAGCTCGAAATCTGCTCCGGGTGTCATAATGGCTTCCGGGACAGTTGGAAAGAGTCTGAAGGGACATCCGGGAGTGTTTATATCTCGTGATGCTGGTGTTACATGGAAGCAAATCCTCAAAAACTACCATTTCTTCAACTTTGGCGATCACGGCGGCATTCTCGTGGCTGTAAAATACTTCAAGTCGAAGGGAGAGACGCTGGAGATTCTCTACTCGACTGACGAGGGAGAGAAATGGCATTCGACTCCGTTCCACAACAGAGAGCTCAAGGTGTATGGACTGATGATTGAGCCTCACACGAATACGACGATTTTCACTCTCTTCGGATCTGAACCTGAAGAGCACAGATGGTTGATCATTAAAATTGATCTGAAGAGTGCGTTTAGCAGCAACTGCACGCAGGACGACTACAAGTTTTGGGCTCCAGGTTCTCTCACCGGTGACACACTGATGCCGTGCGTTCTGGGACTCCAGGAGACGTACCAGAGGCGAATTCCGCATGCAAACTGTCACAATGGTTTAGACTATCAGCGGCCCACGAGGACTGTAGTGTGTCCCTGCAATGGATGGGATTTCGAGTGTGATTTTGGATTCTCGAGGATGAACTACAATTCTCCGTGCATCCGGAATAAGACACTCACTAGCTATGATCCTTACAAAATCCCATCAACGTGCAAACCAGGTGGATTCTACAATCGCACGAAGGGATACAGGAAAATCGACGGCGACGTGTGCATTGATGGATACTCGTCTCAGTATTTGCCACAGGAGATTGCTTGCCCAATGGAGGAGGCCAATAGTTTCTTGATCGTGGCGCAGCGTGATCACATCTCACGAATTGATTTGTCCACCGGCAAGAAGGAGCAACTTCCAGTGTCTGATCTGAGAAATGTTATAGCCATTGACTTTGATCTCAAGAACAACTGTGTGTTCTGGGCGGACATCCTAACAGACACCATTGGGAGGCAGTGCTTAAATGGAAATCAGTCCCGTGAGGTTCTTGTGGATACAGATCTCGCATCTGTGGAGGGAATGTCATACGACTGGGTGTCTCAGTTGCTGTTCTTCGTGGATGGCACACGAACGAAGATTGAGGCTGTCAAGACGTCACTTGATGCCCACGCGAGGATGCGAAAGACTATAATTGGGTCTGCTCACTTGGCTAAACCGCGCGGAATTGTTGTTCATCCGCTTCAGGGATATTTGTTCTGGACAGATTGGAGCTCGGCAAAACCTGCGTTATCTAGGGCTAATCTTGATGGGACAGACATTAAGGTGCTCTTCTCGAAGCCACAAGTTGTATGGCCGAATGGCGTTACTATTGACTATATTGCCGAGAGAGTGTATTGGGTGGATGCCAGCAAAGACTACATAGCCAGTTGTGATCTCCACGGTCTTGGCTTCCAGAAGATTCTCGAGCAAGATCCTCGAGTGGCTCATCCGTTCGCTGTGGCTGTGTATAAGGATCTGATGTACTGGGATGACTGGAAGATGGACTCGGTGTTCTCGGCGGACAAAGACAAGGGGATAATAATCCACTCGATTGCCGAGGAGATGGCGACACTAATGGATCTCAAGGTTTACGCTCACTCCATCCAGGAGGGAACGAATGCATGCAGCGAGAACAAGTGCTCTCACATGTGCGTTGGAGCCCCCAAAAACGGATACACTTGCCTCTGTCCCGATGGCATGGAGAAATCCCCAACGGGAGAATGCCTCTGTCCAGGCAGCTTGAAGCCGTATGCTAACAAGACTTGCCCTCAGCTGGCCAATACTTGTGCACCGGGATATTTCACCTGCAGCAATCGCCTCTGCGTGCCCATGATGTATCGCTGTGATGACGAGAATGACTGTGGAGACAACTCTGATGAGATGGGATGTCTTCTCAAGACACTTCCCTGTCCTCCACACATGTTCACTTGCAAGTCCGACAACATTTGCATTCCACAGTATTTTGCTTGTGATCACGAGAAGGATTGCAACGATGGTAGTGATGAGCTGAACTGCTCATTCCACGCATGCGACAATAATGAGTTCCGATGTCAGAATGGACGATGTATCATAGACAAGTGGGTGTGCGATGGCGAGGATGATTGTCGCGACAAGTCAGATGAGTCCAATTGTACGGCCAAAAACATCACAGCTCATATTCAATGCAAGCCTGATGAGTTCAAGTGAGTTTTCCATTATTTCTTGTCCTTGTGATAGCAAAATTAACTTTTGGCTATTTTCAGATGCAACTCAACGGGAACGTGCATTCCATTGCAGTGGCGATGTGACAATGATCATGACTGTCCTGATTCTAGTGATGAGAACAATTGCACTAATAATTCCTGCGATCCGTGGATGTTCAACTGTGGCGACGGTCACTGTATATACAAGACTTGGACTTGTGATGGTGATCAGGACTGCACGAATGGGGCGGATGAGCAAAATTGTCCCAACATCACGGCCATTCCGCCCAGAAAGCCAGGCATCAATGTTCTGCCGTCAGATGTGTGCCATGACTGGATGTTTAAGTGCAACAATAGCAAGTGTATTCCCTACTGGTGGAAATGCGACGGTGTGAATGACTGTGGCGATCTGTCAGATGAGCTGGGCTGTGCCCCATCTAACATCACAACCACCACCTCTAAACCCATTCATCCGCCGATGGTGGAGAAGTGCAAACCGAATCAGTTCCGCTGCGACTCAGGACTGTGCATCCTGAAGCGGTATGTGTGCGATGGAATGGCGGACTGTGACAAGGGTGAGGATGAGGAGCATTGCTCGAATGATGCGAAGAAAATTTGTGGTGCTGGTAAATTCCGGTGCTACAGCGATGGCCTGTGCTTGCCGATGGAGAAAAGGTGTGACAAGTTCATCAACTGTATTGATGGAAGTGATGAGGAGGACTGCGAGAAGCATCCCAATCGCCCGATGCCTCCGGTTAGTTGCAAAACGGGCTACTTCACTTGTGACAACCATTGTATGCCACTTGGAAAGTTGTGCGATGGTAAGCAGGACTGCTATGATGGTTCCGATGAGAAGGCTTGCAACACCTCGTCGAGAATTTACCAAGTGATTCATATTGGAGTGGACGAGAGGACGCTTAACGCCACCAACTTGCTAATGTTCTGGTGGATTCCTGTGCCACAGAACATTGTCTTTGAGTTCTTGCCATCGATTTCCCTCATTGACACTGGTATATGGAAGAATCACACTGAATGGTTGTCCAATACGGAGCACAGAGTGACAAACCTGAGGCCGTACACGTCGTACAACCTCACGGTATATGTACGTGTCAAAGGAGCGCTGCGCGTCTCGCCGCCCTATCTCTTCCTCACCACTACAACGGCTGAAGGTGTTCCCACGGAACCGGTCAATGTCACTGCCGTCCAGATGAATGGCTCCAGAGTACAGGTGAGGCACAAATTTTAATAGCTACTGTTGTGGATAGAACGGAATGATTGATTGGGGAAATTAAAAACTAATAAGATTTTTATGGAGAGTCATTAAGGGTCCATATCAAGTGGGTATTTAACTGGTTATTCAGCATTTTGGTACAACCTCATTCGCTGATGTGAAAATTGAAGACGAGCTGTGCTCAGCAGCATCATTGAAACTATGTATTTGTCGATAAAATCAGAAAATCGCTTTGATTTTATGGTTTGCTGAAGAGCTGAAAAATCTCTTTACCCCTTTAATGGTCCCACACGATAAACGGTCAATGGCACAGAAGCATTGAATTTGTTCCCGCTGATGAAATTGTGCTGAATAATTCAATGCGGTGTAATATCATCGGCGTGTTCAATTCATTGGCGAGTTGAGTGGTGTGTGCATTAATGATAAGTCCTGTGATGATAATATCAGTGCTTTCAAATGTAAAATGCACGATGGGAGAAACGAGATATTACGAGTAATCAGTCAAAGTAGATCAATAGCATTGATTGATATTTTGGGATGAGCTTTAGTGAAGTGAATAAACGGATATTTGGAACGGACATAATAGTCGAGTCATTAATTGCGAAAATATATTGATTTCATAGAATCCTTTATGCCACACGGTGAACTTTCCAAAATGTAACTTTCATTAGAATCTGTGGTTATGTCAGGTACATTTTACAGTTTCATTAGCATGTTTTGACATAGTTTTGCAGACTGATTTGAGGTGGAATGAGAATGAGTGATGTTCTGCAAATGGCATTGAGATGTTGGATAAGTGTAGCAATTATTAACTTTGTAAACTCTATCTCTGCAGGTGTCATGGAAAGCGCCGAGTATGTCGTGTGGAGTGCTCGTGGGCTACACTGTGTACTACAGTGTCATCAGCGGGACCAATAACTACGCCCCATTGCAGCCACAGTCAGTGACAACGGGTGCCAATGAGACCTCAATAACCATTGAGACGAGCTTCTTCGGCAACACCACTTATTTGTTCTGGGTGAGAGCGAAGAATACCAAGTACGAGAGCGCGAACAGCCAAATGGCCAAACTTACATTTGACGATACCACAAATATCGATGCTCTGAAGAATCTTGTGCTCGTGGAAACGTACAACGACACAGTGAAAATCAAGTGGGACCCAATTACACGCGTGGATGGATACATCGTACAATTGGTTCTACCTCAGCCCTATCCTCACATCCCGGCGATGACGACCAAAGAGACACAGATGGTTTTGACCAAACTCAATCGGGGTGTGCGCTATGTTATCAAGGTGTCGGCGTTTGTCAAGCAATTCTTCGGGAGATCTCAAGTATTGACAGTACTAATACCCGGCGAAGAACTTATGGAAGTTCCACATTTAGGGATCTCAGGCAATCACACAGGACCGTCAGTGACTTTGTCGTGGAGGAGACCGCCCTATAACCATAATATGGATATCGAGTATGGCATTTACTACGGAACGACTCTTCAAGAGGTCTATGAGAGTGAGTAAAAGGAGTAGTCTGAAATATGTTCTTCTATATTACATGGTTTATTTCTGGAATACTTGCAGAGGTTAGGCTGAGGACACACGATACTGAGATTGTCGTTACGGACATTTATCCGTGTGAAGCGTATCTCTTTAATGTTGGAATTATTGGGCCTGTTGGTCCGGGACCACTGAACTACAGTCCCCTTCGCTTCGACACTCCCTTCAATGAGAAGTGGCCACCGAAGAACCTCAATGCCTACGTCGATGGGAAGAGGCACGAGTTGATAATAACATGGGATCACAGTTGTCCTTTTGGCGATGTGCCATCGGGTTATGCGGTGAGTGATTTTCCTTTTCATGAGCAATATTTATTTGGGTGAGTTTTCGCAGTTTCGGTTTCATTGATAAAAATATGTAGGACTATCTGAAAGGTACCACGTTCGGGAGATATATGACCAATTAATGGAATTTATCAAGAGATTAGAGGGGTGTTAAGGTGTTGAGTGTCTCAATTGTGAGCTGGTAATATGAGATAAGAGAACACATTTACATTAATGATTGATTTATTTGACCCACTGCGTAATCAGGCTTGTAAACAAATTTCCTGCCGAATGATTCTAATGATATGATTTATCTTCTGATTTTAGATTACCGTGACGGAGATGCAGCTGAACAAGACATCGGTGGTTGTGCCGAAATTGGACAACAACAGGAGCATGACTCACGTTTTCACGGGTATTCCTGACGGTGCTGAGTATGATATCACCGTTGCAACAAATACCAAAGATTCAGTGCCAGTCTCGATGATAATTTACTCTCCGCCACTTCCGGTGCCGCGCCAACTAAGAGTGTGGCATGAGAAGAACAATACTCTTACGGTCTACTGGAAGGAGATTCAGAACTACACAGCTGAGAGGTAAGATTATCGCGTGAGATGACGAAGGAGAAATTGATTGATCATAATTTGATTTATCCTTTAGGATCAAATATCAAGTTGTGATTATTCTCAATGCGAGGAATTATGATCCAGTGAGGGAAAACAGGATGTATCGAGTGACACCGTTGTACGTTCTCGAAAGTCCTTATCCTCCTGTGTCTGTGAGCCTTACCAAACTCAATGCGATTCAAGGCTTGGAGGAGGAGGTTCTAGGAACGGACAGGACATACATCGTTGGTGTGAGGACCAAATCGTCAAGAGTGCGTAATCCCTTATCTCATATAAACAACAAAGATCGTATGTGGTCGAATAACTAACAAATGGAATTTTTCGTTCATAGGGCTTCTATTCCCAATTCGGCGAGTCTGAGTTGTTTGATTCGATTACCACTTTCAGCGCGAAACGGGAGGAGGAACTCACTTCTTATACTGTCGTGTGGGTTGTAATTATGACAGCGCTTGTGCTCATCATCGCAGGTGTTGTGATATTCTTCGTGCAAAAGCACAGGAGACAGCAGAATTCCTTCTCGCGATTCGCCAATTCGCACTACGATTCGAAGACTGGTGCCACTAGAATCGGTGCTGATGTGCTGGAGGATGAGGAACATCACGAAACACCGCGATTCGCTGACGATGAGCCACTTGTTATAGCATAATTTCACCCACACACGCCGCAAAACGAAAGTCTTCTAAGAGCATACGAGTAGATTGAGAGAGAGAGAGAGAAGCAACCAAGATTTTCTAATATTGAATTTTATTAAGAAGAAACATGTGTATTTTCTAGATAATAGTGGGAGGCAGTAGAATCAGTCTTCTGTTGTGTAATTTTTGTTGCCTATTTTATATTTTTATATATTATTTGTGTTATTATTTTAATGATATTACAAAATGACGGGAAAGAGAGAGAGAGAAAGAGAGAAACTAGGAAAATCGTGAGAAATGTTTAAGATTGAAGAAGTAAGTTTAATAGGAGAAATATTTCTTATTCTATCGAAAAGCAAAGACGAACCAGTAAAATGATACAAATATTATACAGATAGTTAATGTTTATATTGATTTCAATGCTGCATCTGGTAGAAATGAGGTAAGAGAGACCAATCTTTCGGACAGTGGAGTGGAAAGTTGCGGAGAAAGTTGCTAAATTCATAATAATTCCGTGTTCTCTGACATGGCAAAGGAAATTCGTGTGGCAGCATTTTATCAATACTGTGATTTTTAAAGTAACATTTAATAATTAAAGTAACTATTATTTAATGAGGGTTTCGTGTAATTAGAGGAAAAAAATAGAGAAGAGGAGATGAAAAACACACAACAATGAAAACTATTTCAATTGCAAGCTTGAAGTGGAATGTTTGATTTTTTCCTGTAATTGATTCCAGCTGGATTTTCTTCGTTATCTTTCTTTATTCGCTCTTTGCACTTTAGAATACATGGGATAATAATGGAAAAGCTCATCTACGTGCCTTGGTAGTGATCATAGCCGAGCTCCAATTGAAGAAAACGATTGAGAGATTCAACGTAGATAAACTTTCTTAGTTGGGAAATTGAAAAAAAAATTGTATTTCTCTCATTATTTTGAATATCACTCATTCGGACAAGTCACTTCATTCTATTTAGCAAGAAAAGACGAAAACACTGACTGAGATGAAACATTCCACTTCTTTATTTATTTCGAGGGGAGAAGAAATGAGAAAGAGAGAGAGAGACAAGAAGTAGGGTAATGAGTAACTATTAAAAGGCCAAAGTAATCAATTGAGTAATAGATGCAAATTACTAACTGCCAATTTCTAAACAACAATAATTTCTCCTTTAATCAATTTTCTTCCAATCTCTATGCGATAAGAGAAGTCTTTTCTGTATGGATTTTTTTCTACTGATAAAAGATATATAAGATAAAATGTTTTTTCTTCATCAAAGTATTGTAGTCTTTTGAAAATGTTATACTAATTTGTAATGATTTGTGGGCTGGAGATAAACGAAAAGATGCTGTAACGAGTAAACCAAATAAGACAATGATAAGTAATTTCTGCGCTCTGAGAACAAGCACGCGTGTGGGAGAGAAAATAAATGAGAGAGAGAGAGAGGGAGGATCAGAGGCGCAGTGACTGAAAATTAGTTATGCGATAAAAAATGTTCTATACTGAATGTAATAAATGTGAAGTAACATTGAGATTAATGAAAATATCATATTGCCCTCCCTAAAAGACACATACATATAACAATTATCCTCGTTGGATGTCTATCTCTCTATTAACCAGAACTTTTCCCCGTGTCTCCCATAGAACGCCCTCAGAAATCTGTTTTCTATTCTTTCTATCATTAACAAACACTCACGAAAATCCTCAAACCCTTCTTCCAGAAACACTTTTCAATCGTCTAACTTTTCTACCTAAAATAAGCAGTCAGAGAGAGAAAAAGGATGTGTTTAATGGAATAGCAAAGACAGAAAATCGCATAAGATGTTTCATAGAGAAAAAAGATGTCATTCAGTATTTCGTTGTGAATATAGAACCAAGAAGTCTAACTAAATGCAAATTAAAGTTGTGAATTTTACCCTAATATTGATGAAATGTGTGTTATTTTGTAAGGAGTCAGCAAGAAATGATTACGGAGATGATTCGTGGCACTGATGAAATACATATATCAATTGCTCAATCAATAAGCATTATTCCTGTTTGTCGACGTATAATTGTGAACTTTGTGTAAATCTTCACAAAGGAATGTAATTTGTTCACTCTTCAATGGCTATAATAACAGAAGAAAAACAATATGATTGTCCACAGTCATCATTGTAGGATTTTTTTGCTGTGCAGTTTGGTAAAATTAGAGAGAGGAAGAAAAAAAAAAGTATGATTTTTTATTGGCTATACAAAAGTAAGGAAACCTTTTTTATGGTGTGTGTAAAAGTGCATGACAAAGGAAATTACAAAATAATATCGATAGGGGAATTTTGCACGTAAACCGTTGGTTTATGAATTTGTATTTTTTAGATAAGTTTGGAGAAAAAAGAGAGAAAAAAACAAGGAGGCGAGAGAAAAGTTTGTGAGGAATAAAATATTTTAAGTTGACGGTATAAAAATGATGATCCTGTAAATATAGAATTGAAGATGAAATAAATTAAAATTCCCAATCCAGTGAATGAAACAATTGTGTCAGTGCTTTTTCAATGTTGGCACAGAAAAGCTCCAAACGAGACTCTCCTACTAATTCATGTGTATGTGGCCTCTCGCTCAGGCACGCGCCGGCTGGCTGGGGCGCGAGCGAGAGGTGGGATCGCAACGCACTGGAGCAGAGCGCACTTTCCAAAGGCCGATGGGGAGCAGCGTGCTGGGGAGACACCAGCGACTGTGTGTTTGTGGCGCTCGGCGGAGTTGGACGGTTTTCGCGCGCTCCACAGGAGCAAAACAATAAACAGTGACTCGCGAGGAGACAATGAAAGTAAGTGCACAGTGCAAATTGCTTCCCATCTCGGCTATTCCAGCAGCAACTTGTGACGCAAACATTGCTAATCTCCTCTGCTCTGGTGCGTGATAACCGCCCGAGTGGAAGTCCACACCTTGCTCTCGGCGGGAGCTTGTTAACAGTGAGATGGCGTGAGTGAGATTCGCTCCTCAGGGCTTCGTGCAAATTTCATGAGATCCGTGTCTCAAGGATTCTTTTGTTCGTGGCAAGTTCATTCGCCTCGCATGCTGTAATTCCCAGAAAATACATCACCGTGACTTCTCCGACGCGCAGATTTCCGATGAGATGTGGGAAGGGGAATTGCAATATGGGCAGACGGAAGAAAGTGGGGACAATCAGCTGATGCCACGCGCGCAGAAGTCATATGGCATCACGGATATCTTGTCTCAGGGTCTCGGGACTTGGACAATATCCAGCATCTCTCACGATTGCCGCATTTCAAGGATGTTCATGTGGATTCCACCGAGGACTCCACTCAGTCTCTCGTCTCTCGAAGAGCTATCAAGTTCACTCGGTCCTCCTCCTCGTCTAGACAAGCTCTCAGGAACCATCAGCATCCTCGTGGTATCGCTTTGTTGTCTGTTTCTCGCGACGTTCCGCTTGCAGTAATCTTTTTGTGGCTGATCTTGTGTGAGTCAAAATTTGAGTCACTCTGGTTAAGTTTCAGTATCGCGAAAAGAAAGAAAAGTTAATAAAAACTGGATATTTCCCAACCAATTAGGCCTGCATATTCATGCTCCATTGAATAATTAGATTCTCTTTTCATTTAAAATGAGAGTCGCTTTAGATTTTGAAAAAGATGTGTTTCATTTGAATGATTCCAGAGCTTGCACTTGAGAAATTGTAATTATATTATAAACTGGAGTGCCGTATCACTTTAGGCAGCATTTCGTTCTGGAATATTAACTAATTATATTGATTCACAACTTATTGAAGTGAATACAGAAGCAACATTTTATAATTGCGCCAATTATTCTATCTAAAGCTATCCTTGTTATAAATGGCATTCAAATTAAAATTGCTTCTCTTAGAGGCTTAGAAAGACTTAAGTTCAAACGTACAATTTTCTAATCAATAATTACAATTTCGAGTGAATAAATGGGTTTAATCCACCATATTTCTATTTACAACACGTGCTAAACCGCTTCAACGTGAAATTTTCCATTATTCTTCATGAAATATTCTCTTGTTTGCGTTTTCTAATGCAATACAGAAAAACTCTGACGATTTCTCTACAGAATCGTTGCTTTGTATTGTCTTCATTCGCACACACAAAAAAATACAAGTGAAAAGATGCGAGACAAAAAGTATTGAGATAAAACTGCCTTTGAGAAAAACAAACCGGAATTCACGATGATAGTGGGTCTTTTACGACCTTGACGCACTTTAATTCGTTGATTTCCGCAAAAGAAGAGAAACATGAGAAACAAAAACAATAATTTATATTCCCTATTTGCTCACACTTTTATTAATGACTGCAGTGTGTAATGGGTTTTATTGGATGGGTGAATAACAATATTTATGTGTGGCCCAAATATTGAACAATGGACATGTAATAGGCGGGAACGTGACGAGGGTGGTGGAGTGGATCCTCGAGCCTTCAACTGGCCGTGAGGCGGTCAATATGCCGCGGACGAGCTCCCAAGCGAGTGTCCTTCGCAGTGACCAGCGTCGCCGCGGGGGCAATTGTGGCGCCCGCCCGCCACCCACCTGGTCTGACCCAATTTTATTGCCTCGCAGGAGTCGCAGGAGAATAGGTCACTAACCCTCAGACGGGGAAATAGCGCCTGACGGACGGCGGGAAACCCTGAGCGGGGTTTACTCCCCCATTCCACCACTTGTTTAAATTCCCTCAACTTCCTGTCTCCTTGGCGAAGACACGAAGGAACAATTGCCGCTGAATTATAGCACGACGAGAGTCCAACTCCTTCACCTTATCCTTGACGACCACTCTATTCCGGGCTGTTCTTGCCATTTACCGCCTTGCTTCGGAATTTTTCATGCCATTTTCGACACGCTCATCAGCCAGATATTGTAGAAGCCCTAAAATCATCAACAATGCCATACTCAATAATCCAGTAGACTTCCAATCGTGCGGAAAAATCCCCTAAAGCCTCAATTGTGGCACTCAATTCGAGGAAACAGCGCATCGCATTGAAACTTCTATTCTTATCAACGACTAATTGAAAGCAACGTTGATAAAGAGCGCTCGAAAAAGTGAGCAACGCTAGTCTGCGCAAAGCGCGCCTATTGACAGTCTTCTGTGGGTGTCTCACAGCGTCGCGATTTCTTCACTTGGCTGCTCGCACAATTAATGCTTGAGAAATTTCCCTAAATCCATCATGCCGTCAAAGTGGGTGTCTTTCCTTTGTGCAGTGCCAGCGATGTTCTTGACACTGTTGATCGTCATTTCATATTCCAACACACTTCTTCTTGCAGGAAACATAGAGGACAAATGCCTCCACAACAGGATGACGATCGTGCACTCGTTGCCAGAGATTACGGTGAGTTTTCTGTTTATCTGCAGTTTGTTGTGCAAAACCCTCAAGTTGAGTGCAAGTGGACAATTTCTTAGACTCCTCATCTTGTGACTGTGTGAAGACACAGATGAGAGGAAATGAGTAATTGAGTTAGAATTAATTAAGTTATCTACGTAATCCATCCAAATAAGAGCATCATGAAAGTGAGCGTGACGCTTTGAAGAATTGTCTTGAACAATGATGTTTGCAATTGTCAGTAAAATTTGAGATTCTGTGAACAATTTTATCGTCTTAATTGAAAGATAGCAATGTGTTTCTCGTTATTCTGTCGCGGACAAATATCACGGGGTGTATAAATAGATTACCTAAGCTAATAACAGACTAATGGGATGTTTAGTAATTTTTTTAAGCACGAGTCGAGTGATTTTTTTTTGTACATAAAGAAATAAGAGCAAAAGAAACAAGTCAAACTGCACTCAACAATTTTATTCTATTAGATATCAATTAGATTATGGGTTAGATATTAAAAAGATATTGAAAATAATAAACTTTTACTTAGTATATGCAAAATTAAAAGTTTATTAATAAGAGCTTGAACATCGTCAATGCAAATAGAGTTTCTAATCTTTTATCTAATCAACTTATTACTAGAATAACAATTTGTTGTGAAGTCATAGCTATTGCAATAGACGGAAGATTGTTATCTGACTGTTTAAATATCTGCTATAAAGCTTCATCAAGTTCAAGTTGCAGTTTACGCTCTTTTTAACTTCACTTTATTATGCAATATTTGATACAATATGTAAACACATTTGTTCTATATTCCGAGTGATTTAGCTCTAAATTGTCGTTTAAAATGCCTTGGATTTTTTCATTATTTGACAAACACATATTTCTGTAATTATTCAATCAAGTGAAATCGCGCACACAAGTTAATTCTACCACCATCTCCGCACATTCGAAGGGAAGCATTAAGCGTAACTCGGCCACAATGCCTCAATAATTGGTTCGACAATGCGTAAAAATATATATTTTTGGCACAAACTTGTAGAACATCAGTTTCTGCCTTTTTCCGCATTGCTCAAAAGCTCGTCTCCATGCATTCCCTTCGGTATAAGTCTAATTTCAACATGAGTGTTTTCTACAGTTGTCTGCACATTCTGATCTACGAGCGCACGTTCTTATTCACTGCGTCATGCAAAGTGCAATTAGAATGTCACAAAACAGCATCGTTCTATCTATTCTATATAAACTGTTTAAAGTCGAGAGAAATGCCACATAATTCTCTGGCCGTCTCTGTCGCTCTCATATTTATTCAATTCTCCCCAAACACCATTCAATTAAGCGCTATTACAGCTGAGGCAGTGATCATTTGACTCTCGCTGAATCGGTCGATCGCGCTCCGGCAGCTTTTGTTGGCTTTTGCTCACAAATCGGCGGAGCCATCAACAAAAGTTGGACAGGAAATGGTCATTTTTTGTCTTCTGTGGGTGTGATTTGTAATAATTTGATTGTGTGCCAAAAAGTTAATGCTGTAGCCACAACTGGCAGCAGAATGTTTTATTGAGTCTTTGGGCAGAAATGGAACCGTAATGTCTCTAAACTTGAACTTGTACTCGAGTGCATGTGTCCTCTGTCTTGATCACATATCATGATACAATTCTCAGTGAGTTTATGAGGAAATTTTGAAAAGAGATGCCACAACTGTTTGGTGTATTCCAATATCTAGCTGGGTTTGTGGGAGAGAAACGGAGAGTGAGAAAATTAGCGTTATTGGGAAAAAAGACACTCGACAGCATGTGATGTAAGCTCCAATGACGAAATTTCACATTATTTCTTTGGTCATTATGAGGCACTTTTTTCTTCGGGTCAGTTTTGCTCAAGGTTTCCTCGAGAGTCACCGCGATTAGAGAGAAAGTCTCGTGCCAGAAACAACACACATTTCTCACACAGTTGAATTAAATAGTAGAAAATATCGGTGATCATCTGTGAATTCCTAAATATTTTCTCAAGTGTTTTTCAACAATCGGGAATTTTTCAAGTGAAGTTGGTGTGATTTTCAGTTCTCATATACTAGCAAAATACAGGCAGAGAAAATAATCAGAATATAAATTATTGAATAATGGCATCAAATAGCATTTGTGGCTGACATCGAAACTATTGTAGATGGGAAATAAATTCAAGTGAATTTCATAAATATGAAATTACTTTGTTATTGCATAAAGTCTATATGAATTTTTATGCACTTTTATTATGCAAAAGAACTCTTTGTTCTCTGGATGCGCGCTTAAAATTGAATAATAGTAGATTTCATTGTTATTTGGGGTGATCAAGTGGGGAGAATCACATTAGTGCTATTTAAATTCTGCCACGAGTCACTAATAGTCCAATTATTGAGAGCAATGGCTCATGATTCATGGCAACAGATTATGTTCTCTTCGCAGGTCTGTTTATATATACTTTTAACGATAATAAGCACACATAGTGCAAGTGACTCTCGTCTACAAAATTGTGTATTTTATGCAGAAATATTATTTAGGCATTCTTCTTCTTAACTAAATGCATTTTCCGCGTTTAAAGCATTTAAAATATAAGTGAAGAGCAATAAAAAGTGATCATAATAATAAAAGCACTACGATTCGAGACTGTAAAATTCAGTAGATCGACAAATGGGCGCCACAGAATGCAAATTAATCGCGCTATTATTAATGAACATGATACAGAATGATCTTGAAATTCCGATCGGGTTTCTTTCCAAGAGATCAATTTCCTTCGAGATGCTTTTACAGCTGCCAGTTTTACTCTATATTTTCCATCAGTTCCTAGTATATCTCTAAATTATATTTTAATTACTATCTAGATCAGAAATTCACGAGAAATCACACTGTAACGAGTCTTGTTATTCTGACTCATCGATTTTGATCAAATGTTTTCGTAGATAAGTCTAAATTTAATTAAAAATTTGATTGCTCTCTACTTAAAGTGTAATTCTAGAGTATTGGTAAATTACAACAATTGCTCTGACTCATAAAAGCAATTGATATGATAACAAAAATCAGTTTCTCGTATTCGGCGAAATGTATCATCAAATTGTTCTGCAGTTCATGTTCGAGCAAGTGTTTGAGTGTGTTATCTGGGCGGCGAGTATATGTGTGTAGTTAGATTAGATATAATATTATGGAATTTTACAGATAAGAGACACTTTTATCAGTGCGTTTGTGTTGGCAAATATAATGTGTGTCTTATTTTGTGTCGCACGGAAAGAGAATTGACACTGTGGCATTACAGAGGAAAAAAGTGCTGCAAATGCACTTTGGGCTCTTTTAGTCCGGCCCAAGAGTTCAGTGTGTGAGGATTTGGCAAAATTCTGGCAATGGGTTGCTTTTCCAGCAAGGAAAAGTCGTCCTCAAGGCGGAACAGTGATGATGATCGAGGAAGAGAGGAGAATGATCGTCTCTTGTATAGTGCGTGAAGTTCTTTAGTCAAAATACTCCTTGCTTACCTCAATTCCCGGTGCTTCTCTTCACAGGTGAGCCCATGAAATATGACCCGAACTTCAAGGGACCTCTGAAGAATCGCTCATGTACGGATGTGATCTGTCTTTTGCTCTTTGTCTTCTTCCTCGTCGGATGGGGCGTTGTTGCTTACTATGGTGAGTCACGACTGTGGCCCAGCATCTATCTCGATGATGTCTAAAACACCCTTGGATGCCTTTCAGCTTACAGAAATGGTGATCTGGACCGTCTCCTAGTGCCAACAGACTCGCAAAACAATCGCTGTGGAGTCGACAGCAATGTGCTCAACAAGCCCTATCTCTTCTTCTTCGATCTCTCGCGATGTGTGGACATCACGGTGCCCATCAACGGCTGTCCCACGCCTCAAGTGTGCGTGGAAAAGTGTCCTGACGAACCGTTCCTCTTTGATATGTTGTCACAAGATGAGAGGATTGAAAACATTAGGGATCGTCTGATCTGCGATGTGGATGTCGATAAGAATGACATCACATCGCATGCGATGGCCAAAGAGTACGTGGATAATAATCGCTGTGCTCGCTGGTATCTGCAGAGTGTTCCATGTAAGTGATATTTTGTTTAAAAACACATACATATTTTGCTTTATATGTTTTGCGCAGTGTTAAACATTTTCATGCTGCATTTGCTTATTTGTTACCGTCTGTTGAGTATTCTTAGCAGGCACTGAATGTTTTTATTTTAAATAATCAAGAATAAAATCTAACACCATATGATGATGAATAATTTTGCTTATAAAGGAAAAAAAAACTCAGTGATGCATTGAGTTGCGAAATGCTTTGAATATTCAAGTTTACTCACACTAAATTATAAACTACCAGATGCATAATCTACATAAATTGTTTTTTAAAAATTGTGTTAAACATTCTGTAACCATTATGTCTCATTTTGTGAAATATGCTGTGTGGCTTCTTCATGAATTCTCTTGACTTGTGTAGTTCTCAATCGGTGCATCTCTGATTTGTTAACATCGAGTTGCCCCAGAATTCCCAAATCTTATTCGGGTGGCACAAGCAAGAAGACCGACGTGTTCAGAGCGGCTCTCCTCACCACGAACCGGGACCAGTGGCCCGTGGGGCAGCAGATTGATGGGCGATCGGCTCCAGAGAGCGACGAGCCGGCGTTCAGGAAGTGCGAGGAAAATCGTCGCATTGGTCGTGAGATCATCTATGACAAAGTGAAGAAGACCAATACGTATTTGGCCCGTTTTATGGGCAACACTCTGGCTCACATCACAAACAGGACGGAAGCTCATCAGGTGCTGAGAAGTCAACTGTTCTGCATGCAATTACTAACCCACTAATTTGGCATGTGTTTCTTGAACTCTGCACCTCGTTTCAAATGTGTTGCATCTATGTTTCACGCTTCTTTGATGAACTTTTGAACTTTCAATGCTGATTTAATTAATTTATTTCTCAACTTTCTCCCAGTTATGCATTCTCTCTTTCTTTTTATTTCATTATAGTTTATGGTCGATGCATTCCTTTCAATTTTGACAATGCATTAAATATTTTAGAACAACTTGCACTTGAGTTGCAAAATATTATTCAAGCAGTGGATCACATAAAAATTCTTTCCACAATCAATGGGGTAAGAAATGAGCACGAACAACACGTTATTTCTTTCAGTTTAGCGTCTTGAATTTATTTATTAAGTTCCTTTTATCTTGTAACTCACTAACATCCTTTAGGATTGCAAAGAATTCTCTGTTTATGAATTACTAAATTATACTTTGTTCATACACAGATTGGCCAAATGGTCGTTGAAGATGTCATCGATTCCTGGTGGCAAATTCTAATAGCGCTTGGAATTACCATGATTGTTTCGCTGCTGTTTATTGTGATCATGAGATGGATAGCAGCACCAGTGATTTGGTTCTCAATTCTTGGGGTCATTGCAGTGCTAGGATACGGTAACATGTTCCTATTTCATACTTAGAAATGGTATAATCTAGCTTTCCCTACAGTGATCTACTATAGCGCCACGACGTACATTCAATTGAGGGACAATCCAGTCTACGATGCCGCGCCAGGAACGAACATCAATGCCATTATCAAATCCTACTTGGACAACAAGAACACGTGGTTGTACATCATGATAGGTGTATCCATTCTACTGCTGATCATATTACTTCTAGTGCTGGTTTTGAGAAAGAGGATTGTGATCGCTATCGCATTAGTCAAGGAGGGAAGCAAGTGAGTACAAGAAACTTCGTTTTTAACGCCATGAACCCTCCCAATGTCTTCTCTCGTTTCATTTTCAGGGCTGTGAGCTCAACCACGTCCACTATATTCTTTCCATTGTTTCCCTGGACTCTGTACTTGCTAGTGATCGCCTTCGCTGTCGCCGTAGGGCTCTACTTAGCCTCTGTGGGCGATCCTGTGTATCGAGTAGTGGGACTCAATAGCACGAACCCCGACGGATGCGTTTGTACTGGACCGCCAGAGGGAATCTACAAGAATGGGGACTTTTGCTATCCAAGTCTCTTCCACCAGCACTGTCATGAGCCCATTCAGGGCGCTTTCTTCAGGCAAGAAAGAGCCCCTTGTCGCACAGCCTCGTGTCACTTCCAGAGAATAGAGAGTCCGAAGGTTGTGGGATATTTTCACGCAGTGAATGTTGTGGGATTCTTCTGGCTACTCTTCTTCGTTTCGGCTTTCAATGAAATGGTCCTGGCATCGGCATTCTCCACATGGTACTGGACATTCCACAAGTCAGATGTGCCCTTCTTCAATGTCACCATTTCGATGGGGCGCACGATGCGATATCACCTCGGAACATTAGCTTTTGGCTCACTAATCATAACAATATGTCGGATCATTCGCTGCATTCTGGAGTACATTGACCATAAGCTCAAGAAATTCGACAATGAAGTCACTAGGGGTATCCTTTGCTGCTGCAAATGCTTCTTCTGGTGCCTGGAGAAGTTCCTCAAGTTCCTAAACAGGTGAGACTTATAGCCTTGGAATGCCGATAATCACTGATTACACTCTTCTCGATCAGGAATGCGTACATCATGTGTGCTATACATGGGAAGAACTTCTGTGCCAGCGCCCGAGACGCCTTCAATTTGCTCATGAGAAACTTCCTGCGTGTGATTGCGCTGGATAAAGTCACAGATTTCCTCTTCTTCATGGCCAAGGTGTTGATTTCGGCGGGAATGGGAGTGGCCACGCACTTCTTCATCAAGAGCCCACACAGCAATCTTAATCTCAACTACACCTTCGTGCCCGTGATAATTGTGGCGATCGGAAGTTACCTCATAGCGTCTGTCTTCTTCTCCGTGTACTCAATGGCCGTGGACACACTCTTCCTCTGCTTCCTGGAGGACACTGAGCGCAATGACGGCTCTCCGGAGAAGCCCTACTTCATGTCCAAGCAACTCATGAGGATCCTCGGAAAGAAGAACGAAGTTCCCCGCCACAGGTATCGATAGGCAGTCAGAGGATGGTAGACGGAAGTATTCGAGAGGGAGTTTATATCCCTGTGATCTTTGGCAGGAGTCAGGAAGGTCGTTTTCAAGCGAGTTCCTTTTTGTACCAATTCTTTAGGTAGTTCATTTTTCTAAGCAGATTATTTATACAAATTTACTGTGTGTTGGGGAGGTGAGTATGCAAAGTAGAGCTCAAAGGATTATATCAGACGAAGACTGGAAGTCTTTAGTGATTAGCTGTGAAATTATTTTTCTCAACAAGAAAAAGAGTTTGTAAAAATTTTCGTGAGTGTTCTTAAATTTCCTCATTTTTTTCTCATTACTAAGCAGTATAATAACAAACTGATGGGACGAATTGTAGCTTTAAGAGCAACTGATCAAGGCGTATTAATAAATATTCTAGTTGGACTGCAGTCCAGAGAAACCCAGGAAAAGTCTTTGTTTTTCGGGATTTGTCTTATTATGAACGAAATTTCTTGTACATTTTACTCACGGTCTCTCGCTCCGGTGATGAATAGAAGTAAAAAGTGAAGGGTATAATTTAACAAACTCCTCCGAAGGTTAGTTGTTTCCTCTGCCTCTGCCTCTGCATCTACTTAATTCCTACGGCCTGGAGGATTGTGCTTCCCAGGCTGTTGCTGTGGCTGTTCATTGTCGTTCTGGAAATCACCCTCAGCGGGCGGAGGCGTCGTGGGAATATCACAATCCTCCGTTGGTGGAACTACACATCTCAGTGAGTTCCTGTCGAACACCAGCATTGCCGGACACCTTTGCAGCCGTGGATAGCCTCCTTGGCACTGCCAGTAGCGATTGCAGGACTTCCCTAGTGGCACGTTTCCGTTAGGATCTTCGTTGCAGAGCGCTGAAAGGTGATTTGCTGGTGAGTAAAATGAAGCTATGCAGCTAGACAAGAGCAACTTACGGTGCTTCTGGCATCCCTCGACATTCTCTGGCCAGTCGCAGCTGTGGGCATTCTCATTGTACAGCAATCCGCCAATGCAAAGCTGTTCTGTGGCTGTGCCATTCCAGCATGTCCAGTAGCGAGTGCAACTGGTCTCGTGGCCAAAAATCCCGTACAGCCAGTCACAATTCTCGGTGGAAATGGGCCCGTTGGCCAACTCCTTGCCCTCGCAGTAGTTCGATCGCCACGGGTAGTCGCAACCCTCAGTCACGCCGCGGTGCTTCCCAGCGAAGACCAGGCCATTAGGGCAGTCGTACAACTCTGGCTGATCATTCACGCACTCCCAATACCGATCGCAGTACCTCACATCGCCAACCACCCTGTTCTTCACTTTGCACGGATCTTCTTGGGCAGGTCGCTGATTTTGTGCGTTGCAGCCTGGAATACATTTGACAAACCAACAAAGTTATAACGTTTTACTTGATGTGCAAAATAAAACATCTTGCTAAAAACTTTCCACAATTATCCTTAGTCAATCATGAGAACGTAACTTGGTGTTAATTGTGGGTTTAAACAATTTTACACAATACTGTGCCATATATAATGAAACTTTCTACAAATAAAATCTAATGTGATGCTATAGATATTCCATCTCAAAGTGTATTTTTATGATCTTGTTACTCTTGAAACCACTCTGTATATAATTTATATTGTTACATTTTCTTGCCCCACAATCACTGTTGTAAATCTCACGATTTTTCCCAAGAAAATTTCGGAAATATTGCCCCACGAGATGAACCGTCATTGAAAATGCGAGTCGAAATAAATATATTTTTTTCGCACTCAGCGATAGTATTTTTTCCCACGAAAAATACCACTTTGTCGAGGATCTTTCGCAATCGCATAGAGAGACACAATAAAAGGGTCACCTGTGGGAAATTCACATAAAAATTAATTTCTCTCTCCCTCATTTACCTGTCGTGAGTGAATCGCGACAAAAGAGCAGCAGAATGCCAAGAGAAACCCTTATGCAATCGTGAGTGCGTTGCGATTTGTCACATGAGACACATCGTGCGACTCACTGGGACATTTCATCAACCCACTGATGCATTGAAAGTGATCAACAAAAGGCAAGAAATGGAGCATGAACGGTGATGACACCGTGGCATTAACCGTAACCTTTTGTACATTGCCTTCGAGTAAATAGTGTGCGAAAATCAAGGTAGAAAAAAGCCATAGTCATTGATCGGACAATTTCACGCGTGAAAGTGAAACCAAAATGATGGCAAGAGTCCACAAAAACACGATGAAAAAGCATTTTTGCGGGTTTTTTTCTGTCTCTTTGCTCTTTGTGAGATTATTAAGGGGGAGAAGCAGAGCCACAAAAATGGAATTGGATGAATTGGATAGTGTTTGCGCCATTAATTATTCATTTATGTACATTCGCTTTCAATGGTCGTCTTCCGTTTAACTTTGCTTTCTTCCGTACCTTTCAGGATTCCCTTGTCCCCATTCTATCAATCTCTCACTTTAGAAAAAGTCATTATTTATCTTTGCCTCATTCTAGATCAATTGTTCTATTTATTCCTCTTTAATGTTGAATGATTTCCTTTATAAATGGAATTCAAAATGTTACACTTGAAGCACAGAAACAATAGAATTTAAGTTTAACTGCAAATTAGTCAAATTTCACTCTTTCGCGTGTCTTTTTGCGTTTCTGCCTAATGAAATCATAAGCAAGAATGAAGCCAAAATTCACTTCGATCATGGGAAATGCAAGTCGGTTGGAGTTGCAATTCTCACATGTTCCGGCACAAGACAAGCGCACACAGTTTGATTCACAAAATGATACTCTTAAAAGAGAAAGTGACTTCTTTATGAAATGATTTTTCAGCAATTTATCGCTCGCTACCTGTTTCTTGGGCCACACGACCAGAGCAAAAGATCACCGCGCATTCACTCTCTCGCCCCATACTCTCTGGTGCTTATGAATTTATTTATTATTCTGCAGCGACACACAGTGTGATTAATTTTCGGTGCAACACCGCATGTGTGTAGTCTTGCCATTTCTCTCGTGAGAAGAGAATTATGTAAAAAAAATTATTTAATTCCATTTACACTCACAATTTCCGCAAACTTATGTAATTCCCGTGGAATATCTTCTAGAGCTTCTGCGTGGCTCTCTTTTGCATTTCACTGTGAGGCCCCAATGCGATCTTCGCAGAGTTCGCGATCGCCCATCATTTGATCACAATAGTCTTGGGCAATTGCATTGGATAAGAAAGACTTTCGTGTCGGAGCAGAGAAGTGACCAGGAAGGTGAGGAGAGCAATTCCTAGTTGTACATCGTAACTGGCACCCTAATTACGTATTCAGATCGCGGACTGTATCGATAGCTGTTCGATGGAATGTCGTCCCATTGTGGAGATCGCTCAGAGCGCGAAGAATGGTGAATAGAGTGCAGAAGTCAGACTTACCAATGACTAAGAACAGTACAGCCAAGGCTCCCTTCATCGCTCCAGTCATTCTAGCGAAAATCCTCCTCAACGGGCAGTTCTCCTTGTGATCCTTCGGCTCACAAAAACTCAACACGAGACGATCACTGCGACAGAGACTCTTCGCACACACCGTTGTACTTTCTCAGGTGGCTTGTCTCTAAGCGAGATAAATTCGTTGCGTTCAAGGAGACAGATGGACTCAAACTGCCGGCTGGCGAGTGAAAGACAAACGGGTTTCCATAAATCCCCACATGGGTGTCGCGGCTCCCCCAGCACACTTGGCTTCTCTCCTTCACGTTCTTCTTCTCCAATTGTGCGCCTCTTCTCCGAGATGCCCTCAGCCGCTCACTTCCCCCCGCGCGCCTCCAGGAACCATCACAATAGCCACCACACAATGGTGTAGTGTCCAAAGTGAAAGACACACACAGAGCTGGATGAAAATTCTCCTCACAAGTCGAACATCGCGGAGATGCAGAGAAGAGATGAATGAATGCGAGAGAGGGAAAAATTATTGTAATAAAACTCAATTATAATGTACTTTCTAATTTTTTCTCTCCCTTCGAACCTCCCTCCAACTGCTGTACACTTCTTCAGCTTCTTCACGTAAGCACACCTCCAATGGCTGTGATCTCCTTGAGAGATGAAGAATTATTTCATAATTTCTCACACACACACACACTCGCCGCTGTTTTCCCATATATCGACCCAGAGCCACTCATAACTCCACCGGACTCTCCAGTTGCAAACAGTCACCAAAAGAAGACAACATTTCTTGCCACAGCTCTCCGCACACAGCCAATTCCCTTGCATGGCAAACTAATCCAATTTCGTCCGCAAACGCACCGTGATCAACTAGAGTTTGGTGGAAATTCCTCGCATCAAACCACCGCACGATCGGTCAAATGGAGTTCAACATCTGTAATTCTTCGCTATCCATGGTGATCTTCAGCAATTTTGCCGTGCGCATATCGTGATCACTGGGCAGGAATTTGAGCAATTGGGCAAAGAAAACGAAAGTGCACATTGTAAAAGAATGCTTAAAAAGTAAAGTAGTAGGCAGGAAAGAAACATAAAATGAAAATAAAAATCAATGATCATCAGAAAATGAAGCACTAAAAGGCATGCTGGCTGAAAAAAGTACCCTGCAATTAGTATGAGAAATGAGAGTATTGAACCATAAACAAGGCGATCTTTCGTCAGAGTGGAGTCTGGAAAAAAAAGAACAGCGAGAAAACTCAATCATGGCATTCCCATTGAGATTTCAATTGGCATCTCTTGCCAATTTCGCAAAAATCATATCGGCAATATTGTGTTTAATATTCCTTTTATTGGATTAATGAGCATAAGCACAATGGAGGAAGGGAAAAAAAACTCTTTGATCACTCAATTACATTTCAATCGAATGCTGAGAGATTGATGAAAGAAGTGCACGACGGAGGCATAGTTTCAAGACTTAATTGTGTGTGAAGGAGTGTTATATCCGAGAATGGCCAGAGAGTGAGATCAAGAAGATCATCATCACTCTTGCATTTTTCACCACACGCGCAAGATTGGAGAAAGATCGCAATGTAAATTAACACTTTCATTGCAATTTCCCACTAATTATAGACAATCAATCGCGCATTGGTTTTCTTCACTCCTCGTGGCTTCTACCATGAATGTAAAGACCCCATTTTTATTATTATTACTATGGCCTTGCAATTTGCTGGTTTTTCTTAGACTCTCTGAAACATACGAATGTCTCGTGACACGGTGAAGAATTATGTGACTATTAATGTGAGAAATTCATCCAATTACTTATACGTTTCTTGCGTATATATTTCACCTCCGCTCTCTCTCTCTCTCTCTCTCTCTCTCTCTGTTTATCTCTCGAATGTTACAGTCAAACTCATGCCAATAAAACGGGTATGATCTTCTGGAGAAGCGCAAGAATATATACTTTTCCCGTGACTGTAATAATCTCTTTCTCTTTTCCCCTCTATACTTGTTGATTATAACCATCTCATATATTTAATTGCTATATTGTGGTATACTCAATTATATCTGAAAATTGTTGTATAATTTAAAATTGAAACATTTCTACTATTGAGAGAAATTTCCATAGATAATTTCTCATCATCAAAGTCTCTCCACATTTCACCATTGTTGGCTGCCATAGAGATATTTTTTAACAGTGTGTTTTCACCTAAAAGAATGTCTGTGTATCATGTAAAAGTTACTCTTTTGTGTATCTATGTTGTTTCAAGGGTCAATTCCTAATTATATGCAAGGACTGAAAGAATTATTATGCACGGGGGGAGAAAAGATATTTAAAATTCACGGCGATGGTATTTGTCAGGATCAAAGTACGAAGTCACCACAACACGATCACTGAACTTCCTTCCGGTGAGTGCCTGTTGGGCCTTCTGGCAATCGACCACAGAGTTGAACTCCACAAACACCTGAAAGGGAACAGGATATTTATTAGAAATCCAGACAACAGGAGTGTCAGTCTTAGATGATCACCTTTCCACATCCCGGAACGTCAACCCCTTCAATTGGACGTGGAATCTCAACACTGCGGACAACACCATACTTGTTGCACTCCTCCTTGATGTCCTCCAGGATGTCCTCGTATTCCTCCTCATCGCGCAACTCCTCAGGCGTCACCATGTTCAGCAGGCACAACACCTCAGTGGGAGGACCACTAGCGCCCACGAGAGACAAGCCCGGCACCTGAATCTGCACCGGAGCAATTTGACCCACATTGGTGTTCTTGGCTCCGACGCTCGCACGCTGGACGATCAACTTCTTGTCACCCAGTTGCATACCATTTAGTCCAGCGATTGCCTAAGAATCGTAGAAAATAAACATCAGCTATGGTTCAATAGTACAGCGAATAAGTCAAATTACCTGATCAGTGATACTGAAATCGACATACTCAGCAAATGCATAGCCCTTGCTCAATCCTGTGGCGGCATCTTTGACTAAATTGAATGCGCGGAGCTGCCCGAAAGACAGAAGAAGCTCTTTTACCTAAAAAATATCCAGAAACTCATATTAGTTCAAGAAATCTGTTCAGCTACCCAAAGATTTGGTCATTTATATGTGAAATGTCTTCCCTAACATTCACGCTAGCTTCTACTCTTTAACATCTCGTCTAAGCTCTCTCTTTTGCTTTCCTTCTAAATCTCTATCAATTACTTACCTGCCTCTTTTCCCACTTCTTTCCCACTATGATACTAATTGTAATTCACCCCTGAAATTTTAAACAATTCGTCTCTACTCTACAACCCTTCATGGACATTTATGCCGGATGTTCTGCATAAAGACGGCATGAAAGGCTGCGGAAGCAAGAAACGCCCTTTGTATGATATCATTTTCCTCGGTAATTTAAATCTCTTTCTAATTACATTTCTTTTAGCTCTCCTTTAGTAACAAGCAAACTATTCTGACTGATTTTATCACTTTCTACATATTCGTGCCAAAAAGAGCTTGTCAACCTCATTATACACAACATTTGCACAGAAACATTGACCAAAGAAATTTTCTATTTAATCACCATTTTTGGCACGACTCCGTATCTCTTCAATCTAAGCAATTTCTAGCTTGAGGATAGATATTAAGTGGATTTTCAAGTCTTTCATTGTGGAAGAGTTTCATGTTTATATTTTCCAAGGTTCGCGCAAATTTGCAATGCAATATCGTATTTGTTCGCAAATATTGGACTTGATCTCCCGTCGAGTTGCGAATTTTTCAGAGTGATCTTATTCAGATGGACATTTTTTGTGTATCTCTCTTTTCTTTTCAATCTTCTCACGCTATTTTGAAAGTGTTGAAAAATTGCTGTAAGAAATTATGGACCAACAGAAAAAAAGGAAGGCTGAAAGAGAAATGAACCTGAAAAGATCTTTGCACTTTTGCGTGTCACCTGAAATTTGCTAAAAAAAAAAAAGATTTTCACACACTTTTTGTGGATCTGTAAGAGATCTGAAAAAGAGACACGTGGAATCCGTATGCTGTGCAAAAGAATTACTCGAGATTTAACCAATTTGATTGCAGTACTGCTAATGAATAGCCGCTAGAGAGAGAGAGAGAATGCAAAAATACTGAAAGAAAATCACGGATCTCATTTTTGAAAATTACTCGTAAATCTCTCTCTCTGTCACTGAAATAATTCCCTGTAAAACTGTGGAAGAAATTGGTGTAAAAAACCTTACATGGCTTCTCTTTTACTGTTACTGAAAAGAATCACTGCAAAAAGGTAAATTTTTTCTTCTTCTTCATTCTCTGTTGTCACGCGGACGCTTTTATCTTCGTCCCCTCATTATAATCTCTGTGTGTGATTTTGACTGAAATGCATGATTTAAAGGGTATTTCAAAAGGGAGCTACAAAGAGAAAATGGTACAAAAATTGAGACGTGGATACAATAAACTCTTCAGCGAGTCTCTGCGTGCTCTTATCGAGTTCTGTGTAGAGAAAGATACTGTCACACAGATCTTTTTGGCTATAGCGAGTCCCCTAATCCGGACAATGTTGGACTGTGGAGCATTGTCTTTTCTCTTTGACTTTGGAAAGTGAGAGAAAAACGGGTAAGCTATCTCGATACTCGTCAACACTTTGCCAACAACATCAACAAAGGACTCACCTGATCCTCATTCAAGTAATTTGGTAAGCCACCGATGAATATTTTGTGCGGGGAATCCGGCACAACAGTGCTAATGACACCTATAAGAAAGACATATACCCGAGGACGTCCAATTAGAGAATTATCCAGGCATAATAATTAGGGGAAACTTGCCTGGAACATTAAGAGCTGCAGTATCGGTCATTCCGGGCATCGGCTGATAATCGTGTGGACGACGAATCTTAAGACTCTGCCCCTTGAAATTGATACCATCGAATGCCATGGCTTGAGTTGTCTCGTCAATGGATCTAAATTCAAGAAAAGCAAAATTCTTGTCTAAATTTATCTGGCAAGCCAGCACGGGATTGCCAGCGGCTTGGGCCAGTCCGGACAGATGCATTTGCTGATTGAAGAACTCCATCATCTCCTCCTCAGTGACGCCAAACGGAATATTTCCCACGTAGAGTCTGCAAAGGAGGCCACATCATCAACCCTTCACCTTTTCTTATTAATAAAACTCGCTATATTACCTTCTGGCTTGTCGAGTGATCGTGGATCCAACAACAGGCACTGCTGCCTGCGGAGTGTCCGCCACTATGTTGGCGGGAATCTGGCCAGCCGCCTGCATCGCCTTGTACTGCAGCGGCGTGATATGCTCAAAACCCGGCGGCGGAACATCCCAGTACAGAGACGGCTTCCGGCGGCGAGACCTGGTCTTCTTATTAGGCGACCGGGATCGACTGCCACGACGGCGCTCCCGTTGCCCTGATCTGGAGCGCGACCTACGGCGCTCCCTATCGCGCTCCCGGCGGTCTCTACGGTCCCTGTCTGAAATGTCCGGAAGCGAATCAGCCTTGCGAAACGTCAAATCTTTTCACTCCATTTTCACTGGCTAAACTTACCTTCGGCGCCCATTTTTCACTGCTTCCCTAGACTTTAGCACTTACTTTACCTGATGGAAGAGAAAAGTGATGTTTTTCAGCACTTCCTGAGCGGTTTTTGCGCACAATATTTGCAGCAACGCGATCAAAACACAAAATGCTGGGAATTTTTTTGCCACAAAGTGACAGCATTTGGCTTGCTATAAAATGGCTGCCGATGCTGTTAGTGGGGGAGAGGAGGGGAAGAGTTGTCAGTAGTTTTTGTAAACACGTGCGGAAAATGCCTAATGTGAAGACAAAAGCAGATAAATCCCTCGGGAAAGCGCTGATTAACGACAGGTTTAAGCGGAGAGGCAAGAAGAAAACCGTGGATAATGGATCTATGGTGAGAAATCCGTTTGAAATCGTTTGAATGAATGTAATTGAGTGTTGGTTTCAGTTGCACACGACGGAAGTCCAGGATGGCTACGATTGGGGGCGCCTAAACCTGCAGTCCGTGACCGAGGAGTCCTCATTCCAGGATTTCTTGCGCACGGCGGAGTTGGCTGGGAAGGAGTTCCAGGCGGAGAAGCTCAACATTGCATATGTGGCTGTGAAGAGTGACTTTGGGGTGCTGAGCGATGCTGAACGTGTGGAAATGCAGAAGAAACACAAGGACAAGAAGAGCCTCCTTACGATTCCCAGACGCCCGAAGTGGACGATGGAGACAACGCCAGAAGAGCTGAGACAGATGGAGAATGAGAGTTTCCTCAATTGGAGACGCTCCTTGGCCTTGCTTCAAGAGAATGACGATATCCAAATGACTCCGTATGAAAAGAACCTGGCCTTCTGGCGACAACTGTGGCGAGTTATCGAGAGGAGTGACGTAATCGTGCAAATTGTGGATGCGCGGAATCCTCTGCTGTTCAGGAACGAGGATCTCGAGAAGTATGTGAAAGAAATTGGAGAAGAGAAGGAAAACATGATCTTGATCAACAAGTCGGACTTTCTCACGGATGAGCAGCGCAAGAAATGGGCTGAATTCTTCGACCAACACAAGATCAGAGTTGTGTTTTTCTCTGCACTGCGAGCCAAGGAAGCCCAGGAGCAATTGGAAGCTGTTGAAGAGGAGGATGAAGAGGACAATCCTGACATTCCGGCAGCAAAAGTTCTCCTGAAGAAGATCGACAAAGTTGAGGAGAAGATGTCGGAGCTGGAGAAAGATCTGTCTGACATGATGAAGCCCAAGGAGGATAAAACTGATGATGATTCGTGGGAGAGGAACAATTCAGACGTTCTCTCACCAGAGGATTTGATTGCCTTGTTCCAGAGAGTGCACACACATCCCAAGAAGTTCACTGAAGGCATCACGACAATAGGATTAGTGGGTTATCCAAACGTGGGCAAGAGCAGCACGATCAACGCTCTCCTGACGGAGAAAAAAGTCTCAGTGTCAGCGACACCGGGAAAGACAAAGCACTTCCAGACACTTTTCCTGCAAAATGATCTGATGCTCTGTGATTGTCCGGGACTTGTAATGCCCAGCTTTGTGCTCACGAAGGCTGAGATGATTCTGAATGGAATTCTGCCCATTGATCAGATGAGAGATCACGTCTCTCCAATAAACCAACTCTGTCGGTACATCCCGAGGCACGTTCTGGAGGACAAGTATGGAATTATGATCCCGAAACCCACAGGAATGGATGATCCCGACAGACCTCCACACTCCGAAGAGCTGCTGCTGGCATATGGATGTGAGTGGAAAGACACTTTTGCCACGGCGAAGGTGAGAAATTTACTATCTTGATCTCTCTTCCAGACAATCGTGGCTTCATGACGGCCAATGGGCAACCGGATCAGTCCAAGGGAGCTCGCTATATCCTGAAAGATTTTGTCAACGGGAGACTGCTGTACGCCTATGCACCTCCAGATCTCGTTCAGGAGGAGTTCCACGTGTTTCCGGAGCGCCAACGCGCCGTGAGGACTCATATTCCTCCGCAGGAGAAACGCGCCATTCGACTTCCCGAGGCTGCAATGAGTGAGGAGGAATTCAATGCGATCTACTTTAGCAATATCCCAGGCGAGGCCTCTTCGAAAGGACGCAAAACCATGCCTCACGTGCGTCCGCTAAGCGCCTCTAGTTCCACGCAGAGTCTGGACAGTGTCCATATCGCTGGGAAGTCGTGGAAGGGTGGAAAGAAGGAGAAAAAGGTGAAGCTCAGGAAGCAGTTCGCCCACTTAGATCAACACTAACGGGATTAGCGGGAAATACAGTTATTGTAATATAATTTAATATCATAATGTTTATCTATGATTTTCGTGAAAATAAAATATACATAGGCGATTGGCATGCTTATCAATAAAACAAGACGCAGTGAAGAACGGACCTCTCGACCTTCGTCTCAAACTCGTGAAGGATTTCATCGATGTCGTTGTCCAGATCATCGCTCTGAGCCATGTTCGTGACCATGTCGCAGATGAGAAAAGCCCCAATCGTCGCGTCCTCGTGATTGTCTTGAATATCAATGTTGAGGACATGGACAGGCTGATTATAGACAGGTGTTTTGGACTCCATGAACTCAATCACCTGGTCATACACACGCTCCTCTGCCGTTACGATTATGTCGAACCGCTCTGTGCATAGCTGGAACTTCTCTGAGGCCGGCTTTATTCGCCGGTTGCGATCCAGCATGTGCAGGAGACCGTTCTGAGTGTAGTACTGCTTATCCTTGTAGCACAGGTCATTGTAGATGTCATCATAGAGTACCCCGAAGTCATACACGTTGGGCTTATCGGCTGCAGTTCCCGGAAGCTTCACCTTGTCGCCAGTGCCAAAGGAGCGCACTTTGAAGCGCTTTTTGGCCAGGTAGCCGTGCGCCTCCATCGAGCGATTCATGTTAGAGGAGCAGATTACAGCTATTGACAAGTCACTAATGTACGCCATGCCGCGGAAGGTATTTCCTGTGTGCAGAAAATAACCAGGAAAAAGTGTAGCAGGAAAACAAAACACCACTGCACTGACGTTTCTCCTCTTAGGAAATGTCACAATAGTTGCTATAAAATGGCGGAGAGAAAATAGAGCGTGTAGAAAAAGAGATTTTCTACACATGCATGAAAATATATAATGTATTCAAAATAGAGAAAAAAAAATTGAGAGAACAATACAATCCAATACAACCAAGAGAACTAATAACGCTTTGGTACAAATGCTTTTTCTGCATAAATTACTGACGAAGTGAAATTGTGTAATAAAAGCGACTCCATTATTTACCCCCCGCTGATGCCAGATACTGACGCCGGGCGGCGTTGACGTGCGTTGTTGCTTCCCGTTGTTTTCAGTCTGTCGTGCGACTCTTGCGTGAAAAGGTGTTAAAATCCGGCTTATTCCGTGCTATTCCAGCAATAATTAATCAATTATTGCACTTAATCGCATACAGCTGAGCAACTTGAGGTAAAATCACCGAATATTCTCACCGTGTTTCATTGAAAATCCACTCAAATTTATGATTAAAAATCATCGACATTTTTTCTGCCTCTCGCCTTATCTCAATCCCCTTTTAATTATTGTACTCGAATGCGAAAGTCCACATCAGTAAAAAACAGAATTATGCAAGCAATATTGCCGGGCGGCAGTCTATAAGTTCACGCGAAATTACATTTGGTGAGGATGTGGCGGAATATGCAAAATTTTCTGCAAAAAGTTCCAGCAAAAGAAACTCGATTGCATTTCTTCCATTTCTTGCCGGGTAAAAGTCAAATGGGAGGAATAAAATGAATGCTTTGAATGGATAATAGTGGAAGAAATTGTCACAATTCCATCTGTGGAGTTCGCTCATTAAAAACCGCCGCCAACGCCCCAGAGAAAAAGGCGAAAAGTGCAGCGCGATCATGACGCAATGGCACTGTTTTAGCCACGCACAGCCTTTCGGCGGATCCAGAAGCTCGCCTGGCAGAGGGCACATGAACTTAACTGTTCATTTATGGGCATTTGTTCCTCTCGAATGTCCGTACGCTGACTAGAATGTCTCGCTAAATCAATTTTATCGATTCTCTCTCACTCTTTCTGGCCATCTCGATGATCACGACTGTTGGTTTCCAAGTATTGTTCACTCCACAACAGCATTATTGCTCTCCAGCGGCTCATAAGGAACAGTGCATGGCGCAATTGTTCGAACAAGAGAGTATTATTCCTATCTGAAGTTGGATTTTATTTGCATTTCTTCGCTTTGTAAACAATTTGACGATGCTTTAGTGGACATTTTAATGGTTTTCCGACGATATTTCTTTGTGTTGATCAAATGTGAATGTTTGGGATGAGAAATAGGATAAATAGTTGATTTGTGCCGGTGAATGAATACCTAAAAATAGATTTTTCTTAAAAAATGTCCAAAATATATGAGAAGTTTCGCAGATTTTAATTCATTTCATCACTCATTAATTGTGTGGGTTCTTCAATTTACTCATCATCGTTACTGTGATTAAGTTTAAATTCAATCTGTCCCAAGAATTCCGGCACAGAGTGTGCTTTTTCTCTTCGATCCTTTTCTCCCTTCCCCTTTACTCAATAATAAATCATCGCGGAGTTTGGAAATGCTTTCATATGGGGTATTTGGTCTTGCTCTCTGTCTCTTCTCTTCTCGCTCCCTCCGCTGGATCAGTTCCGAAAATAAGTTGTGTGATCAATTTGGGTGAATCACGTTCGCGTGTGTGAGTGTATAAATATTTGGAATAATCCCAGAGGAAGAATTTCCTCACTGAGTTGACTTCCAGATTGTCTCTCTGACGCGCTCTCGACGCATTGGCCAGATGTTGAAATATTGACTCATGCAGAGTGACCGAGAGAGCGAGGCTTATTCCGCAGGACGCGCGCAGTTTGAATTGGGAATTTATTCACCCTTGCGTGCGATACATTGTTGAATGCAAGGCACTGAGTCAGAAGGCAAATCTTTATTGTTGAAGAGAACAGAGCGGAGATGTTTGTATTTGGCTCTGTGGCAGACACATTATATTTGCAATTATCACCTGCATTCGTATGGAAGGCAAATATTAAAGAAGGTGATAAGAGGATGCTTTAGAGAGATCATATGATCGCAGGAAGACTGCCATCAGTTGGCCATTGGCTCTGGGTGATTCTCAAACTTCTGGGGGACTTTTTCCACTTGAATTCTCTCATAATAAGTCAGATGCTTTATAAGGCGTGAATTTTACAGTGAATGGCACGTGCATGCACCTCATTAAAAATATGATTACACATCTTGGGACTATATTTAGAAGTACTGAGATTGAGTTTGGAGATAGATAATGCGAAGGCTTACGAAATTGATCGTCTCTTCTTTCAGGAGATTCTCACAAAATGTCTGCTGATCGCTTGGATGTGGTGATCTTCGGGGCGACGGGCTTCACAGGCAATTGTGCTGTGGAGAAGAGCGTGGAGTTCCTGTCGAAAGTCAAGTGGGGCATCGCCGGGAGGAATCAGTCGAAGCTGGAGGGCGTGCGAGAGAGGATTGGCACCAAAGTGTCCAAGGACTTGTCAGAGATTCCCATCATAATCGCCGATGTGGGCGATGAGGAGTCACTGAAGAAGATGGCAGAGCAGGCAAAGGTCGTGGTGAACTGCTGCGGTCCGTATCGTCACTTCGGCGAGGCTGTCGTGAAGGCGTGCATCGCCGCGGGCACTCATCACGTGGACGTGAGCGGTGAGCCGCAGTACATGGAGAGAATGCAGCTGGAGTACGACGAGGCGGCGCGCGAAGCGGGCGTCTATGTGGTGTCAGCATGTGGATTCGACAGCATTCCCGCGGATTTGGGCACACTCTTCCACGAGCGTCACTTCGAGGGCGTCGTGAATTCCGTGGAGACTTATTTGGTGGCGAAGAGCACGGGTCCCGGCGCATCTCTGCACTACGGCACTTGGGAGTCTGCTATTTACGGGCTCGCCCACGCCAATGAGCTCAGATCGCTGCGTTCGAAGCTGTTCAAGGAACGTCTGCCGTCGATGAAGCCCTCACTCAAGAACCGCCCTATCTTCCATCGAGCACCCGTGGTGAGGAATGCTGTGTGCCTACCTTTCCTGGGCTCCGACAGATCCGTCGTGATGCGCTCGCAGCGCTTCCTCTTCGAGACGCAGAAGAAGCGCCCCGTCCAGGTGCGCACATACATGTCAGTGGGCACATACTTCACTGCTCTCCTCTTCATCCTGGCCGGAGCTATTTTCTCCCTCTTCACACGCTTCTCGCTGGGTCGCCGCCTGCTGCTTGACTACCCCAAACTGTTCTCCTTTGGCTTCGCCAGTCACGAGGGTCCGTCGGAGGAGAAGATGAAGAACACTAAGTTCACCATGTGGTTCCAGGGCGCCGGCTGGCCTGAGGCACTCGCCGAGGGTGAGGATCAGTACGCTGATCCGCCAACGAAGAAGCTCGTCACCAAAGTGTCGGGCACCGACTTTGGATATGGAAATACAGCCGCTTGTATTCTGCTCTGCGCCACGACAATCCTCAAGGAACACTCCAAAATGCCCGGAAAGTGAGTCATTTTCTTCTCATACAAGTCAACATAATAATATTTATACACTATCGATAAAAAGTGATTGATTTGAAAGGCTAATAGAAATTCTGCCACAAAACAATATCAGGTCAGAACTTGATGGACTTTTACAATGTTGAATTATGTCATAAGCACAAGAAGAACTTCCAGGTAAAGACCGCAGAACTCATTCTCTGTGGCTTTTGTGGATGTCAGTGAACTTCACAGCCAATAGATTTTGCAAAAAGAGGAAAGTAACACTATTACGTGACAGAATTTATATTGATGTGCAACAAGAAGTCACTGTTCCATTTCTCTCGCCATTGTCTCTCAATAAGGCAATCAAATGGTATCTCTTCATCTAAGAAGCGGGCGTTTCAGTATTTGAAATATTCACTAATTCATCAATTTCTCTGTTCTTTTTCAGAGGAGGCGTTCTGGCGCCCGGAGCTGCCTTTGGCAAGACAAGTCTTATTGATGAGCTCAATAAGAACGACGTCTTCACCTTTGAGGTCGTGTCAGCAAAGGAAGATTCACAGAATTAATCGATTGTTTGCATAAGAACACATTTTTTCACTTGCTTCTTTTCCCATCCAAGTAATATGGATATTTAATCGTGACCTGCCTTAAGGAATGGATTTATTCTATTTATGCGCTCACTGAAAGTCTAATAAAGAAAATTTGTCTCTGCAATCTGAAAGGAAATAAAGGCATTTTCCTAATTTTCATTGTAATTTATTTCTCTTTTTTTCTCTTTTAAATATGTTCATGAACTTACTAATATTGTTGCTTCTTTAAGTCTTTTTCTACACTATTATCTTTTCTCATCGTTTCTGCATGTTTATTTTCTCTTCGATCTTTAAGTTAATGCAATAGTTTCGCATAAAAATCAAGTACGTTGAAAAATATCTATCAAAAAATCTTTAAGTCATAATTAATTTGTTCTCTGTTCATTGTTTAAAACAGGGAAATTGTAAAAGAGACTAAAAAATGGATACAAAAAAACAGGGAATAATTCTCATCCTTCAGGTTTGTGACAACAAAATGAACAACACTTTTAAGTCTTTCGTAATTGCAAAATTATAAAATAAAATAAAATTGAGAGGAATAATACAAAAAAACGAGAGTTTATAAATGAGGGTAATGGAAAACAATTAAAATGAGATTCGCAATTGATAAGGTGGAAAGTTTGGAGATTTATCTTGTTTTTTTTTCAGGAATCTTAGTGGAATTTCTCTTTTTTCTTCTTCTTTGCATGTCTAAAAACACTTTGGAGAGAGAATTAATTAATAATTGATTACAATAAATATTACAATGCAGTATTCTTTTCATAATTCAATAATGGCTTTTTCTATCATTCTTCCTCTTTAAAGTATTGCAAAAATATTTTTATCTCTATTTTTACTCCACTTCTCTCCTAAATTCTGCTTCACCCAAGCTTATTGGTGGCTCATTTGATTCATGTTCTTCAAAAGTTACTTTCATCATCGTTTAATCATCAAAAAACTGTGGAACACTCTAGCGACTTATTTGTTATTTAATTATTGTATTTCTCTTCAATCTTCTAATGTAGATTTTCTTTAAAGTAATAAATTGCGTCCATCAATAAATATTTCTTGAATTTTCTTCGCTTAGGTTTCAAAGAAAATGTTGCCACTAAATAAGAGCGTATTTGATAGGATTTTAATATTTCCTTCCTCTCTCTTTCTCTCTGCATGATAAATTCTCTCTTCGTCAAATTCTAAAACGCCTAAATTTCATCATTTTTCACCTTCTCTCACTATAGGAAAATTTTTTAATACTTTTCAATCTTCTGTGTAACTTTTTTTTTGTTCAAAAAGACAAATACATTCTCTTTTGGAGCAAGGATATTCTCTCTTCATCAGAAATTCAATTTTATAGCACACTGTTTAAAATCGTCAACTGCACTATTGAAAGAAGTGTTTGGGAAATATTGAGAAGAAATTCTTACCTTGGCAAACAGCATGTTTTTGTTCTTTAGCAATTAACTGGAGCGATGACTGGGAAAGCTTCTCACTTGAGATATGCCACACTCGATGTGTCCATATTGATGATGAGGGTGCGCAGGAAGGCCATTTCCTTCCTCGCATTCTCGAGTATAACTTTGGGATCCTGTGATGTGCACCTCAGGCAATTAGGTGCGAATACCATTGCCAAATTCGATGAATCCATCTTCGTGTTGGCCACAACATCGGGCTGAGCAAATTGTTGCAAGAAGTGAATCAAGTACGTGAGAACCTGGAAGAATTTTACATTTTTACCACAAGTTCTTTAGTAGAAGAAATATTCCGCACCATCCTGTTAATTCGTGGCAATTTGTTAACAATCGTTGCTGCCTCCTCGGGATCCTCAGTCTGAACACACTTCTCGTACAGATCATCAGGTATAAGAGGATCATAGAGTTCGCGGTACCAAAGCTTCAGAAGACTGGCCGGTGAGTGTGCATCCATTGAGGGCTTGTACTCTGGAATTTCCCATCGATCTAGGCGATTTTTCAAGTACATCACCTCATCAACGTCCGCAGGAACACGAAAGATGCCCTCAGTTTGTTTTCCGCCCATCAGGAGCACCTGCTCGGACAGCGTCACCTGAATCCATGGCAATTGACGATCTGGGAACCTGTCCTTCTGCAGATCCATCACCTCCTGAAGTGTATTGCCAAACATACTGTCCCGAAAGATTTGATCCTGCACAAGAAAGAGACACAATTCCAATATAAATCCATCTTCAAGTCTTACTATTGCAGATAATACTCACCCTTGCTTGATTCACTTCGTCTTCTGATGGCTTTTTGGCTTGCTTCTTCCCCGAACTCCCAATCCTATCCAATCTTCGACACGCAATTGTGGCATAATGTGATATTTGCACGTGAATTGGCCACTTTCCCACCTCTGGGAAGCTCGTGGCGAAGGTAGGATCCCGATGGCGATTCATGTAGCTGAAATCAAGACATCATTAACAATCTCTGTTCACTCCAGAAAACCCCACATTAGACTCACTTCAGAAGAGCTGGTTGGAAAGTGGGCGAGGGAGGCAAAAAAGACAAACAAATGGCCATCAATTCCCACCCTCGAATCAAAGACTCACGCGATGGATTCTCCGTTGTTTGGCGGCACAATTGCACGTATAATTCATCACGGAGTCTAGAAAAACAAGAAAGATCTCTCAGATAAGATCAGACACTATCAAAGATGTTCGTTTACTCACGGTGGCTGCTGCACTGCCAGCGAGATGATATCAATTACCACGGAATTGAGACTCATTCCTTGTCTTGCTTTGCGATCACCCATGTAGATTTGCACCAGCTTGAACAACTCCGTGGCCATCTTCTTGCCCGCCTTATCACGCGACACTGCCAACATGGGTCGACTGATAGCGTTGCCCGTCCAACTCAGCATATCCCGCACGGATGACTTCTTCCTGAAGATTCCCTTCGAGTGCAGGTTCAGATTGTCTTGCGCAAACTTCTCAATATCGCACTCCTTCATTATGGCCAACTGCGGAGCGCCACCAGGTCCGGATGGTGGAAGCATTTTGGACATTCCGTGCATGTGTCGGTCAATTGATTGCTGAAGATGGAAGCCAGGCGACGGCATTGAGTGCTGCTTCTGCACACCACTCATCTTTCCATGGTGGTGATGATGGGGCAGACCTGAGCTGCCGCCCATTGGGAAGATTGGGTGATTCCGCACAGGGCTGTATATTTGTGGCTCATCTCGAGCACTTTCCAGTTTGGCCTCCACCTCGGAAGATCTGCAAACATCCAAAAGAATATCAACAGTAAATGCGTTTCTAACCACAATCATCCAGATAGATGACACTCACATGTCTTCCTTTTCACCCTTGTCGAAGTTCAATCCGATATTGTAGTAGGATGTGTGACCAGCACCACCACTGCCTCTCGTCATCCCATAATCCTCTCCAGTGACACAGTGATGCGTCAGGTAATCACCGCGACCGTCTGAGTGATCAGAATCCTCATTGTCGGGCTCGTGACCAGAGAAAGAATGCTCCGATTGACTATCTGAGTGGAGAGAATCCGAATCCAGAGGATCACCAAGTCTGTAGCATCCAGACAGTTTGGCCTGCTCTATAATATAGTGCTGCAGAGGTAGAAGATGTTCCTGCATCTCCTGAAAGCACAGATAAAGCAAAAAAGTGGTAAAATAAAGCAAAAAGATGGTCGATAATTGCTTCAAATCGTAATTACAACAGGCTTTTTTCATTTCTTACTTTTCTCAAGAGTTTTTCACTTGCTTGATTTTTTCGTTTTTTCATTTTATCTTGGCGTTTTTTGTTTGACGGGTTTTATTCCTTTGATTCATGTGTGCATTAAGACACGTTTTCATTTAATTCTCACCCAGATATTTATTGCGGGGCAAAGCTGGGCCCCGTTTCTACGATGAAGCATCAGACCACCCGAAGGCCTCTCAAACTGAGTTTCACCACTTTCCACCTCAGTTAAAAACATCGACAGCGAAGTATTAATCCTAATTGGCACGACTGTCGACATGAACTCATGGATAAACCAAACAATTGCCAGTAACGATCGTTCGTTCTTGCTAGATCATTTAAAATCTTTCCCAAGTGACATTTAACGGGATCTGGAAGGACCCCAGAAAAATACTTTCATTGCAAAAAGAAAACTCATCGATCATTTTGATTGAAATATCTCTTTGGCCTTTAGTGTGATTTCTTCGCAAAATCAAGTCTCTGTGGGTGGTTTTGGATTAATTAAAACATCTAGCACTGCCACTCAATGTAAATACACAATTTTTTTTGTGCAGAAAAACCACGAATAATTCGTGAATAAATTTAGCCTTTCAGTATTGCGAAGTAAGTGGAATTAATTAGCCAACTTCTCACCTGATCCCAATTGCTGTACAGTGGCGAAATGTTCCCATTGTCGTACTCCGCATCGCTGGTCATCGTGCCCATCATGTACTGCTGCCGACGTCTCGTGCGCCTACCCGTGGACGTGGCCCTCTCGGCGCTGTGCTTGTGCATCTCCTTGTTGTGCCTCTCGAGATTTGGCTTGCTGAGATAGGGAATCACGGCCGGCGATGATTCCTCCTTATGCTCCTTTGGTGTATTGCTAAATGACGATGTATGCTGCTGCCTCACCGGTGCACCCAATTCATTTTGGCATTGACTAGACGTCACAGCACCGCTGTACTTGTTCGCCAGTGGCTTCATCAGGCTATTGATTTGCTGTATCGACAAGCCTGAACTATTTGACACGCTTCCCGGTGACACCTTCCCCTTGTCGAGCTTCATCTTGTCCAAATATCTGACAAAGAGCAACATATGCGGAGGATTTTAGGACAAGCGCATGGCAAATTAATTGTTAATGGGAATTCACCTTTCGGGCTTTGTTGGTAGATCCAGATTCAGCAGTTCCGGATCATTCTTGTGACTAGAAATATAGGAGCTTGGGGTATCTATGGCGATGGAGACACTGCTCAAGAGTGATGGCCTCACTGGTTTCGTTGCCTGCCAAGAAGTCGCCAAGAAGACAAGCAAAAATGCCATTTAGCACAAAAATATTCCATGTGCGTCGCCGGGAGAAAGAGAATGCAAAGAATTTCACTGTGCTTCGAACACACAGCGATGTATTCATCATCATACCACTTCTCTTCACTCTCTCTCTGTTTTTCTTTGAGGGAGCTAGAAATTTTCTCAAGAATTTCATGGTTAGTATATCAATGTCTCTTGCTGAAATATTTCATGGAATTTTTATAGGCGCAATTGGTACATTACAGCTCACTGTACAGTATATGTATATGTATAATTACAGGAAGAATTGTGACCAAGAAATAAACGAGTTTTCAACTGAAAGAAGCTGGAGAAATATAGTAAATCGAAAAGGTATTGAGGAATTCTTTCAAGCTGCAGAAATGAATTGCATTAATTGTCCCGCAATTGCACAGGCTCTCTTTCGCAAAATCAATATATATGTATTTACACAAACTTATAAGAGAAAGATGAGCCAAAGCGTGGAATTTCATGAAATATTTGCGTGATTTTGTTCACTTGATCATTCGCCAATTTTCCGTATGTACAGAAACTCTGTGTGTCTCTTGCCAATAAATTGTGTCCAAATTGAGTGTGTTCGAGAGCAAAAAGGGGATTTTGAGGGGAAATTATTAAACATTCTTACATGATTCTGCGGACTTATTGGACTCTGTGGACTCGAATCACTTGATCCGCCTGTTCCGCCCGTGGCCAGTCCTCTCGACGATGTTCCACTCCCGCTGGCTCTCGTATCGTTGCCCCCGCCACCTGACGCTCCCGACGCAATCGCGGCGCCCTTGGCCGATGTGGTGTGACGTCGTCGGGTCACTGGTGTGTTTTCAACAGATTTAAAATATTTCTCATGCATAGAATCATCACTACCACCTCCATTTCCTTCATTGCCCGGCGTCGTCACCGTTCGCGACTGATGCTGCTGGCGCGGCGATGACATGAAGCTCCCGGAGCGCGTCAGAGAGACGAGCGGAGGATCTTCTGCAAAGCAAAGTGACCGCAATTAGTATTCCATCGCAACCACAACTGCAGCCCCCAACCCACACCGTAGGTACAAAAATTAAGTGTATTACTTCCAACAAAGTCGAAACTCTGGTGTTTGGTTGCATCGGCGGACGTGCGTGAGGCGAAATCTCCGGCGTGCTTCTTCTTCAGCTGCGGCGTGCTGGTGGAGTGCGCCGGGGATGCACTCCCGGCCAGGTCAGACGAGTTGGAGAGTGAGTAGGGCAACTTCTGCTTTGGATACTGTGACGATGGCTTCATGTCGCTCCCACCCATCGCCACATGGGGAATGTTGTGCGAACTGTTGCTCTCCTGGAGCATCCTGTAGCAATTCTCAGCACTGTGCTGCTTCTTCCGTCCGCCGTGCTGCTGCTGCCCAATCCGAAGACTCCCGCCGTCCTGCAGACGCCGATATCCGTGGGCACTGGAGAGGCTGGAGTCACTGGACTTGCCGGAATCATGCCTCTGGCTGCTGTTGCGCGGCGACGTCGATCCTCCCGTGTGACGACAGTATTTGTGGGCATCGTGGCGACCACCCGGCGAATCTGTAGAGCTCGGCCGGAAACTGTGGCGACCCTGTGGACTTGAGAGGAGTTCTACACTCCGAGACTCCTGTGGACCGCGCTCCTTTGACGATGCGCCCTTAATCTCAGCACGAGGATCACTCCGGAAGAGTTTAGAGATCTAAAAGCCAAAAATTGTGTAAATAAATTGCATCAAATACATCAATATACTCAGCATGCCTCCAGCATGTCATCGTGCTACGAGAGATTTGGAAAATCTACTTCAGATGAAAAGCATATTGAAAAATTCACGATGCATCATCTGAGAATGGTGCAGCGTTAAATTTGAGCACCGCTCTCTGCGCTGAATCGAATGCTGGAGGCAGCAATAACATAAATTGATTATATTTATTGCGGGACATAAAAATGGATATGAAATGATATGTGAAAGCCATATTTGAACCTCACAATGATCCACTTTGTAAGCTTTATCGCACAGGGAAGACATTAATATGATATCGGGAAGTAAAATTATACTAATTATTCTTCTCTGATATCACGCTCCAGAAGTGCTTCGCATCAATTGCATTTTCTTTTTAAATTTGACACATTAACAATTCTTACTCACAACTCATCAAGGCACAAACAAGAGCAACTCTATAGAGTTATGATTAATTGCTCAGAGTCTCAGGTCAGATCAAAGGGATTTGGCCGAGTGTCTCTTAGCAGTTTTCTCTAGCATCGCAACCAGATAGAATCACGTCGGAAATGATGATGAATTCCTTACAATTGCACTGCTATTCACCTTCCCGTGGGACGTCTGCGTGGACTCATCCTTCCTCTCTGTGTTCTGCTTCAGCGTCTGCAGCTTCGCCAGTGGGATGATGTCGCAATCCACCGGCCGATGCCACACCGTGGTCTGCGATGCCACATTGTAGTAGTAGAAGCGATGGGTGTTGGTATCAAAGAGCTCCCACCACTGAGAGTCGTTTGTTCGCTTTATATTGACACCCTGGAAAGCAAGCACAGATCAGCCGGCAGCCACTCATCTCTACGCAGAGTGTGTAAACAAAGAGGCCCAGAGCGATATGCGTTAAGTGACACAATTAATATGCGTTTGCAGAGGCGGTGAAAAAAATACAGCCGACACGCAATGAATGAATTAATTAATCCGCGCTGGAGCAGCTGTTTGGGAATTTCTCTCTCGCGCGCTTCTGCATTTTTCCAACATATTTGCCCTATGTTTTGCCACGAAACCACACTACATACCCATCGTCACGCCACACTGTTCCAAGGCTCATCATTTTGCAACCGGTCACGCCGTCTTGGCGCTGTTTCTAACCCAGTTTCTGTCGTTTTCCCACGGAATTGGGAAGCACCATTGGGAGAGGATCAGATTTGTGTTTCCAACTGCTCAAAAGCACTGGCAAATCACAATTCCAAGTCTAACAACTCCACACAAATTTCCTGGGTGGCATTTGCCAACCATCTGTGCTGCTCTGGCCGCTCTGGCTCAATTTATCGCGTAATTCCGAGGCGGTTGAGCTCTCTAAAAGAGGCCTCCAAATGCCGTTTCAGCTTTGGAATGCCATTAATTGATATTCGCCCATGATCCCTCGCACTTCTTAGTCGTTTTTTGTTCAGATGCTGCGACAGCACTAATTTTACTGTAATTTGCACAGTTGTTTGCCACTTGAGCACGATGCTACAATCCGCGAATTTCCGATGCATATCCAGATTGATTTGTAAACATTATGAGTGTAGCACACTATATAGCTTGAGTTTTCGATAGACCCGCCCTAAATTCCTCCCGAAATCTCTTACGCCTCAAGGTCAGCTTTCAACCCTTCACGGAGAGCGCACTTCTCACTTGACGCAAATGTTCATTTGTGAATCTCGTGGAGACTGGAAAATGTAAGAATCTCTTCCGCTTGAAATCCGAATCCCACCCTCGCTTCCGTCTTCAAAACAAAACACTCTGTTTCGCCCTCCCTCCATTGCAGATGGCAATTCCGCGCAACCTGCGGTCGCTGACCGCGCGGAAGTCGCGACGAAGGGTCAGGACTTTCGGCTGGAGTTGTCTCACCTCAGGCGGATCCCAGACGCACTCTCCAGTGGAGAGATTTGCGTACATGTGCTCCTTTGTGCGGGGCTCTATGATCTCGACCCATTCGATCCTGCAACGGAAGGGCAGACAGTGAGTGAAAGTGCTAAAAATAGCCATAAACAAGAGACGCGAGCAAATGTGAAAAATCTCCCATTTTCACTCGCATCTCCCGAAATCTGAGGAGTGTGTGAAAATCGCATTTTTCACCCGTGCACTTTCCCACGGCGCCGCGAGGGGCGCTAGTGCCCACCACGGGAAAATCGATTTTATATGCAGAATGCATTCGCTAACACACCCCAAACATACCCCGAAACATGCCCCTTACCTGTCCGACGACATCTTCCATCTAGAAGTTGCTGGTGGTGCTGGGAATAAATAAATATTTTCACTAAAACCTACATATTTCACGCGTAAAGTGACAAAAAGAGATTCACTGAATTTCTGAAGTTTTCCTCCTGCGCCACGCACTGGCTGACACTGGAACTAGCGACCCCACCACAAAATCCATATGGCCGCGCTTGGAGGGTTCCGCGCGATGCTGTTGCAAGGCTTACGAAGGAAAATTAGATTATTTTGAAAAAAAAATCACCTAATTTCAGTGGAAAACTAATTGAAATTGTTGAATAAACGGAAAGCTCTTTCCCATTTCCTCACAATGCTTTTTGTGGGTTTCCCCGAGCCCACCCAAAAGGTGGGAATTTTATTTTCCAAAATTTCTGATACACAATTTATTAAAATTTCTAGAGGAATTCTCATGAAAATTTATGCAAGTGGCGTATAATAGAGATAGCAGCTATAATGTAGTGAATCTGGAGCAGGAGTGGCGCTCTAATTCTTCTTCTCGCCGCCGCTGTAAGTGTAGAGCGGCTGGAAGGTTTCTCCCTCGTCTCCAGACTCCTCAGACCCGTCCGACTCGAACGTGTTCTCAGGGATGTCATAGAGTCGGATCATGGGCTTGTTGGGATCCTTCATGATCAAATACTTGCCGTCCTTCTGCTTCATCAGCAGGTCGATGATGCACCTGAGAATGCCCCACGCATTGTCCATGCTCAGGTTGATCTGCGTGGCGAATTCGTTGGGCCGGAACTGCTGAGTGCCCAGGATCACGTGGCGTGATGAGTCCTTCACATGAGCGCGGGAAACGTAGCCAAACTTGATCTGATCGGAGCCCGCCAGGAGCGCCTGAACGGTCCACTTGGCCAGCTTGCACGCGTTGTTGCGCAGCTCATTGGCCAGCACGCCGCCGCGCTGGGTGTCCAGCTTCTGGCGCCACTCCACGCCATTCGCCAACTTCGAGTCCCACTCGTTGAGTGCCTTCACGGTGAGGAACTGATGGTCCCCACTCGGCATGTTCACCACGGCGTCGTGCTCGCAGCGAGCCACCAACACCACGCCGTTGTGCAGATCCCACTTCCTGTACCGGTACGCCACGCTGGCCACCTCGCCCTCCTCCTCGTCGCCAATAAAGGGATTGGGCTCCGAGAACTTGAACTTGTTCTCCGCCTGGCCGCTCTTCAGTACCTGCAACACATCAAAGCACAGAGAGATCAAATCTCTGGTCTCTCTGGGATTGAAGCCGACTCACCTGCTGACTGAAGTTGTGGTTGATGAACGTGGCCTCAATAGCGAGATTGCGAGGCGAATTGAGAGAGTTGCCGTCGTCCTGCGGCGGCTCCACGCTCGTCTCATTCACCGTGAGCAGATCGAACTCCGTGTTGTCACGCTTGTCCATGAACAGCTTGTCCTGGATCTTGTCGATCACGATGTCCCAAGAGTAGTTGGAGCGCGTGCAGCACATAATCGTGGCCAGAATGGAGTCCGTGGCGTACACATTTCCCACAGACTTGCTGAGCGACCGAATGAGGGGGTCATCCGTGGTGGTCACAGTGTGGAAGATGCGATCCACACGCTGCAGCGGCTTCTCGCTCTTCACGTTGATTCGATCATAGGATTTGTCATAGTACTCCAGCGTTCCGCAGCACGTGATGTCCTCGCCCTCCTTCACGCCCGGTAGAGACAACTTGGCCAGCCGAGGGAAGTCCATCTCTTCGATGGTCATCCAGTCTGGACGCACAGTCACAGAGGCGTCGCGGATCTTGGGCGGTGGTCCACGCATGCCCCACTTCCTACCAGTCGTTCCGCGGCGCTGATCCCGCATCTTGACGCTCTTCCCGAGCGACTGCAGGCCACCCTGATGGCCTCCGCCGCGTCCGCCGCGACCCCTCATGTGTCTCATGTTGCCACGGAAGCGGCCACGCTGGTACGGCAACTTCTGCACGCGCGCCGTGTCCACCAGATGGAACGTAGTCTCATCCTCGTCATGGTAGTACGCGTACTGACTGCCCGTCCCGAATTGACTTGCGTACTTATCTGGAAGGAAAAACACGGAAATTACAGTGTGAAAATGTCCCGGACAGCTTGTTTGAGGTTATGTCTGAGTCATCCCCAAAAGCACCCCTAAAATCCACTTACTTGGGAACTTCTTGTCCACAGTCGCCGTCCCGGTCCAGTCACTGATCTTCCCCAAGCGGTCGCTCTTGCTGAAGGGCTGATAGGGCATATCTCTGAAGTCGATTTTCTCACATGGGCCCCAGCCTTCTTCGTTATACTGCAGTTGCGGCTTCACGAAGTCCGCGTACGCCGCCGCCGAGTTCTCAGATTCACTCATTGTGGTAAAGTAAGAGACTTGCTGCACACTTTCGTACCACGTTCACTGATTTCCGCACAGTATTTCACTTGTTTCGGCCAAAAGAAAAATCCGCAGCTTTCCTCTCACCTTGTGACGTGACAAGTGTTATACGACTGTGCTAATTTCAGTTTGAGGAACCATACAACGACATTTGAGGGAAACTCTCCAACGTGAGAGTGCGCCGGAAAGTATGCAAAACTGATTCCCGCCCGAAATTCAAAAGGTGCTTTTGACTGAAAAATATATTAATGGATCCTTTGAGTGGATATGCAGCATTCAATCAAAGTCTAAGGGTGAAATTACATTGCTAATTTGTATGAAGTCTACAACTGCAATTCACTAATCTCTACAGACAAATGTTAATGAAGATATTCGTGAAAAGCACACTATAATGAACTACATGCGGAAATATGTCTAACATCTCGCGACAGAATCAATGCGGGACGACAGGAAGCTCACCGGTTTCTCACATATGCACATTAGATAGAGTGAGAGAGTTCTGGCTGGGAAATTCTCCAGGTGCATGAAATTTTGGGACAGCCGGCAATTTATTGTGAAAGTTTGGAGGGTGGCAGGGCGAGATGAGCAAAGTTCGAGGGAAGTGGCTTTCACGCAGTCACAAAGGCAAGAAGGACGCTCGGTTGTCTCGGATGGCGGAAGTTTTCCGCTCTCTCCATATCCTATGACATGCATTAGTGTCCCGCCTGTTTGTCGTGTCTGGTAGAAGACTTCTCTCGGAATCAATGGCACCGGAAACAAGACACAGTGCTGGACAACATCCACAATCTCTGGTGTGTGTCCGTCTAATGGAAATCTCAAATCGCATCCAAGGAAGAAAACAGGTCACATTCGTTGACAATTATCACACAGCTTAGTTCGTTAGTTTAGTTCAATGGACAATTTACTGTTGAATGTGAAATTAATATGACAATGCAAATACACTAAGCAGACTTTGCATAAAATATTTATGCTCGAAATAAAACCTTCACTAAATATTGACATTGCTATGGGCAATTAAATATTTGACATGCTCAGCAAAACTCATTTGATTCACGCGCGTTATGGCAGTTTTGATTTTTAGATAATGTTAAAATACTTCATGCAATGACAATTGAAATTGAAATGGAAATTGATTTGAATAATTAACTTTTTGCCCATAACATTAGCAAAAGTCCGACAATTGCTCAATTTGAAGCATAAATAAATCAGAGAAATTTGCATTAAAAACTTTAATATCTGCACAGAAATTTAATTTCTATCTGTAATGTTGGGAAATTCGTACAGAAAAAATGATAATTTTCCCTGTTTCGATTCCACTGCTGTGGAGTGTAGTGATCTTTAAGCCGATCGCAAGCAACTTGTTATCTTCTCAGTGTGAGTCTTTTATTAGATCACTTCTCTCGTTCGCACCAATTTCTCCACTCTGGTGGGGTCTCTCTATCTTCGGCATGTTCACTAAATTGAACAAACACAGGCCTGTGAGACGCGAGAATTTTTATCAAGAGCATCGCGGGGGGATCACTGGTGCCACTCATGATAACTCACTAATGCTAGAGTTTTTCTCCACTCCTCCAGTGTGTGTCTGGCTGAGGGAAGGTGAAGTTCACGATTTCGCAATTCTCTCTTGGCTCACGGTCACTTTCTTAATTGTGCAGCAATTCGCTTCCTTGTGGTGTGGTCAGTTTTGCGCATAAATATCTGTCACTTGCAGAGAATGCAATTCTAGGCGTTTCCCGCTCTTGTTTCTCTTGCAGACACTGCGATTTTCCGGATCCGCAACAATGTATTCAACGCCCAAGAAGCAGACGGGAGACGACTATCATGTGGTTGATCTGAGATCGGACACTTTCACGACACCCACGCCGGAGATGCTGCGCGCCATGGTGGTGGCAAAGGTGGGAGACGACGTGTATGGCGAGGATCCGACGCTCATCGAGCTGGAACAGCGCACCGCCCGGGAGCTGGGCAAGGAGGCGGCCCTGTTCACAATCAGCGGCACGATGGGGAATCTTCTGGCCATCATGGCGCACTGCAGCGGGCGCGGCGAGGAGGTGATTTGCGGCAATATGTCGCACGCATTCCTCTATGAGCAGGGAAGCGCGGCTCACCTGGCCGGGGTTCAGCTGGCCACGCTGCCCAATTTGCCGGATGGGACTTTCAGCCTTGACCTCCTTCGCAAGAGTATTCGCAGCGTGGACGATCACGAGCCCACCACGCGCCTCGTGATAATTGAGAATACGCACAATCTCTGTGGAGGCCGAGTGATTCCTCTTGAGTGGATCCGGCAGGTGAGGTCTATTTGCACGGAGAACAACATCCTGATGCACATGGACGGAGCGAGAATCTACAATGCCGCGGCGTATCTGAAGATTCCCGTCTCCGAAATCGCCAAGGACTTCGATTCGGTGACTTTTTGCCTAAGCAAGGGACTCTCCTGTCCAGTGGGAGCACTTTTGGTGGGCAAGAAGGACTTCATTACCCGCGCCAGGCGTCTCAGGAAGGCTCTAGGTGGTGGCCTCCGCCAGGGAGGCATTCTGGCGGCAGCCGGAATCGTTTCCCTGGATAGTGTTGTGCCCATTCTCGACGGAGATCATCGCAGAACGAGAAGAATTGCCGAAGGTGAGTTTGCTTCCTTTCACAAGATACTCTCATCCGCAAGTAAGAATACAAGTGTCTATAACTGGGGCAATTTGCAATTGTGAATTTTGAACGCCGGAAGTTGGTGGAGAGGAGCTTAAAAGCTTCAGTGTGATAGAATTATATTACAAAATTTCCGTTCCATAAAAATACCCCGGAAATTTCTAATAATTTCACTTTCTTCCTGGGCTGCAATAAGAGCACGTCAGAGCGAAGAGTGGAGTTTTTTGCCAACTCTCATAAAAATTCAATGGGAAAAGTGAGAGGAAATTCAGTGAGAATGTGAAAAAGCATCCTGCCAACGAAAGAATGCAAAGGGGAAGCCACAAAGTCTCAAAACCATCTAGCAATTGGTTGAAATATGGGTTAACATGGGATAGAGAGAAAGGAAGCGTGGAAGTCATCGGGAAGATGTAGCTTTTAAAGAGATTTTGTCCTCAATTCAAAAGTTTACAGAAACTATTACGCTTATATGGAAAAAGTTGGATGGATTTCACTCTTCCAGCGCTAACTGAACTTCTCGCTATGTTGTTTCAATCCATTAGTCAATCATACACTTTTCCCTTCTTCACAGCAATCGATGCTCTGCAGAGTCCCAACTTCAAAGTGGACGTTAAGAATGTGCAGACCAACATTTTAATGTTGCAATTGGTTGATGTGAATATAAAGGCGCCGGATTTAGTGAAGCGCCTCCAGGAAGTGACAGAAGAGGAAATTGCTGCAAATGTGACGGACAAGAGCGGAAAGGGAATTGTCGTGAAGATCAGTTCTCGGGACTGGGGATACTGTCGTCTCGTCGTTTACATTCAAATCACAGACGAAGACGTTGAGCTGGCCATCAAGAAGTTCAGCTTCGTCATTCGGGAATTCGAAAAGAATAATAGAGCGCAATAATGGAGCATCTTCCACGTGGCGAAATCCAGCTATGCGAACATATCAATGGTCATTGTCTTATTTGATTAACTTTGTGAAGAGCCCCAATTTTTTTCCAGAAATTATCTATGCCTCATTTTAACCCTGTAATCTTATCAAGGGACGCTTCAGTGCGAAAACTTGTAAACAACGAGATGAAGTAATGAATATTGTTGCTGAAATACTGAATTGCTGTATTAATAAAGAGAGCGCACTACTATAATTAAAGAGTCTTGCTAAAATAAAGCACACAGTGCTAGTCTTTTTTCTATTCTGCTGGTCAAATGTATGGATTTTAAGAGGTTTTTTGGGTAGAATATTTTTTGTAAAGCTTCTGATGAAAATATACATATGCGAAAACTTTTGAGAATGTATTTTACTAAGCTAACATACACACAAACTGCAAAATTCTCAGTGATATTGAAATACTGGGTTAACTAAACAAAGTGATTCAGCAAAACCAAGCAAATGCATTCATTTTTTCTTAATTGCTTAGTGTGAACTAAACAGTAGCAAAACGACGGAGATTATAAAACAATTTTATATATCACAACATATAAACAATAAATAAAAAATAGCACTCAAGGAATGCTCGTAATACCATGAATGAAAAATCATTTTGTGATAACATTAGATTCAGCAGTAAAACGGCAGTATTTTCAGGTAGACTAGCAAATATGCTTTTATGTCGTATTAACCGAAAAAAATTAATTGTACGCATATCTTTTAACAACAATTTTAAAGGTAAATGCGTATTGAATAATTGGATTTCCCTTTTGCCCAGAAACTTTTTACAAATTGAGGGATAAAAAATTTCATTTCAATGTACTTCCGCCATTTTATTCAACACATTTTCACCACACCCTGTATTCTTTAGGTCGAGCGAGTTTACAAAACTTGAATGTTTATGCAAGCCTCAAAGTATCCTTAATTGCACAAAGTTCCATCCTTTCCGGTCCTCTCTATCGGCGTCCTGTGTGAAGGAAGTCACATCATCAGTGCCAGTCACACATTTTCTCTCTCTCTCTGCTGAAAACACAATAAAATTCAGCGCAGGCACAACTCAATGCGAGAAAATTGAGGGATAAACTAACATTTTCACAATTTAATTTGCGAGTGTTTTGCTCGTTGGAAAATTCCCTTTGACATGGGTTTACATGGGAACATTTTTGGCTGTGCTGCGCTGGAGGGCTGTGAAAATATTTGATTGACTCCGCAGACAATTTTGCACTTCACACACGGAGGGTGTGAATTATTCATTTCTTGCCAGTTGACTTCTAAACACCATCGCCAAGTAGTTCCTTGTTACCACTGTTGGCGTATTTAATTTGAATAAAATAGCATAAATTGACATAAATTGTTTTGATTTATTTTATATCTCAGTTTCTTCTCTCAGCGCTCAGTTTTATTTTATACATATTACAACACATTGTTCTCTATCTATCAACATTTAAATTACTTTGCTTCAGTAATGCAATATTCACAATATTTCTCTTTTCGCTACAACAGTAATTAGTTTGTAAACGTAAAGTGTACTTCACAGTCGCAACACCGATACAAATGGAATATCAAAGGCTGATAATCAATACTTTAGCATAATTCTGTATATTTCATTCATCGGCATCCCATTATTCCGGATAATCAATTAATTAGTGATGCTGCAGGACAGAAAGTCAATACCTTATCACTTACTCATGCCCGGACAAAGAATGACATATTATATATGAGCTCTCGAGCTCAGCATAAATGCCATTCTTGCATATTTTATCAAATTTAATGGTAAAGTACGATTTTCTCGCAAAAATTCTCTTGATCTCAGATGAACCATTGAAGATGTCACAAAATTTATAAAATAAAATATTGGTTGTCAATTATCCAAATTCCATTTCCACAGTGAAGGATGCTATTATTCGTATTCTATTCCTAATAAATATATTTGCTTTACTTATATTTTCTTGTTTATTTATCTGGTATTATCTCTTCACAGTAACTTGCGTTTTCTTTTCCGTCTTCTCAGTTACACTTCACATTGAATATAATTTAATACAGTAGAAAATATAAGTATATATCAACAACTACAGTAAAAAATTTAACTTTGCATTGCAAATTGGTAACAAAGAGAACGTGTTCTTGAAGAGAAAAGATCACAAATATGTAGCAAAAATTACAATTTTTTTTTTCATGGAGTCTTTCAATAAAGTTGTCCAACGGAGGTACTAACAATTCTTTTGATTTTGTCGCACAGAGTAATTCTATCTGCCTAAATGTTCATTGATCGTGTTTTCGCTGAAACGTCATTTATCAAAACTCCGGCCACTCCAATAAGCGCACATAAGCTTAGTAAATTCCTCAAATATATAGAACAATGCATTCAGCACTTGTCCTACTATTCTCCCATCATGAAAAAATTAAACAATTCATTTGGCACTAAATGGTTTCATAGACACCGAGAATAAAATTGACAATTTCGCACGATTCGTCTATTTTACAACAACATAAATTGTATATCAAACAATTAAAATTCATCGCACTTTTCTGGATCATCTCTTAAAGCTATTCAACACTCTTCCAGTTTCCCATCCATCTTCAAAAGTAACAATAAACATTTCTTTTAAATTTCTACTCTCTCAGAGCATGTAAAAATAACTCTCTCGATTTACACATTACACAACAATTCATAATATTTTCCCAATCGAACTCATCCCGTCTGTTTTTTTTGTAATTTATGAACTTTGCTTGGGAAATATTGACGTCAAGTGAGGGAATTCTCTATCTTAGCGCAGTTCCTAAGCTAGTGGAACCTTGGCAATTCGGTGCTATGACAAGTCATTCGATACTATCACCTCGTCCTGATTGTTCTTCTTCAGGCAGTCTCGAATGCCCTGCAAAATGATGCCCACCCGACGATCCAGAGCCTCGAGGTGGGGCTCCCACAGGACCGGGGCCACGGGGTCCTTAGCCATGGACTCGCGCATGGCCTCTGACAGGTGCTTGCCGTTGTGGAATCTGTAAGAATTTAATTAAACACATTGGTCATCAATTTTACAGCGAAAAGCCCACATTAACCGTCCCCTTATCATATTACAGTGCACAATTTCGCATTAAAATCACACTTCAGAGTGAAATTCGACCAGGTCGAGTGTGGGCATGATGGTATATCAAATTGGTTCGTGTCACGTGACAAATGCAGCTTTTATTTATACATTTTAATTGCTATTAATATTTTTAATAGTTTCATCAGTGTCGCATTTGCAATTTATTTCCATGTCACAGACAAATTTCGCTGGGGCTTTTTGGTCAGTGAGCGGATTACATTACAGACCACAGTCCATTGGTGGGTAATTTAATGATTATTCGCCACTCTATATCTCTAAACAATAGAAAGGGTGATCACGTGTACCCAAAAACCTTTTATTGCCATTTTACACGCACTTCACTTCAGATATTGCATTCATTTTGCATTACATCGATGTCAGGGTTTCTGTATGGTCGATTAAAGGTCCGGGTTGGAGAGCTTGAGCCAGAAAATGTTGGAATTTCCATCGTCAACCTCGCATACGTTCAATTACACCTACATATATGAGTACCGGCATCTGATTATCAACTTTTGCTAATGAAAATGGGTGCAAATAATATTAGTGATAATGACGCGTTTATAGGAGTGTCATTATCTATGAGCATGGAAGCTTTCAACTATTAATCTAATTCACGAATAAGTGAGCAAATTTAGGGACTTTTGATCCAAAATATCACATCATATTCCCCCAATTATCACACAAAATATCACTTGAAAAAAGCAAAGTGATGTACACTGTCAGGCTCATCAATAAGAGCAAATATAAATTGCAACTGAATCCCCATTTTTTTGACACAAATATCGCATAAATATCTTTGCATTGAAAATTATATTGGTAATTCTTTGAATTGTCATTGACAGTTGTTATAGAGAAGGTGAAGTTTATAAATAACATTTAAAGTGTTTTTCTGGATTGTCATAATTCAACATTTCAGTCTTTTTTCAAAAATTTACGTCATTTTTCTAAAATAATTTCATAAAGTCATTGTGCACTGCATTTCATTGATTAGTATGAAATAATCATTTATGTGCATTTAGCGATTTTAGCCCTCATTCTGAAATAGACAAAACAATGTTGGAAAATAGGACTAATTCCTATAATTGCACGAAAAATTTGGCAAATATTCCTCATACATTTAGCCATATTTTTTTGATATATTCATAACAATAATATTAATATACATATTCAATCAGAATTGAATTTTCACATAATTTCAGTTCACTAAAGCAAGTGTGTCTACGGATATGAGTGGATTTGTGTTAGAGTTATGGCTTGATAACTGCTGCAAACCCATCACCTCTGCATACAGTGGCAATTTATGTAATTGATAAAATGGAGATTCTTAAGGCACTTTTCCCAGTGTCACGGGTCAGAGATGAGGAAAAGCTCATTGGATAGTGCTGGCGCTATACAATGTTGACTTGGTGAATTGGAAAACCATTAGTCCACCCACTTTTCCACCTCAATCATCGGCAACTGCGTGCCAAGCATGATCATTGACATACTCCAAGTCACACTCCATCATCCTCTCAGGCAATTGTTTGCATTTTCCTCCCTGACTGACAATTTCCCATCGATTTTCCACACCCACACCCCTCACATCTGTGATGGCTGTTACAGCAAACAGGATGATCTGGGCTCTGAGAAAAAATAACAGAGTCTCCGTGGATGAGAAGAAAAGTATCTGGCTTGTGGGGAAAATTGAGACATTTCACCCATTTTTCCACATGACCATTTTTCAATCGTCTCTCTTCCCCTAATTCAATTTATCTGCACTGGGTGGGAGAGGGCGTAATTCGACTTGACGAGCGGGGCTCGGCCACCCTCTGTGTGTGCTTTTCACTTCCAGACAATTGTTCCAGGCCGAAGTACTTCACTCTGGCGTGAAATGAGGTAGAAATATTTAACCACTCACCTGAGCAGCGTTTCAAGCGTAGAGGCTCTAATTAGGCAGCACTGGAGCACCGGAGCCAGGATCGTCAGTTCATCGTGGAAGGGCTTTCCGAAGCCACGTCCGTGGTCCAGGTGGAGTGGGAATGTGTCATTGCCAAAAATCCTGTTTAGAGAGGAAGATACAGAGACGAACGTTATCACTCAACTTGACTCCCTTTCCTGCCTTTCTGCACGTGAATCAAAAAGAGGAGCGCACAAAATAAAATACCAGGGAACATTTTTCTCAACACACTAAACGGATCTCTATTGAAATCACATTTTCACTCCAGAGTGTGTCACTCGCAGATGGTAATATTGATCAAAAGGATTTCTTGTCTGCGAGTCAAGTGAGATATTTCCACTTAAGTAAGTGCCTGATTTTGATTTATTTCCACTGAATCCGCTTACGAGTGATTTAATCTATATATCCATTGGAAAGCATAAAATCTCCGCTTGATAAATTCCGCAATGCCAGAGGGTTACATGGCGACTGTCTTTTATTTTACCGTTGAAGTACATTACGAATTAGATTTAGTGTCAGTTTAATTAACTCTCAATCAATTACACACGTTAAATACATATTGAAAATGTCTGTGACAAGGGAGAGGGAATGAGCAAAACATTCCACTTTCAAGTGGCTCTCCTTTGAAATTAACACGGGAGTATCAATTAAAAGGGCCGTCAATCATCAGCCACTTCCTGGCCATTCAAAGTGGAGCTTTTCGTAGAAAATTACACTTTGTCAAAAGCTTTTGAGTGTAGTATCACTCTCAGCTTAAATAAATAATTACATTTCCCCGTGTTTTCCCAACCTTCTGTGCAATTTGCAGATTTTTCCTCTACGAATAAAATTGTATGTTAAATATTTATAAAGACCGGCTAATTAATTTTCATTGTTTGAGTAGTATTTTAACGTACTAAACAAACTTTTCTAATATTTATTTATATATGAAATTTTACAGAAACACAAATTGTTGGTTTCCTCTCCATTATTGTTGTTGTTGAATTTCATAGTCAGTGAAAAGTATAATATTTTGTTGATATTGGGAATTTCATACAAAAATCTCACCTAGTTTTGGCCGAAAACATTGTGGTGTAATTAAACTTTGCAAAATTAATATTTCCTTATGTGTTTATCTATGAAAAGGTTCAAATTGTAGTTTTAGTTTGGAATTTTCGGCTTTTCCCATGAAATTTTACAAATATTAACAATCAAAATTGTGTAAGCTTGATGCCTTAAACCAATTCTCCAAGACCACGGTCCACTTTAATGACATTTGATGCACAATGAAAATTGTATCTGTTGCACCTCAGACGAACTTCAAGCTCAAGTAATCTATTTTATGGAAGATTCTTCGCGTTATACTACACTTTAATGTCCCTCGAGAGTGAAATGGAGCAATCACGAGTATGAATGGGAAGAAAAACTCATTAAAGCCTCGTTAAATTGAGAGTCCAAAGTTAAGGTGTGTACATAAGAGTGAGAGAGAACAAATTGGAAGAAAAACGAAAAGACAGAAAACGACAAAAGTTGTGTTTTGCAGAGAAAAAGTCGTAAAAACTGAGTGTATTTTTTCAATGAAAACAAGCTCCAGTGCAACACACTCATAAACACTTTCGACCTAGACATACAATATGTTTTGCTAAATTCTATTCTGCACACGATACAAAAAAAGAACAATTGACGAAAATATGCCGACAATGTGGTCATTACAGGTGAAACACGTGCCACAGCAGATGAATTGAGCGCGAAAATCCTTCAAAAAATAATGGTGTTTTTGTGCTTCAAATCATCTGTGGAGCTTGAGCGCGTCAGAAACTTCAATTAACCATTTTTCAATCGCACGGTATAGTGCAATAAAAGTTCTAATAAAAGCAAAATCACTCTCATCCTTGGTGAACCAAAAAATACGGTTTGAAAGCTTGAGTTGTGCCCTGCAGTGGTTTTCCTATCCCATCCTCTCGCCCATGGTGACACTTTGATAGACTTTATGGGATGCCGAGGAGGTCTGGAAAACATCTGCAGCCCCCCTTCCAGATTGTTTTCCACGGAGAAATTTATGTTTGTGCCTAAAATTGCTCAGCATTGAGTGTCGGGCGGGCAAGGAGATATTTTACATACAGCATACACAAATATATTGAGTCAGATTTTGAGAATCTTCTCACACCCTCAAAAAGCTTCACTGCAAAAAGCCCCCTCTGAAGAGCTTTCCTAGCTGTACTTTTGTTGGGGTTCGGGAGAAAATATTTTCAGTGGCAATATTTTGTCCACAGGATTCCTTTCGGCCGCAAACTATGAAGCAGTGTGGTTTTGAAAATTTAGGAGGTGAAGAATTTTATAGTTTTTAAGAGCTTAGCAAAGGTGAAAAAGCAATTTACAGACAATCTGCATGACATGAGAATGAAAGGCTTTGCATATTTGATTTGGGAATTTTGCAAAAAAACAATACATAATTCGGCTTTTGCGCTATTTTTCCTAATTTCACTACAAATTTTTCTGATAAAATGCAAAGCTTTCACTTCCTAAAGTCCCTCAGAGACTCTCTGTGCCACTCTATCCATGAAAATTCCAGAGGATATATTCAGCACAACTGAGCTTATACATGCATGTATATTAAATGTGGTACTGAATATGTCTCTTGGTGTGTCTATAACACCTCACCAGAGAGTCCCAAAACACTCGGAGAGTCTGTCTGAGGGAATGGCGCTAAAAGAAATAAACAAAGACGAGAGGGACGGAGGAAAAATTCACCTGAAATCCCATATTCAACCCACGGCATTGAGGATTCTCTCTCTCGCCAAAAACAATGCGGCCATTGTGACCACATCGTTTGAAAAGCAGACAAGTGTTGAATTTTGAATTAAATAGACGGAGAAAGTCCATCCCAAATGTGTGCGAATGAGCGCCAGTGATGGGGTGAAAAATAATTTTGGGGTTGAAATTTTGTGGCTTTTTCAACTCACTTGAAGGTTTCGTAGTGATGGCGATCCATGTTCCCCATGAGAAAGTCAAACACAGACATGTCCATCAGGTCGAGGAGTCGTCTGCCCTGGTCATATGGTGGAATATCTCTCACCTGGTGAATAAACAATACATCGTTGAGAAATTGTCCTGCCGAAGCTTAACAAATATTCCACTCACCATTGAACAATAGTCAGCATCTGTCTCCCACTGAGCTTTCCTTCTCTTATGGTAGGATCGTCGCCACGGATGTCGCCAGACCTGAAGTGAGAGCACACAGAGTAAAGTTGCAAATTATTAAATACTTTTCTGTAATTTTTCTTCAAACACAAAACTCCAGACATTTGCATAAATTTGACTGAGAGAGCAAAGTTGAGAGATGAAATTAGAAACTTCGGGCTGAGACTAATTAATTTGCAAAGAAACACATCACAAAAAAGTCCTTCGGGATTTTGCGACCCCCTTCCTGGCAAATAACTTGACATTTTTCCATATTAAATTCGAAACTAACAGAGGACATGCCACTGGAGAATGTCAAAGACAAACAAAGCATCACAAGTTCACGCGCCTCGCGTTGAGTTTTATGGAGATTTTTTTCCATGATGCACTCTTTTATCTTGGGCCATAAAAGCGAAATAATTCGTAGGAAATTATCTGTGAGAGCACTTTGTGGAGTGGAAGATAGTGGTAAAATCTTATCTTGCATTGTTGCTATCAAAAAACCTGATCTCAACACCGTGAGACGACAAAGGTGATCACCTTGAAATCTCTTAAGACTCTTGAGGAAATCGACAAGCTCAATTAATTAAAATGATCTTTTGTGGGTTTTTACACTAAAAACACTGTAATTTTTATCGAAAAAGAGAGACATTCTGGTTTTCCTGGTTTGTCCCCGAAGAAGAACAAAGAGGAATATTTCCAGCAACATCAAAACTCATTTTTTGTACGTGCATCGCGACTCTTTTGCATCTTGTTTTGTGCTGATATTGGATTAATTGAAGGCAAAATTCTTCATATAAACTACTGTGATACTTGGCAACAGAAGAGGAATGAGAATTGATGTGCAGAAATTTCTACAATGAATTTCCTCCGACTATTTTTTTTATCCTCTCTCGGATTTAAAGAGAGAGAGAGAGACCTTTTCTCCCATGAGTCCGTGAAAAAATATAGAATTTGGAGGCGGAATAAAAAAGAGCGAATGGAGAAACATGGGTGGCAAAGGATACAAAATAATTAATCTTCATGATATAAATGTAAACGACACAAGTAATACTTTCCAGCAAACACACACTCACTGGATCGCAAACATCGGCGGCCGGGGTGTGATTTACATTCACAAACTAAACGACTATGGAGGGGCTGAAAAAAATTGAGACGCCTGGTGCCACAGGGGAACGGCTCCGCTTGAGATCTAGGGTGGGGTTGCAGGATGAAATCCTACCCACACAAGCCACCAACAGGATTAAGTGGAAAGGATAAATGGAACTACCACAAATTCAAATCACTTTCCGCAGTACCAGTGTAGTGGCAATGCGACAAAAAATTTGCATTTTCTTTCCTCGTCGCTGATACACACACAAAGCGTAAGTTTCACGAAATTTCCCGTCAAGCCCTGAAATATTCCTACATCTTGCATGCATAAAAGATGATTATCAATCAGTAGAGTACGGCATTACTCGGCTCTTGAGGAATCACAGAAATGGATTTAATTTTAACGAAACATGAGATGTTTTTCCCAACTTGTCAGAACTTTATTAAAGAACGTATCGTTACCTACAGGAAAGAATCAACATTTCATGAAACATTTCTGGTGAATAAAAGAAAAGTCTAATGGTAAATTGGAGAGCAACACAGGCAAAAGTACCTGTGTAAAGCCATGTGTAACATGGATATGGCAGAGAATGGTGGAAAGCGCAGTCTGCTTAAAAAATAACCCGCCCAGGGAGGATTTTGCAATAATCAAGTATAAATCACCGAGAGCGGGCAAATGGTGAATTATGAAAATTCTCCGTTTGCTTTCTTTTTATTGTATCTCCTGGGATAAATTCCAAGATTCCAACGCAATGCCACGCGGGGTATTGCCCTTTTCGGTTTCTACGCGAAATCACTCTGTTGCCCGACATTTGAGGAAATCATTAGCGTGTGGGATGAAAAATGTGTCAATATATCTAACAGGACAATCGAAGTGGGGGTGGTGAGATTATTGACTCAGCATTTCACCCACAAATTAGTCATGTAAACAAAGACACGTCACCCGCTATGCAACATTGTTACGTTATATGCTAAGCTGAGAGTAAAGATTGGAAATTATATGTGTGAAACATTCTCAGATTCATTGTTGTGCGAGATCGACTTCTCACCATGAGTGCTCATGAGGTAAACCACTTAATATCTACTCCCATTTCTTCACAATCATCCCACCCACTCGCGTCCCACCTTATACATATATAGTACATTTATTTATGAATGGAATGAGATGCAAATGAGATACGAATCTTCCTCGTTCCGCTAGGAAAATTGCTCCATTTATTGTGGAGTGTGTCTCATATGAAATTGATGAGACTCACATTAAAGTCGCAATTACCGGCGCTCACAATTCTTTCGCCTTTGATTAATAATTTTGCGGTGAGAGATTCCCTCAATAACTCCTGCGCCAGAGACGTGCCGAGGCGCAACAATGGCGTTAATCTCCGCTGGAAGGGTATAAGTACTCACCTTGCGACCGGCTTGCTCCCACCCGGGCAAGAAGGCGGCAAAGGAGCCCTCGAGGGTGTCAGGACTGCCACAAATTGCATGGGAGGTGTCGCAGTAGTAGGAGCACTTGCCGTGGAAGCACAGGTTATTCGATGGTGACACAAAGAAGGTCTTCAGCAATTCATCATCGCAGACTTGATAAATTTCTGTTGTAATATTTAATGTTCGTCCCACGACCGGCATTGCTCGCCTAAAGCCCATGAGTCTGCAAGAACAAGAGTTGAAAAGTGTTGTATTTTGTGCATAAACAAATCAACAAATTTGTTGCATTTCATGCTTCCAATGTCAGGGGGTTTGTAGATTAACAATTTTGTGTTGGGAATTTCAATGGCCCTTATGTGCACGTCAACTCCTTTGTCAATATGCCTGCAGTACAATTCTGCGTTCCCATGAATGTCAAGTAAAAGACGAATTGCTTGTTTCTTTATTGCTTTTCACTGAGGATAATGGTCATTCATGTATAAATCATTGACAATTATGACGCCTTTCGCTTTCATAACTGCCTTCTTTCTCTATTGCATTTTGCGATTCACCGAAAACGTCAAGGTTTCTCACATTTGTTTACATTGTCTTAGAACATATGAAGATTGCCATTCGACAAACACGGCTCTTGACTTCGGCACAAGTACTGGCAAAACAGGTAGCGCGAGGGCAAACAGCGTGAGTCACGAGACAGATGCCCCCTGTTTTGGGGTCAGATGGGTGTGAGATTGCATCGGTGAAAATTTCCTTGTTTAACCCTCACCCATTGCTCATTCCCACCGCACAGAGCCACAGACAGGGGGTTTCCAGGAGTGTGCTAGGGACGGAATAACAGTTGAGCAATGAGAATTACAATGGCATAAAACCAACATTCCCATTCATTCCCACCAGGCACTCACCGTCTTGCGCTTTCAAGTTCTCACCCACCCTTAGAGCTTCCATATGTTCTGCATTCATCTTAATTCATATTGTGTGCTTTATGGGATACATCTAGTATTACATATTTCGCCCCAACCACTCTTGGCACCCGCCAAGAGCACACCCCATGAAGTCACATCGACGGCATTCAGATGAAGGAGAATGGGCGGCATGGGAAGGATGAGTAGGTTGAGAATGCAGTACAATTACATATATCGGCTCAAAGGCATGCTGTGTGATGCTTTTTCGGTATGTGCGTGAGACATAAACTTAGCAGGAAGGAAACTTCAAAGGTACTTCTTTGTGCTTTCCAAAGGAAACTAACTAATGAGCTCATCATTATTATCTTTAGTCTCAACATAGACACTGAACGTTGAGCAATCATATTTCAATGAGATGCTGCTCCTTTGACGCAAAATCAAACAGAGAAGTAGAAGTACCATCTTTCAGTAGTCAATGCTTAAGAAAACGATTTCACAAAAATCTCTTGCGTCTGTCGTGCTTAAAATGATTCTTTTCCGCTCACTAACCGAAGCTTTTCACCTGTAATTCCGAGGTGAAATGCTGGATTTCTCACACATCTCAAATCAGGTAAAGAAAATGTTCAATCATTTCAGAATTACATATTTTGTTGCTTGATTTCCTTGACTACTTTCATTGAGCTAACGTAAGAATCTTAGCTTACATTAACTTTCGTATACTTCACATCAGACGGATTAAGATGAAACTCAGTGTAATATTCCATCAGAAAGAGAAATTTCAGAGTACGCAGAAGTTTTGAAAGCTACAAAATCCCTACAAGGTGTAATCCCTCCATGTTATATTGTAAGGAAAATGCAAGTGAGTTGTCTCAACATGTTTTACAATTGAACATACTTGCAATTTTCAAAATCTGCTTCTTTGCTTTGACGCAAAAGCTCTTATTCAAACCTGGATGTTCTTCTACCTAAAACTCATATTGTACCAAAATTGTGTATAGTCAAAATATCAATAAAACTTTTGCAAACAGTCGATAACTCTGCAATTATTGGTTCATGTATTCACGATATACACATTACAAGTGTCGATGCACTTGTATCTGAGAGTGCATAAATTTGTATTAATGTGGCCAGTGGTTAAATTCAAATAACAATGACACAATGTGTTGCATTCGACTGCTGGGGGCATTATTTAATCAGTGTGCCGGAGCGGGAAATGGAGATTGCAAAATAAATTTTGTGGCATAGGAGATGGGTGAAAAAAATAAACAATTTACCCATCGAGATGGAATGCTGCAATCTCTGCAATGTGTCTCTCGAAGTCAGTGAAGTAGAAATGATTCGGCAGAGTCTGTTGATCCCGTGGGAATCTGCAAGAGAAGAGGCGATCATTGGTGAGATTGTGGCATAATTTTTTTTTATGTAAGCTAAGCATGGAAAATATGGCTAATCGTGATGATCTAATATAGTTCAATGAGGTGGATGAAGTCTTCATTTTCTCTTATATTTTCCCATCGACGCCCCATTACGATGTCAAATAGTGATATATTGTGCAGAAACATTAACCATAATGGCACCAGTGTTTGAGATTGTCGTACCCAATTCGATATTATTATACCTATGGCATCGTAAATTAATTAATTTTGCCGGTTGTTTGCCGACGCAAATTCACTGTTTGCCATATAATTGGTGTTATAGTGGATGGAGGAGTATTCAAATAGTGCTTAGAAATTGGTTGACATTAACATCAAAAGACTATCAAATTCTTCCATTAGACCTCTATACGGCAATCCTCAGAGTGTTCCTGCACCAAAAAGAGGATTTCAGCAAGCCACAGAATGCCATTAGAACATCTCCAAAGAACACCTCGCCAGGAGAGCGCAGATGCACTGCACGGTTTGAAAAAGTCCATGGGGGAGTTTTAAAATTAATTTGAGGAAGTATATATCACTGTGGTGATGAGGCAGCAAGGCTGAGCAAAACATTTCGATGCTTTTTGCTTATATAGGAACACAAGTGACTGCAAACCAGAGCTCGGTGAGCAGTGAAATTCATTTTGTTGCGTCCTTTGACCACAAAGCCACTTTCCACTGAGATCTTCATCTCATTATTAATTAATAAATGTCTCCAGCTGTTGTCCTGTTCAAACAATGAGGCAATTTCCATTGGGGCACATCCGTTCCATGGTATTTATTTACCCCCGCCTTTCGTTCACACAAAAGGTGCACAACGAGATTTCTTTTCGCCCTTCCAGACGGCAGAATTTAATTATACCAAATGTGTAAATAATATCAAACTATAATTCAATTTCATCCCGGGCTCTATCCAACAGAGAGCTTTTTGTCCCAATGAGCTTTCCCGTGGGTGTGTCGTCCCTTTTATTTGAGAAATAGAGACGAGCACACACGATGAAATGAACATGTTCAACCATTAAAAGCTTTCCAAGTTCTTTGTTCTTCATCCCTTCAATTTCGTTCCTCATTCGTCCTGCGAATGCTTATTATTATGGAAAAGTTGAGTTCAACAGGCGCCCAAGTGGATGAGGGAAGGGGAATCTGAAGAAAATTGGAGCAATTGTAAGATGCGAAAGACTCGCAGATGCAGTAAAGATTTTTACTCAATTTTCACTGCGACTCTGCATGTTGCATAAATTGCATAAGTAATTCAAACATTTATTGCACTGCAGACAATTCAGCATTGTAGCAATTTTCTTGTGATTTCTTTTCTTGCTCTCCATCTGCAGAATTAGACTTTTCACGGGGATTTCGCGAGAGAGAATCAAATCTCTTGGCAGAATCGTGGGAGATGATTGCATCACATCTCTCTTGCTTTCTGGTCAGAAAGTGGGATGCGAAATTGAGTCACACTGCATAGCGTTGTAGAGAGTGAGATTCTCAAGCACGAAGTTCATGTGAATTAAAATTATTTTCCAGACGCAAATTGCCACAAATTTCGTGTCTATTCTATATAGAGATTTTCAGTGCAACATCATCAATCTCTGTGAAATGTTAGCTCCTGGAACATACACCAATCATCTACTCATGGCTGTCACATAGTGGAGCTGACGAGGAGCAAGAGTCGAAAGTTCCGATTGAGCTGGCAAATTATCTGTGTGATTTTCCAGTCAATGGATCTCTCATCACACCGCATTGCCTCATTTAGTGCCTCAGTCGGGCCCAATTGATGTGTTTGACCCCAATTTCACAGGACACAAGGAGAGAAGGCTCTTGACCATCGAGGGACAAATATTGATGACTAATCCCATCAAAATTTGCTCAGACTTCAGTAAGTTCATGACTTGGCAGCATTTGACGACTTTCAACCAATTTCTTAGGCTCATAAACTGCTGAATTTATGGTGTGTCCCTTTTTGATGGAGGAGGATTATAAATATATCATGAATATCCTTGTTAGGATTTTCTATCAATCAAATATTCCTTTGAACATTTGCGAAATATCCTTGAAAGTATCTTTTCGTATTTAAATCATCTCTGCTGCTGAATACCGTTGATTGTGGGTGATGCTAAGTGGAGGAGAATGATTTCGCATATGAAAGAGAAAATCCCCATGTGAATAGAGGGGAAAATGGAGGAAAATTGCTCCAAAATTGGCGACAAAGGTTGCAATTAAATTTGCAGATGGTGAATTTGGAGTGATTACTGGAAATTGCTGTGCCAGTACAAAGAGGTCAGAGTTGAGGAGAAAGAGGTCACGGAGAGATTTTGTTACTTTGCAAAGTGTGTAAGTATATTTCCAACAGGCACGTGAGCTTATTTTGATTGTCAGTCAATCTACGGAAGCCTCATTTCTCCCCAACATAGTTCCGGACTCGTTGGAGCTTGATTAAATCATGCATCAAGTCCAGATATATTTTCCTCGTGATTCGCCCTCACCTCGTGATAGTATTGTTGCATTGGGAAATTCATCATGATGAATAAAACAAAGCCGCTTACATGATCTCCGGGAGCAACCCTTCTCCAAGTTGACCCTATTGTTGGGGCTCCTTCGTGCACGGTGGTGGAGGTGAGTCATGTCAAAATTACTCATATGCTTTCCGACAACAGCACAACAAATGGGGAAATGCACGCAATTCTCACGACTGCTCCGCCAAGAATATGGAGCTGCCACTCATCGATCTTGAAGGTACTTTCGCACTGGTCACGGCTCAAGAGTGGGTCGAAAGGGCATGAAAAACATGGTGAAAGGAGAACAAGGAGCTCGAGAGGAAAACCTCACTTTGGGAGATTTATGCTTTTCACTTCAGCACCACTCAGCGACCGTTGCGGGCGAAAAGTCTGCAAGGGTGGGCGATTTTTAACATCCATTATTGCAATCAATCAAAAATGTATGAAGTGACTGAGTGTTGCGACTGTACTCTCGTCTACTTGTCGTCAGCCGCCCACAATGAAAAATAAACGATGGCCTTTTCTCTCCTACACTCCCAACCATTAAATTGGGCGTGTGACAACCTTTTAGCCACGCAGAGAGGGCTAATTTGGACGAAAACACCGACTCCGGTGAAGGATGAAAGAGAAATTTTAATTTATGAACAATTAATACAAATTACGCTTATCCATGATGGCAATTAGAGGCCTTCTTGTGAAGAAGGAAGAGCATTATGAAGATATAATTGGAAGAATATTATAAAAATTAGGTTTCATAAAAATCTCAAGGAACATTGGCCGATTGCTTGGCAACAACTGACTGGATGTTTGGAAAAAACACAGTTTGTGCTCTTTGCAAAATTTGTATCATTTCTCAGAAGAAAATTCTCATTAGGGAAATTGATGAAATGACAATCCTAAAGAGATTACCTTCAGAATTTGGAACAATTAAACGTCAAATGGCTTGACCTTTTGCAATAAAAAAAGAAACATACAAATCTTGGAATAAGAAAAATCATCCCTCGAGCAATATTAATATGTGTATGAGTTCCCAAGTCAGCTTAGAGGCTTCTTGGTGTCGTGATTTATTGTCAGGGTGACTTTGGAAGCGACTTTAAATCCCTGTCAGATGATATATTTGCACGGGCACTGTTACAATTTCCATGGTAATTTATTCATACGGCAAGAAATGGTAAATGCTTCACATTAGAAATGGAGCTTTCATATCTGAGCGATGACAATTTGCCATTATTTAATAACCATGGCTGGAAATAAAAAACTGCAATAAAACGATAATCTGTTTTCTCATCTCTTTCCCCCGCTCTTTTCCGCCCCGCTAATATCCTGGCCTTTTATTGTAAAGATATCATAGCTGAATTAATAATCTGTGTGTCGTGCTGCTGTTGAAATTATTCAATCATCCGCCCGTGTGTTAATTTAATTTGGCATTCATCCCCTTATCTTCCCATCCGCCTATCGTGGTCGGGAAGCAAAGGCTTGCGGAATTGTATGCAAATTTTCATGAGATTGTGTCTAATCCACTTGGTGGTGTTGTGTCTCATTGAATCACGACGGGGCGGAGATGGGCGAGCGAGAAAAAGGGTGGAATCCTAATTCGAGAGAATACCCTCAACCCACTGACAATCAATAACCATCAGATGCTGCGGAGGTTGGAGTGAAAACGATAAATAATAAGGAGTCAGATGAGGTTTAAACATGCTGCCACAAGCTCAAATGTGCCTTGAGACGGGATAAAGTCACAAGGCGACATCATCTTTCTACCCTTAATCTCCCCACTCATCCCTCCCTCTGCCTTGTTGCTCATCCCTTTACACAGTCATCTCTGACGCTTGCCTCGCACGGAAGTCAGTGAATGAGAGACACTCAATAGATGACTCTCAAATTGATATTGATTTCCCACTGTTTTCCACCGCGGCGCATCAAAAGCTGCCGTGGATCCGGTCGGATTTCACAGTTCAAAAGGGTCGATTTTCGCTGATGAACAGACAAAAGAGTGGAGATCAAGGAGTACTCAGGAATTGAGAGGAGAAATCTCAAGTGTTCCGATTAAGAATCCAACGGGGAGCATTTCACTCGGCAAAGTGAAGATGAAGCATATTCGAGACATCAATAAAATATTGTACAGGATAATCGGAACAAGATCAATTTGAACGGTACGAGTGTTGTAATCAAGAGAACATAACATGCCTAAGGGTTTTCTGGTGCTTGGAACTTGCACACAACTAATAATTCTTATATAGATCCCTGGCTTAAGCCTCAATAATGCCTCTGTAAATTTGTAATAACCTCGCATTTGCAAAATGTAATTCCTCTTGAGTCAAAGGTCATGGACTGTAGGTATTTATGCAAAATTCACATGAAAGCCTTGTTTTTCAAAGCTTCTCATATGTATGATACAATGGTTGTGTACTAAGGGCAGGATAATCCTTGGAACAATCTATGTTTCTCTTTGTGATTAGCCTTTTATGGTGAATAAGAATATGAAAAAAGCTCCAAAAGAGAATTGAAAAATTATCCCGATGAATTCACTAAAAACTTACCTCATTGGTTTGAACAGGGCCTTTATATCATTCTGATACTCAATGATGAGCTTTATTTGTGTTCCACCCTCTTTTTGAACTGAAAAGAGAGGAAAAAAGCGACATGAGTTAAGCTTTTTTACATCCCACACTGAATTTACACATCTCTCGGGGTCGAATTTCCTCCATTTAGCTATGAGCAATACATTGCATCGGGGGAGGTATGATTTTTAAGTAAGGAATTTATGTCGAACAACCACTCCCCGCCCCATTAACTGACATTGTGTGCGAGAGAAGCGAGAGTAGAGGGAAAAAAAATTTAAAAATCAGGAAAGTCGAGTGCCAATAAAAATTGCTACTTTATTGCAATGTGACAATTGTGGTGTGGCAGATGGGGGTGACTTGAGTCTTTCTCCCTTCTGCCCCAGTACATAACTCTCGCTTAGATCCACTCAGTGATTCTCCTCAACCGACTCCACTCAACGGGAGTTTTCTCGCGCTGCGAGAGGGTGGAAAATGTGCTTTGTATGTTAGAGTTCCATGTTTATTCCACAGGGAAACTCACGCGTTTCTTCGTCCCCAAAAGCCACCCATACTCTGAGACTCAACACGCGTCACACATGCAGTAAAATCGTGACATTTTTACTACACATTTCGCCTTCATCTCGGGCAATTTCATTGCTGACACTTTTCATCCATATAAAAGCTCTGTCAGTTGCAAAGTGAGTGTCTTTATACCGTCGAAAAATTCTCCAAAACAACTTTCATATCATTTCTTAGGGGTATTGTAGAAATGTTCCACACAAGATCGCGTAAAATATTCTACACATGCATTCTGACGCGTAACTCGAGCAGCACATCGCCCATGACCTGTGATTTATTCAATTGACTGAGGAAAACTTTCCTGATTTGCTTCTTTTTCACAAATTTACTAAACTTTACGATTATGGCAAATTGTCTTGGAAGTTTATATATTTTGTTTTCCCAACATTTCAGGGTACTATTTTGTGATAAATTTGACATTTTATGGGCATCTCTGTCTTGACACGTGAATCTCTTGAGCATCGACGAGTAGAGCTTTAGCAGATCAACGCTCACGTTTTCGAGGGTGATTCCATCTGAGATTCCCCATAACTGAAATTATTATGAAGCTCAAGTGATAAGATAAAATATATTGCGGTAAATTTATATGTTTATATTAGGATATGGTGCGATGTTGCGTCACATATCAATTCATTGGACGTAATTTGCTCAGCCAAATGATTGTGGCTGGCGCGAAAACCTGCAACTCATCGCAAATGAATTACATTAAAATTTACCATGAGATGCAAACAAAAGTTCTCTTTCTCCACCCACTTCATAAGCGCAAAATATATGGGTGGAGATCTGGGTGAATGTGTGAGGAGCTCATTTGAATTTATAGTATAATTTATCGTTAAAACTAACTTTATATTGTTGCTCATCCGACACACATACATTGGTTTTCCGCACACAAGAGATAACTTAATAGAGTTGGGAACTCATTAAAATGTGATGTTATTAAACTTTTAGGTTCTTTTTTCGCCATGTATCACGTACTCATAAATTCATGTGATAAATATAATTTGGAATTTTGCAATTTACAATACGTACACAAACGTATTTATTCATATTTGTGTCTCTGTCCACAGATATTAATGGTGTCTATCCCTGTGGTAGAATTCCTCTTCACTGCTTGATTCATTTGGAAAATGTTCTGCATTTTAAATCCATGGAAAAACTTCTCATGAATATTTGCGCAAAGTTTTAAGGAGGAGTAACGATTCCCCAGAATTAATTAATTCTGCTTTATTCAATTAAGAACGATATTCCCAGGTTATTGAGGAATCTCTCGAAACTCCAGCACGAGATGTGTGTGGGAAACACAAAAAGCTCAAGAGAAATTGCACGTGTGTTGCAAATATGTGGATTGGAGGGCTTTTAATTCATTCATAAGCCTCGAGAAGGTATAATTATTCATTTGTCAGCCATGAAATTTCTGAATGAGTGCGCAAAATGCTCAAATATAGCGAAAATGCGCTGCTCATTGACTACGGTTAATTTATTGAAAAGAGTGTGTATCCTTTTATAATGTTCATTCGAAATGATAGCATTGTGCGTTCAGCTGCATATTTTCTCTTCCTGATTCACAATATTTTTTAACTCACCATTTTTATGGGGAAAACTGTTTTTGCCACAAATATGCTTTTTCTGTTCTGATTGACAGAAAAAAACTCTATCTCTGTTTTATTTATTTTTGCCATTTGAGAGGGAAACTATTTGCGAAGCTGAGGGAATATTAAATGAATTTTAATGGGGAAAAAAAGTTGACAGAAAGGGATTTTAATGGGGCATGAGGGGGAAAAATAATTTATTTGAATTACAAATTCACAGTATGGTTTTTGTCAACTCCGTGATTTTCTGTTCTCGACGTAAAAGAGCAATTAGTTGAATTTTTGGAACATTTTGTTCACATACTTTTTGTAATTTATGCGAAGTAAATATTTACACATGTACAATGTATGTATAAAAATGTTAATTATAGTGAATAAAAAGTATAGCATAATCATTTGGCTCAAATTAGCCCAGCGACAAAATATTGCCAAATTATCTGAATGCTCGTGAGCGAGGACATTGACTGTCTTGATAAAACGTGACACATTTGTGAGAATAATTAAAAGTGTTTTGTACTCACCAACGTGGTTAATTGGCAATGTGGCCATATCACGCAGAACTGCCTCGACAATTGGATCATCCTTCTTGTACAATTCTCTTTTGCATATCCGCAATTGGAGCCTTTCCAAGTTGCTCGCGTTTTTGCTGTTGAGAGAACACAAGGGAGAAAGTGTGAGAAAAGCGCGAGAAATTGAATGCCAAATGAAAGGAAAACTCTCGCAGTCGGCGCTTCATTTCATCATCTATACGGTATTGTGTTTTGATGCCAAGAAATTAACACCCTTCCTCAGTCAACTCGTGCCAAAAATATTTTATCAAGAGTGTCACGAGTCTTTTGTGTCTTAATTTAAAGTTGCAGAGAAACATCGAGAGACACATTAGGGGTGCCTCGAAAGCAATACATCCACTGTGTCCTCATTAATTAATTTATATACTCTGTCGATAACCTGTAATTGTGCGCTCGTCTTTGTGCTCTGCCAGAGAGCCATCTCAAAAAGCTCAAAAGCTCACATAGTGAGGAAAAGATAATAATTTAATCATGGCATAAAGGTATTCAAATTTCCTTCACTATAGCACTTTACATAAATTATGATTAATAAGAAAATCTTCAGCTTCCAAAGTGCTTGTCGTGGAAGTTTGTTGAGAGCGAACCAAGCACTGGGACCACCCTTTCTCCCTCGAAAAGTGCATTATGTGTGGCTTCCTGGCGCAGACAATCTGCCAAGATGCATAAAATGTGAATGAGGGGGTGTGTAAAGTTTTCCATGTGATCCATGGGTGAAAACAGTGGAGCACATATGGGGAGACACGAGGAGTTCTCCCACTTCTCAGCATCGTCAGTGATATAAAATAAGCGAGAATATTCACTACACTTATCCGCCCACCTCCCGAATACCCCTTTTTTCTCCATTCACCTCCTCACCCATCACGCCGCAACTGCACAGAAAATACACCCTCGGTGAAACATAAAGCGCTCTATAATGACGGCGATTCATATGTAAAGTTGATAACGTTTGAAATTTCTTATGTGTGATAAAATTTGAAACCATGCAGCCCATCTTCCACACTCGCAGCTCCACTTTCTCATGTGCTGATCCTGCACGTCTCATTCTTATGTAAACCTCTATCTCCTAATGGGTTTCCCATTTATAAGGAAATTCTACGCCTTTGTGTGACTATTTTCATCGTTTTGCGAAACCGCTCACAATATATGGAGAACTATCGGGATCAGCATATAATGGGTTCTATCAAAAATTTTAATTTCCTCCTGATTCTGACACACATCGCAAAGCTCTTTCCTTCTGAAAGAGACTTTCTTAAATTTTTGCACAGAAAAGAGCCGAAAAATGATGGGAATAACTACAAAAAAGTAGAGCTTTTCGTTTGATTAAATTTTCAACTCTTATCATTAGTCATTAAAATACGCTTTAAAAATTTATCGAAATTGCTCTCTTTTCCTTTTTGGTAAGAATATAATTTATGAACTTGTTTATTAGAATTGTTTGTGAGGAAGTGAAAACAGGAAACACCTCAATTAAGAAAACATTATCAGCTGGAGAAATTTAAATTGCGAAAAGTATGTCAACTACAGAAAGAAGAAATTGATTAGGATTTTATTCACTAAAGTCAGGAATACACAAAAATACTTCTTAGACCCAAAAATTAGTATTATTGCACAATACATAATGAAATCTTTGTAGTAATGAGAAGAGGCAGGCAAGAGATTTCATCCATGTGGAAAATTACTTTAAAGCATTTGCTGAGCCGAAAATCGTGCATATGAAAACCAGGGAAAATCAGATTAAACATTTTTTTCTGTGATATTAAAACGGACGAAATCTCTTGTGGTCGTCTTCCCACATCCAATTCTGTGCTGGATTTTTATGATTCTGCCATGGGAGAGATAAACATCAAAATATAGAGTGGAATTTTAAAAATTAACAGGGCGCATGTAAATAAATAAATGCGAAAATGAGAAGGCGGAGTGTGCGGTTGTCGCTTAGCAATTTTCGGATGGCAGAAAGCCACAATGGCAAATAATAGTGGAATTTATCTTTCAAATTTTAATTGAATTACAGGTTTAATTCGCAATTTTCCGCCATGCCAATTTACCCTCGAACCTATCATTGTGATCGCAGAGGTAAATTCTTTCCTCGTGTTTTGATGCCATCGTCATGCAAACTCCGTGTTCAGGGGTTAACCACTCGCCGGGCGAGTGTGTCTTTGGCGAACTTTCCATCTCATTTGCACGGTATAATTAAAATACGAGTCAAAACAGAGGCGGAAAGAATTGATGAAGACGAGAGTGAGAGCGCATGGTTAAGAGCCGACGGTGTTACGAAACTGTTTTCAGATGGAGTCCGAACATGTGAGCAATTGAAAGCCCCCGAGTTCAGTAATTCAATGGAAATCGCTTGTGCATTTCATTGGGAGATTTTCCCATTGTTGCCACCACGAGAACAAGTGGAGAGAAAAAATGGTCGGAAATTTGCAAACCCACCAAATCACAACTCTAGAGAAAGAGTCACGGAGTTTAATGCACTGGATTGTGGAAAAATCCACAGAGAAAATTACTGTACAAGCTCAAATTGTAACCACAAAGGCGACTGAAATGCTGAATCTCACACTGGTCGTGAATAAAAATTCTCGCCAAAAGTTGGGGAATTTCAATTTCGTTGGAAAGTGAAGCATCGCGAATGATTCGATCAAGCGTGAAGACGATGCTTTAGATCACCTGCGACTCTTTGTCGCCAAATCACGAGTCTTATTTGTACAGCAAATTTCTAATTCTCTCTCCGTCGTCGCCCCCGGTGAAATTTTAATTTAATTCCCATTTCGCTCGAATTCACGTGAAAAGAGTGAGGAAATGTGGCATTGCTCTGATCAACCAGAAATGCTCCCTTTGGCGATTACTTCATCCAGAAAATTGCTTCTTTCTCTCTCCAAACTATGACAGGCATTAACTGTGTGACAATGTGTGTAATGCATATGATTTTCCACCGAATTTCATGCCATCATCTGCATTTCCACTCAGCTTTCCCAACTTGCCTTTTCATGTGCATTCATGGGGCAAAATGACGCACTTTCCCCATCATCTGAGTACCAACAAGTCGCAAAGTTTTACTGAGATGGAAGATGCTGTTTGATGTTTCAGCATTCCTTCAAATGGCACGTGCCATAAAACCGATTTTATTTACATAAACACACACACACACACACCAAAATTGAGAAGAAGCACCACTTGGCGGTGCTGCACAGACGAAATTCCGAAGTCGAATTGCTAAATGCGAATCTAAAGAGCACGGACTGTAATTTTGCAACAATGTTTAAAACAACCCAAAAGCTTTCGGAGAGTGATGAAGCCAATTGACAGTGCTGTTAAGTTTTACAACAACTTAATGCCTCACGAAAATATTCCAGCTTCGCCGCGAAAAGTGCTAAATTTTAATAGTCGCTCTTTAATGAGGTTAAAAGTTATTCCATGATGCTATCTCTCGGCTCCTTTCTTCTCACTCCCTGTGAACACTTGCAATACACGGCAGAATATGCTCTTGTATAATAAATCAATTAAAGTCGCACAATTGTTTACAAAACATCACACCTCGTGACTGTTAAAAGCTTCAGTCCAAGCCAATTCACATTGCTAGGATAGTGAGTAATTTTGTGTGAATGAGCGTAAAAAATTCTCGAGAGATCTTAAATGGTTTGTTTTATTGGTGAGAAAATAGCTAACTGAAAGAGCCATGACTGTGGATTTAAAATGGTACACTTGTGTACCCATGCAGTTCCCATTGAGTCGCTTTTTGAATACCAATCTAGCTCATCTCTTATCACCTTCAATCTACATGCAATTCACTGTGAGACGCAACGCAATTTTGTGAGAAATTTCTGTCATTTCAGCACATGGCTGCTCAGCATGCCATTCTAAATTATGGGGTAAAGCGTTATTATTTCATCTATATTATTCAACCTCCATCGCCGATTCTGGGTCAATGAAGAGAGGGTGAAAAATACAACTTCACTACAAACAGTAAGCAAATATATCGCTGTTTAATCCTATACGAGGCGATTAATGTGTGAAAAATAAACCTTTCCTGCAAAAATCTCCGCGAAAACTCACATTGCAAACTTCACTATGATTATCTATACTCATTTAACAAATTTCCCACTTGGATAAGCAGCAAAATTAGTGCATGCACACAAATTTCATTTCATTTATGCGCAATTAATTCATACATTAGAATGATTTCGGCTCATTCACTCCAAATTCACACTGATAATTTCCATTTCAGACACTTGCACAAGTCAATGCTTCTTGCAAAAAGAGAGATTAGCTCATGAGATTAGCCGAAGTCAGCTGAAATGTATTTGATAAGCGATAGAAACACTGATTTCATTTCTCAATTGCAGTCTCATCTCCAGAGAATTTCTCTATGTACATTTCCTCTGCACATTAAACGCTAGTTATCTTTAAGTGCTCAAATAAGCACTGAAGCTTTTCGCACTACAGCGAATTTTCACAATTTTCCCAGACAATCCACGCACTTTTTTTTACTAGGATAGACATTGTATTGAAAGTACTAATTATTTAAGTATTGCAATTTAGAAAGATTCCTCAGAATTGATTGGTAGCAATTTTAGCAATGATAGCGCAACAGGTCAAGGATAGGCCAATGTCTATCTAGAAAAGTAAATTAGCCTGCCGATAAGGCATTAAACATTGTTCAAGTTTGCGGGTGTTGAGATTATTAAGTCACTTTTTTTGCCAAACTTGAGATTTCAGTCATCTCTGGTCTTATTTAAAATACAAATAAAGTATTCATGAATAAATATTGAGAGCTGAACTGCGATGATTTACTACGAAAATAAACTATACACGCGTAACGCCTCTTTCCATGGTCGTTTCGAGCCTCATGCTTCTATCGCTCTATGTTGGCGGTGGAAAAGGGTGGAATTGATGGGGGGAAATTGTGGAAAATAGTCACGTTTGCCATCGAGGGAGAAATCTGAGGCAATTTTCTGGTGAATCTGTGGATATTTGCACGGCAGGAAATTACCTTATTGTCATATCCAGAAGATCATCCAAACACGGATTCAAGTCATCCGGCTCGGAGTTGACTATCACAGTGCCAATTTGCTTGGGCTCCACCAGAATGGCGAGCAGGTCGCTGAATTTGTCGTGCACTGGTGGCTGGGTGGGTATTTTCTGACCAGGCCCACTCGTGTCTGTGCGGCCGCGGTTGTGGCTGGTCGTTGAGGCCTCCTTAGAGCCGGAAGAGTTGCTGCAAATTGTAATAAAAGTCAGCATACCTTGTGATTGGCACATTGACGTATTTAAAGTAATGAGCAATGTTTGGCTTTCGCTGATTTTCCGACAGCTCTATTTGACTACAAATGCATGGAGCACTAATGACATACAATTAATTTACACATGTAAATAAGCGCTTTAACATATCTGTGTCAATTAACTGTGCCGTGGAATTAACACTAAATAATATCAATTAAAAATACACAAAACATGCATTTAAATGCCCAAATAGCTATTAAACTGCGACATTATGAGTTTTGCAAATAGGCAAATACGGCGCTCTAGAATTTTCAACTACACACGAGCTGGAAGACAGCCAAATTTCGACACGGGGTGGCTTTTAGTAGAGGTACTTTTGACCACACATTACCACGCAAATGGATTAATATTTCTTTTTCATGCCAAATCTATTAAGTCATTAGCCATCTGAATATTTTACGCTTTCCCAAGTTTATATCATAAACCAAAATAATAATAAAAAAAAAACATGCTAATAAAAATAGAGATTTCAGTTCAGAATTTTCTCGCTGCAATCACAGATTGAGATAAAAATAAACAAGCCCTGGAGTATTGTCTGTCTGGAAACACAGTGCGGAATATTTATGAATGAGAAAATGACGCAATGCAAGGTGTTGAGTGTGAATGGGCTGAAATAACTCTGATTTATTCTACTCAAGCCGGTCAGGCGATTGCATTTGGTGTGCGTTCGATCATTCACTGAATGAAACTCACCTTTTCTGCAGGAACTTCCTCTTGAATCCCTCAAAGACACCATTCTTGTCTTCAGACTGGACGTATTTCACTTTAGCATGAGATGGAACGATGTGACTCTTCGACACACCCAAATCCATCTGCAGATCCACCACCAAGAGCAAGGTGAAGAGCACGAGGGAGACGCCGAACCCCACGGCGAGGCGCTCCTTCAGCTTCATCGAGCGCAGCATCATGGTGAGAAGTCGGGAGGAACTATCGAGTGTGGCACTTAATTTCGCCAGAAGGGGTTTCAGTTGCGGGCAGAAGCACAAAATATCACGACAACTTCTCTTGACAGTCACTTGATCAACACTTTGGCTATTTGGCACTGGTCGCGGGCACTCATCGGACACTCTGTGTCGTCGACGAATACATCTTTCCGGCACCAACAAGTTCCACGGCTCGTGATTGAGTTGAGGCGAATTGGCGGATGAGCCCCCTTTAATACCCTCGCCCCCTGATGTGTCAGCACAATTGCAATCGCGCTCGCTGCCTTTATCGCGACGCGAGATGACAACTTGGGCGGGTGTTGAATTTGAATACGCCGATGGGGTGTCTTCGGACGGTGGACGGGCACGCTGCAAAGCCTCTTCAATTACCACCGGATGCCTGGAATGGGGAAGCAAACAGAGCGTTGTGAGAAAATTTGCTGCTGTGCAAAAAATATTCCACCCAAAAGTGCACAAAATTCAGATCTAATGGTTCATAAGGAGCTTATCAGCCGTGCAACCCATGGAGGTCATTTGCACTTCACGAGTCCCATATGTATTTACGTGGTTATCTGTCTATAGCTCAGCCTTATCTGATTGGGATGAACTTGCGAAGCAGACAGAGAGATTTGCTGAGATTTACTGCACTTGAAGAAAAGCTCTGCTGCACTTCAATCTAGGCAAGAAATTTTCAACACAGGTGCTTTATAAGTGCCAGAATGCGGGCCACAGATTGTCTTTCCCAATGTGAGATTGAAGATGAATGTCCATAATTTGATGTTGAATCGATTTTTGAGGCAGTGCAATAAATTTTCCACCTCATTCCCCAACATTTAATTAAATTAACATTACAAATGCATGCTTTTCGGATATGTTGTTCACCATGTAAGTGCAATACATTACTTTCATTGCCATGATTAACGTTCCAATAATGTGTTGAATAATCGCAACTAAATGCACACTGTTTGAAATTTATTCCCTTACAATTAGACATGAAAATTAAATTCATTCTCACCCAGTGAAATTAGAAGCAAACGACGGCATGTAGTAATATTCATGAGAGAGAATTTATGTATCTCTTACATAGTTGAGAATTATCACATTAATGCCTCGCAGTTTCTTAATAAGCTGTGCACTTAAATGCAATTTCTGATTCAATCAACTCACCTACGAGGTCCTGTACCGCCTCGATGGGCTGGAGCGTGGTCCCGAGGGGAGGGAAGTGAATTTGTCGGTTCAGTGGAGAACGCTTGGTGTCCCTGAGGACAATGCACAGTCTGATTGCTGAATTCCTGCAGCTGGGAATGTGTCTTTTTTGCACACTCGTCACTCGTTCTCGATAATGATGCAGCATTGCAGTTGTCATCAGTTACGAGCGCTGGATTCCTCGTTGCTCGCCAATGTCCCGCAGGATTCGGGCACAAGATGGCCTCACCCGGTGACCAATCACACTAATTGGTTGAGTTTACGTTGCCCGCGCAGAAGGAAGATCAAACTTTAGAATTCGCCTAGAGCACCTCGTTTACATCACTTTATCACCCAACAGAATTCATGCAAAGGGAGCAACTCACACTTAGCACGCTCGAAAATCACGGCTAAAAATGTCCTTTCGCAAGTCAAAAACTTCTTATCAAAAATTTGGGGCAAAAAATCAAAATGATAAATTAGCGAATTTCAGAGCGATAATGAATATCGATGGAAGCACTTTTGGTTAAAAGTTCATGAACTTTCTATGTACATTGTAGACAGCAAAATCACTTGAGAAATGAGATTATTGCGACAATGGTAGGTGTAGAGTCAAGGTCACACGCAAAAACACTCCAAAGGGGTTAATGTTATCCTACATGTGCAGCTCTGGCGCTATCATGAGGGTGTCCAACCCTCTCAGGTGGTGCCATGCCTGCAAAGACAGAGAGAAAGCGTTAAAATTCTTCTTGTTTCTCGGACATTCTTGCTTGCAAAGTGTTAAAGCAAATCGAAATTGACGACCTTTAGTACTTCTCCAATTATTACTACATATAATTCTTCCACTGCCAATCGATTTCCTCACGCATTAGAAAGTTCCTGACTGCATAAATCGAGAAGGAGAGAATTCTTCAAGTCAAAGTGTCAATATCGTGCTTATCTCATTATCGTTGCTGGTAGAATTGCAACACACGCTAAATTGTGATGTCTCAGCATCTGCTGGTGAAATGTGGCAAATTGCATTTCACAAAACGGAAGTAATATTGAGACGCTTCAGGGCAGATGAGGCTTATTTGCAGCGGGAAATTACGAGTCTAATTACTCACGAGAAACATGATTGACTAATTTTCTTATTCTTTCACTTTTTCGGCAACTTTGCCCGCGGTTAGAAGAGACTTTGTATAGCGATAAATGATACACATAACAAGACAAGCTTCGTATAAATACTTTCCACATTGTTGCGTTATCAAACACACAGCGTCGCGTTTTTATTGTTGTATTTATACGCACGTTTTACTTTAATACCCATTAATTTGAGATTTTTCCTTCATTTTTTTTTTGTGTTCGCATCGCAGAATCTTGCGTTACCTATATTTGGAATTGAGGGTAAGTGAAAAGAGTGTGCTATACATAGTGATGTATATAATTTTCTGAGAGAGAAGGTGATTAGGCCTAACCATAAAACGTAATATAAGCAATAACTGAAGTAGAAAATTCAAAGAAATGCTATAGTTTAAGCAGATAAGATCATGAAGGAAATTGTTAGGAGTTTTTATTCTTCGATTTCCATGGACTTCCTTACAAGACTACTTGGAGAATTGACAGAAATGGTTCCTTATTGCGCTTATTACATATTGCTCAGTCCGGCGAAATACAATTGATGACCAATGATGGGCCGAAACGAGCGTTAAGGCCTGTTTGTGTTCCCCATCCAGTGGGCCAGATAATGCTCCCGCATTTGTGGCAGCGTGTTTGACTGTATCGGGAGCACAGAAGGCAGAGAAAAAAGCATGCAGAAGTTGTGCAAAACATGAAAATGTAATTGAGTCTCTTCTGGCAGCACGTGAAAAAGTGATGAGGGTGGTGGGGCTCTTGGAAAAGCGTGCGGTACAAATTGGGTGGCAATGGTTGGGGTGTTTGCAGTGACTTCCGGTGGAGGCGCACACAAACGAGACGAGGAAAAGTTTGCTAAACAATCTGATTAGCCGGGATTACTCGACTGCTGGGGCTGCACCTGAGGGAAAAGAGCACACCACTCGCCTCAACGTCAGCCCTGCCAGTGGATTTGTGCAGACAGAGCGAGATAATCCACCCCGGCGCCCATTCCCCCGGCGCAAAACTTTGCCCACTGTTCATTTGCACATCGATCGAGCCTCCAGTGCAGAAATGCGTTCATTGCACCTCGCAACCCAATCGACCCGCAGAGTAGGTCATCGGCGCTCGCCTTTGTGTCATTAGACCATCTCACCGACTCATGCACACTTTATGGAGCAATCACTTTCCTGCATTCATGCCACTGCCGCCCGTCGTCGAGAGAGAAACTCACGCCTCAGCTTTTCATGCCATGCAGAACTCTCTCTTGCGACTATCTCGCCTGTCACATTTATCATACGAGGTGTGCGGATTGCATAATGAACCGCTTCAGCCGATCAAGATGAGGTCGAGAGGGATGATGGGTGATGAAGTTCAAGTTGACCATTCTCACACTCTCACTTGGGTGTAAAATCAATTCTTCACACAGCCAAACAATTCGAGTTTCACTCAGCGACATTGTAATTGGAGGCGGAACGTTTCCGAGTATTGGGCAGACAAAGAAACCTTTGCAACATTTTCTTTCCAGAATCATCGCACAATTTTTGCTGCTACAAAAATGAAAAGCACAGTATGTTCGAAGCAAATATCTCTAAATTGCATCTCTAATTGCCAATTCGATAAAACTTAACAGCTTTATTTCATATTCACGCATCATTTTGATAGTAACAACATAAAATTATCGTAATTGATTCTCACACTGCAACTAATAGCATAATAACATATGTGTGTAATAAGGAAGTGAAGCATTTTCTCTGTTCAAAAACAAATAAGACCTCTATTTGCACCTTACTGAGCGCCTCACTCTTGCTATCTCAAACTAATAAATTAAGTGACAAGCATCATTTGACCCACATCGCGAGAAATTAGAGCTCCTCCGTCGCGCCGATGCACAATTCTCGGGGAATTGCAATCCTCGAGATCAAAGTGAAATCTCTCTTGGTATTTCCATGTCTTTCGCGAAGCGCAAGGTTTTTACATCAACATATCCATTTCCTCGAGAGTGTGGGAAGTGAAACAATAGTCGTGTGAAGATTTCCCTCTCATTCTGTTTCAATTTCACAGAGACTCTCAAGTGCTTCTTGCACTTTTGCACACTGTTTTGCTTGAATACTGCACACTCCAGTCTGAAATACCGGAAAGGTGGCTTCTATTTGCCCAAGATGCTCCTATACTTTCATTTGTCTTACATGCGAAAGTGAGGAATTAGAGAGAGGGAAGATATGGGAAATTTCTCCATATATTCGATTTATTTGCCTGCAAATCAACGACAACTAAACACCAAGAGAAGAATACTAAATCTTATTTGGTATGAAAAATGATTTCAATTATAAAAACTCAAACAATGCATCAATCTTTTCTGTGATTCACTTGAAGACACATTAAACATCAATGATCACGTCTTCAATTAGACACTTCTTTCTATGAATTGATTTTTTTTTGCTGGCATTGCAGAGAAAGAGGCAAACAAAACCGAAGAAAGACAAGAGTTGCTAATTGAAAATACACTCTTCACTTGAATCTCTCATCTTCACTTTTCATTCAGCTCTCACAAAATTTATAGTCGCGCACAAAATGCTTCTTTAAATATTTAATTACTATGGAAATTTGTATTATCGCCCACCCATTTAAACCATTCTAACATTAGTTGGTACTTTAAGCATTAAATTCTTGCTATTGAGAGAGCTGATTGAGAGCCATTAGTTTCCCAGTTTAACAATCAGTTTTATGAGTAAATATTTTTGGCTTAATCTAACGGGTAAAATCTGATCGTTAGCTTGTTTTGGAAGGTCAATTTTGGAAGGCCCACACGCAAAAGAGCAATGCTAGCCAAAGTTGGTGGATTTTGTGGGAATTTTGTGGGTCAAAAACAGAGATGTTTCGTGCAAAGATCGACAATGATAGATCCTCATACATTTTGACCATTTCTCATGTGAGATTGCTTACGAATGCTTTTACCTTGAGGCTTCATGGAGAGATGTTCAAATATGTGCGCGAGTTTATGTTCGGTGGAAAAATCGGAAATTATTCAAACGATCGGTTTACACTTGTTACGCGCCAATCAACGAGTAAAATATACAGTCGAAGTATGCAAATAAAAAACACGAGAGTCTTAGCTTTGGTGTTATGCAAACAAATTGTAATCATTCACCTTCCTCGCCCCTGTCTCTCTCCCTAATTCCACGGTCGCCACGATGAAGATGTGCCAAAGACAAACACGGCAAGAAACCACTATTAATTGCTTATGTATCAGACGAGGGAGAAAATGCGAAATTATATAGAAAGCTTTATGCAAATACATTCAAATTTAGAGTGTATTTAATTTTTGGCTGTTTGTTATTTTCCATCAGGCGCAGGAAAAGTCTCTGATAGTATAGAAAAAAAGGTCGTAATCATTTGCAGGCCATTTTATTAAATTCTTTTGTCCTCTGAATTTTGTGTTTCTAAGCATTTCTGAGGCTAGCATGAAATCTTGATAGTGAATTACCGGCAGTAGAAGAAATTAATTATTGCCACTCTAAAGTCAGAGACGCTTTTTTTTCTCCTTGACCATGAAAAGTTGAACTGTCTTAGCAGTTTATTGCATGACAAAAACGGGAAAAGGCACATTTGGGAGGAAGTAATTTCAGGGGAAAAACCTATCCTAAAGCAATTACTAAGAAGCGATTTCACGAATACAGATATAAATCATTTAAAGTCATAACACGCATTATTGTATCAATTAATTCTCTCAATTTTCTACCAATTAATTCATGTCAAATTATATGCTTCTCGTTTTCATTCAATCGATGGAAAAAAAACACCTTTTCTAAAAATCATTATGTGATTTCTCCCAACGTACACATAGTGTAGCGCATATCACTGTAAAACAAGAAAGAAACATCATACTTTGCCAGATTCTTTGGCACGCAATACAATTAGCATACAAGGTAAAGAAATTACTGATAAATTTACCCATAATGCCGGCGAAGATGTACTCACACAAAAGACACGGAGAAATGTGCTCACTGAGGGATTATGAAATTAATTTTCATTCCTCATTAGTGGAATCGCATTCATATGTTTCTATGTGGTACATCACAACTGGCGAGGTTTTTACCACGAAAACATCACACAGTCGAAGGAAACAAGTTTCCCATGCATTCAAAAGTGACTATCACGACTCGTACACTGC